TGATCAGTATCGATATTCTCATAAGCATCACATATTTGCCGAAAATCAGCTCTATTGGCCTAATTCAGTAAGCTCACTTTAGTAAATGGCTGCACACAAAAAAATCCGAAAAATGCATTCATAACTTTCTATCAACTGGCTTTAACCAGCAAAACAACGCACATCTTCCCTTGTATGATTCAAGAGTAGGAGAAATAGTTTGTTTCATCTTTTTGAATTTATGTCATTCAACTGCCACTTTGAATACATATTTAACAACAAGTCATGTATCTGTCATTGTGTAATGATTAAATATGTAAAGCTGTAGACGATTGACGAGCGTTTAGTTAAGCGATGTTGGCCGTTTTTATTTTTATCAAATTTACAAATGAAGATGAATTGGTGAATTTAAGTTTCATGCTTCTTGGAGCACTAGGGTTTCATATACCTGACTGATATATTAAGGCTGCAATCGGCTCTGTTGTCGCCGAGATGTTTAGGATACAACAGACCGGTTTTATGAATTTATATTTGAACTTATTGAGGACGAATAATGAAATCGGCCTTACTGGTAACTAGAATAGATACGAAACCTCGCATCCTCAGTTTTATTATCGGTTGTTTCTGTCTGTAAAAGAAAAAAAAACAGTACTACATAAAGTAATTAAATCATTTCACGTTACCTTCAGTTTTCACTTATAGTTTACTGATAAAACATAATACACTACGTAGTGTGGTATCACATAATATAGTTCTCAGGAGAAATACGTTGATGAAAGATTCTTCAATGACACGTTATTAGTAATAAACTGCCTAAGAAGATCGGCTTTGGTAATAAAGATAAAGTGACGGAAAACATTATTGATGGACTCTATCTCGACACCCCAGACATAAATCATTTGTCAGTATGGAACTAAAAGCGCTGATCTTATGTGAAAGCCTTGAAAATTTGTGTAATACTCTATAAAGCAAAATTATCAAGTGAAACTCCATTTCACTATTTCAGTACTTCTTACAAAGATAATCCATATTCATATTAATGAATTTTTGAATTATGATTTTGTAGAAAGTTTGTTCATCGTACCACATACCTGTAAAGGATCCAAATCATGGAGACTTAGGTTGATAGAAAAGAAAGTTTTTCTGTTTCTATATCGCTATGACTTATAAATTAGGCCCCGTTTTCTGAAAATTTCGTCCTAGAGTCTACTGACCATCGTAAGCAATTAAGTGATGATACCTGCCCCATTCAAGTAAAGACACCCTTGTAGTAAAACAGATTTGGTTTATTTGAGATATAAATAAACTTTAACTGAAATTCAATAGATTCGTTTGGCAAATGAAAGTTTATGGATTTTTAAAAAGTTATTCGACTGTGAGTCTCAGACCAAGGTTTCTTATTTCCTACAACCAATCATCAACCGTGCCTAAACTTTCCGTTTTCACGATTCATAACCTGTTTTACATTTCATACAGTCAAATACATTGTTGCTAAAATACTCCTGTCAATTAGATACTTATTTTTACTACTCTTAATAAACACGAAATCATTCTAGTACGTTCGTCCACCCTTTACATCTATCTTTGTCAATATCAATAATATTCCTTGATTTAACTTTAAAAGTCATTCTCTCCTACAGTTAAATTCTTGTATATTTCTAATTATTTTGTAATATTAGTACTATGTAAAATCTGGGCAACTATCCTATTGATTAATTTACATTCTTTATGCACGTATTTGTTTGTAAAAATATATGTGTATTTAGACTATAGATTATCCTTTATGCTTTATACAAGTAAAAGAAACTTCATTGATTATTTAGTGCAATTGTGTGTATATGCATGCTTGCATGAAAGTATTCCTGTAACACTAGAATTTTCAAACAATTTTATTGACTATTTTAAATATATATGTGTGCGGAAAGAGGGTCACGTGCATTGTGTGTTTAACGACTAATATGTGTGTATCACATATTCACTGGTAAGTAGATATAAAATATTACTTGGTAATAAGAAATAGGGTGGAAAAAATAGAGAGAGGGGGGGAGATTTTCCTCTAAACTTTGGGTAATTGAGTAACATTTAGTTGTCTAATGAGAATTTCTCTGATAACGATTTAATTATCTTCATAAGTAATTGTGTAGCTAATCTAAGGATATTTGAAATGTACATTTTCCTCACTAATATGACAAATAAATGGATAATTGCGAAAAACCTCGTAATAAATGAATTTCGACTTATACACCAATGACTTCCGATTCATTGATCTAGAGATTAAATGCTCGTATATGAGATCAAACTTATTAGCTTAGATTCTCAGTGGTTTCGTGAATACACACTCCTGAGATGTTCCATATTAGGATAAAATAGATGTTCATCGCTTCGCGGTTTTCAGTGATTGGCTAATTAATATTAAATCGTGATGTAATCTTAAAATTCAAAGATTTCCGTAAAAACCCCTAAACGTTTTCTGAAAAATTGAATGTGAATAAACAATATACACCCATAATAATATATATGGTGTAATATTTCTGATTCAATAAGACGATTTGAGCTTCGCAGATGACCTATCCCTCCTATCGCATACACACGAACAAATGCAGATAAAAACAGACAGTGTAGCAGCAGTCTCTGCATCAGTAGGCCTCAACATACACAAGGGGAAAGCAAGGTCCTCAAATACAACGCGGAGAACACCAATCCAATTACACTCGATGGAGAAACTCTGGAGGATGTAGAATCCCTCACATACCTGAGAAGCATCAATGAACAAGGAGGATCAGCTGCAGATGTAAAGGCGAGGATTGACAAAGCAAGGACAGCATTCTGAAAATTGAACAACATACGGAACTCAAAACAACTTTCAACTGACATCAAAGTCAGAATCTTCAATAAGAACGTCAAGACAGTTTTATTGTACGGAGATGAAACTTCCAGAACTACTACAACCATCATCAAGAAGGTACAAGTACTTATAAATAGTTGTCTACCTAAGATACTCATTATCCACTGGCCGGATACCATCAGCAACAGCCTTCTGTGGGAGAGAACAAACCAGCTTCCAGCTGAAGAGAAAATTAGGAAAAGACGATGAAAATGGACAGGATATACATTACGCAAATCACCAAACTGAATCACGAGGCAAGTCCTAACCTGAAGCCCTAAAGGGAAACGAAAAAGAGGAAGGTTAAAGAACACAGTACATCGGGAAGTAGAATTAGATATGAAAAGGATGAATAACAACTGGAAGGAGCTGGAAAGGTTTGATTTGGATAGGGTTGGATGGAAAATGCTGGTGGGCGGCCTATGCTCCTCCACGAGGAGTTACAGGTGTACGTAAGTAATATTTCCGATGTCAAAAAAATGAAAATAATCTTAAGAAATCTACGGATCTATATTTTGGGCTTTTTAGTCAGATACAAATTGTAACGATGATGTAAATATTCACATGGATCATTATAAAATACTAACTGAGAGTTTATGATAGATTCGTTTTTTTTTTTCAAAAGATGAAATGATGTTGCTAGTTAAAACTTGCAATTAATTAATATATTTTTTTGAAGCAAAAAGTATTAGAATCCGTCTGTTGATTTCATTAACTTGTCATTATGTTAACTAAACTAGCATAGAGTTTAGGATAATATTGTAACAATTCAAAATGTCGTTTTTAGAAATAGGGTGACAGTGTAAACTCACAAAATCCTGGAAAACAAAAATATTTAGTTTCATATACAGGAATAGGAGATAATGGTATTTGAAATTGCGAGAAAATTAACAAATGAATATTTCAGTATAGCTATGTCACCATAAACTTAGGACAATCAATTTTTAGTATATTTAACTTGTGGTTAGCAGTGGAATCCAAGATGTGTATTTATTCTTATTTGGGACTCTTCAGCTAAAAGTATGTACTTGTCACAGTAGTTATTACCTCAAAAAAAACAGGCGAATACAAACTCTTACTTATTAAGATTGCAATTACTGAACATGTTCTAGGCTATCGGAACTCGGTAGTTTTGTGGATAGTGTGTTGGTGTTCGAATTTGTACAAAAATCAGCACTCATTCGATGAGTCCCAAATAGAACGAAACACTCACCATAGGTTTCACTCCTTACCACAATTTAGATATACCAAAACTTGTTATAAAGTGTTACTTTTATGAGATTCACCCAAAATCCCCAATACTAACAATGACTGGTTAAAATTCAGTTCTGATTACCAACAATTGGGTAACACAAAGTTTTGCATATTAAAACAACTTCTTTTCGACTAGAAGAACTCTATCCAGTAGATTTACAGTTCTCCGTCTGTTCAACTAGAATATTTAGTCATCTCTGAAACCAGTAATCAATCAAGCAAGTATTACAAAATAATTAGTCTTAATAACTAATTCTTCGTGTTTATCGATTATTTCCTTAAAATAAGTCAGACCAAACAGTTAGATAAAATACTGAAGCCCTTGTAATTTTGATAGTTACAATTTTCTACAATAGACTTACTGGTATTTAAGGACAGGGAATATTTGACAGAACAGTTATTTTCAATAACTTCATCATCGGGTTCCATAAACCTATAATAATTGTATATTAATGGCTAAAGTAAAGCATATACAAATAAGTAAACAACACGATGTTTTACGTTAAAATATTAAACGTTCGCATCGGTCACAGCGTAAATATGTTCAATATGCATTATTGGCGAGATTAGAATTTATGGATGAACCAATCAGGTATGAGATAACAGGACTCAGATTTTGGCGCGAAACTCACCCATCCATTTGACCGAATAGAGTATTGGCATTATGGCTGATGTCAGTTCATGATGTAAACCCTAAATCTAATTCCTAACCTAAACCATCAACTATAAATCATAATTCTAATTCCTCACACTGGTTTATAACCCTCATTTAGTCCTGGTTATTAGGTGAACACTTTCAAGGTCACTTTAGCATCGCTCAAAGGTCATTCATAAATTATAGTCTCATCTCATTATTTGTAAATTTCCAAGATCATTTAAAGAAATGAGTGAAAAAAATTTCATTGTAAGTTGTCAATTTACAATTGTTTTCCAAATCTTGACAACAAGACCATATAACTTCATTTTTAAATGAACATAATAACTATGTAAATGTAGAATGTATTGAATTTAACTTGAATATATATATATTTTTTTCCAGAGTTCAAGACGTTCCAGTGAAAGTACTAGTTCAGTTGATAGTGAAGTAATTTTAGAAGCAGAACGCTTAGAATTAGAACGTTTAGCTTTAAAAGAACTTGAATTAGCAGTTGTAAGTTAAAACAATTTATATTATCTTTCATTATTTTTTTTCTTTTCTACTTCATTGTATTTAATTAAAATAACCCATAGTGTCATTGAATAAGAAAAAGAAGAATTCAGCGAAGAAAATTTTCTTTTCAACGAAATCATTTACTGTCCAACCTCTTATCCTTCCCTGGCCCTAATTCCCTTAATGGGTATGTTTCTAGGTGTTTTTTTTCAATGCACTTTTATTATTACTATTTTGCACTTTAAACTCTAATCATTTATTATTATTACCTTTTACAAGTTTTCTTGATTATTATTCAGTTTATTATTATGACATTTGTTGTTTTGTCGTTTTTCTTCATATCTGTCAATTGGACTATTATCTGACCCTTAAATTTTGTTCTTCCTTACCCCTTGATTAGTACGTTAACCTCATTTGTTATTTATTGTCGAATCCATTTTTTGTGATACAATCCATTCTATCCTTCTATAGACATACATTTTCCATATAACTATATATACGAATGTACAGCTTAAGTAAATGATTTCGTCGAAAAGAAAATTTTCTCCGCTGAATTCTTCTTTTTCTTATTCATTGTATTTCTTTATTATTAATAATTGATCACTAAATAGAAAACCAATTATCAACTCATTTTACATAGCATAGTTGATAGTATAAGAATTCATTAATCTTGAGCTAAAAAAATTGATTTCAGTAAACCTATAGTTGACACTTTAGACGAAATTCATCTTATTCAGCGTTATTTCTGTATGTCTTATAAGCAATCTTGAGAAATCAAATAGTAATGTTATATACATGGACGTAGTCAGTAAGAAGCCCTAATTTTATAAAATAAGTTGTGTACCAGTTATAACCGCTTCACTTTCAATTTATACTTGACAATAAAGAATCACTATAATTCACATTATGCAAAATAAGAATACGGAAGACTGGTACAAATGAAGTTTTATTGACTACATAATGACACAACTACTCTAGGTGAAAATAAACTTATTTATATATTGATTATACACCCGTTTTGGTTATTAATTAGAAAAAAGTCGCACACTTGAAAGATTCTCAGAAGTATAACAAAGCTCATGCTCCATGTTTATTCTGGTTAACGTCTTCTTTTAGCAAGGTTGTTTTCTACAGAATTGGATCGCCAACCCCACTCCCAACCTTCTTCTTTATCCGGGCAGTAGCCCTAGAACAGCTACACTGCAATTGATTGATCACTGGGTGGCGATCAATGTCATGCGTGTCTAGTCCTTATTATTAGTGCAGATCGAATGCTATCAACCATGTTGCAATGCCAGCCTAGGTGACTCGACACTACGTGCACTATTGTGAGATTATATGATGGTTGGAGGTAGTCGACAGGTAACCCTGGACCCGGGTTTCGTGCTACTTGGCACTCGTCAGCAAGGTGTACCTGTAATCTTGAGGGAACTGGTGCTCCCTGGCGGATCCGATCTCGTGTCACCCAGCTTCACATTCAGAGACGATACCACTGAGCTATCCGAGCCGTAACTAATCTCCTGTAGGACTGAGATGTAATCACAATTGATTGATCACTGGGTGGCGATCAATGTCATGCGTGTCTAGTCCTTATTATTAGTGCAGATCGAATGCACCAGTTCCCTCTAGATTACAAGTATACCTTGCTGACGAGTGCCAAATAGCACGAAACCCTGGTCCAGGGTTTCCTGTCGACATTACACTAAAATAAATCTATGTTACACTGAGCACAATATCACACTACAAAGTAATACATATATTACACTCATTAATCCTTATATTAAACTAATAACAAAAGTAATGTTAGAAAAGATCACAATGGGCAAACAACTTAATTCTACTTTTGACAATGCAAAATTGTCTTTAGTGAATTTTAGTAGATAACATATTTTCATAAAGATAAATTAGCCTTTATTCTCAGACACTTTCTCTATGATGTGCATTGATCGAAAACAATCTGGAATATTGTTTTGATTTTCATGAGTCAGGTAGAGTACAAGTCACTTCAAAGATAGAATTTATTCATTATTGACGTGTATTATGTAACTTTATTTTCCATCAATACTAATCTTATTTACTTTCTGTAAATTCCTCTAAAGATTTTTCCTCCTTAAAATTATCTTTTCTTTTTTATGGAATCTAGTCTAAACCTGTAGCTTTTTCAGTTAGAACTAATATAAGTTTTGATGGAGCCTTATATGGTTTGGATGCACCATCCCCGAGTAGAGTTGTTAGTTTTGGTATTAAAGATTTTCTACATATTAAAAAACGTTTCAATCAAGATTGGTGGATTGGTCGTGTAGTTCGAATAGGTAGTCCAATTGGTTTTATACCTAGTCCATCTAAACTTGAAGTAATCAATAATATTATCTTATCAGCTATCGCCACTGCTGCTAATACTAATGTGGTACACTTTGCCAATGAAATTCAAAATCCGACAACTAAACCAGGTAGATAGTTTGTTTTTCTTTATTGCCTTTGTTAGTTTGCTATTTTTATTGCTCATAATTGTTATTCCTTTCACATAAAGATAATTCCAAGACACTTTAGATCATGAATTGAGTACAGTTCGAAGAATACTGAAAACTAAAATCATTAAATATTTAATTCCTCCTAGTTTACTGTTTCTTAGTTGTGTACATGAGTGGCTCTATAAAGGGACTAAACTAGGCCTTGGGGTAGTTGTATTACTCTAAGACTACTGAATTGGGAGTTGGACATATGAACTAGGGAGTTCTGACGCAGTGACCTACAGCCAATGGGCTTGGCACAAGGTGTAAATCCACTTGGTTGGTTATCTAAAGCGTTAGTGAATACCACTGTCAGAGAGTCTCAAACCGTGTGTTGTAATCTCCTAGTCACACTCAGCCAAAATCGCCATCTCCTAACCCTTAATTCAATCAGCTATGCAAATAAAAAGACTGGGAATCCTTAGAAGGCTTTATTTCAAAGGTCGAATAGAAATCTATACAGCATATGAGTATGTTATTGGAACGAACCGCCAAAAGATATGTCGATTCCACTACTGGCTAAGATTTAAATACACTAATCCATATCGGAATACTTTAGCGAAAATTATTTAAACTCAACTGACTTCGGAAAACGTTAAATAAAATGTTTTCATTAAAAACAGTAAGTTCTTTATTTGTATTCAAATGACCTTTGTTACCAGTGCAATTCTAATACAAGTTGTACACAACGACTGATAAGGACTTAAGGAATGGAATCGTCACTTTATCCTATTCACATCGTTCTTTCTTTTAAGCAAAATAAGAACAACAAGGCTTGTAGAATAAAATGATTTCATCATTCTATTTCAAAGTATTATGACCTTCATTCCTCGAGTCACGGCTTCTCATTGAAATTTCAGGAACTGCATCTGGAATCTAGTCACCAGTGAGAAAATGAATAATATCAGTATAGAGTTTTGTGGAGATTGATTCGTTATAAAAAAAGCTCAGAAAAACAACTGATCACATAAAGTGTTAGGGCTTTTCAAGTCAGTTGGAGAGAAATAATGTAAGTGAAATTTTATAAAAAAGGGACTGATATTTTGTCATGAATTTGTTTAAAATAAGAACAACTGGATGCCAGTCCAGTGGTGTAAAGTTTAAGCGCTCTTTACGAAGTGTGAAGTTTCTAGGTTTGACTTGCAGTTAGCTCGTCGATGCGCACAGTCAAGGAAATTCATACCAGGACGGAACAGATGTCTAGTGGTTCTTGATTTCCGAGGGTTATCTAACCGAAACCAATACGAGTTGTAAACCAAAAATATTCAACAATTTTCATAAACCAATGCTAACAGTTATTTGTGTCAACTTTGTTTAAAAAGGAAAAACCTTATTCGAAATTTGGTTTCTTTTTTTATCACGAAATGTGGTTACATGAGGAAATGTTATAAATTGTAAATGATTAGACAACGGTTTCTTTCCACATTTTCGGGAATTAACAATAATAAACATCGGAGTATTATTTTATGAAATAAGTGGTTTATATTTTTCATAATTCTATTTTTGTTTGCGTAAACTAGCCCCTGTTGGTGGATTCGGATCTGCCGACACAACGTTAGAACGTGGAGGAAATCGTGGACTGTTGTTGTCTAGCGAGTAAGCTTTATATATATACAAACCAATTTATTGTTTTACCTAAATTTACACAGTGCTTCCATAACATATGAAACTAGTACTTTAAATACATTGTTTGCACATCTCCCTTCAGGTGTAATGTAGATAATTGTTGTTCCTTTCAATTCGGTTGCTATTACAATTGCTCTCTGTTCCTCTTCTCGTTCTGTTCGATTTCGGTCTTACTCTCGGAAGCATTCCACTCCCGATTACTGAAACATACTACTTATCTGTCATCCCAAGTAGTATACACCACACTGATACATCGACTCAGTGACCTGACATGGTAATTCTTGTTGAATATAGTGAAAATTACCCTTTTGACATTTGGTAAATGAAGAAGGAACGAAATGAGCGAAGAATTGGGGATGAATTGGTTAGTATTCGTAACTTACTTAGCAAGAATGGGTACCCTATGAAATTCATCGATAAACACATGATGGAGATGAAAAGAAGAACAGAGATACCTACCGTCCCTAAGAAAGTACTGTTCATAAAGTTACAGTTCATAAATGACACTACTGAAGAAATGGTGACTCAGAGAATAAGAAAAGCTGTACAAAAAACAATTAATGCAGCCAGACTAAATGCCATCTTCTACAACCACCCCACAATAAGAACGGCCAATAAATACAAATTGCCTGAATTCGCCAAATCCATGTGTATTTATCGACTCAACTGCTCATGTGGAGCCAGTTATATAGGACGTACACTTCGGCAAGTTCGTCATCGTATTACAGAGCAACATTCGTCGTGGTTAAGCAAAGGACAGGTAAAGTGATTAAAAGTTCTATTCTCGCTCACTTGGTTGACACAGATCATCAAGTTCAATTGAATAAAGCTTTTAAGGTTATCTACCATATTCCATCAAATTTACCACATAGTTTACGAGTGAGTCTTTTGCACATTGCGGAAGCCATCGCAATTCATGTTCACAAACCTAACCTTTCCATCCAAAAGAAATTTTGTCCAACCACTTTCGCTACCTTGGCCAACGGTATAATGGCTCTTGTAGCAGAACTATTTTCGTACTTCTATTTTGTTTTTCGAATTTTTTGTTTTTGTATTTCTCTTCTCAACATTCATCTCTTGAGTCTTACATAATCACTATTCTATTGACCATCCATTAAGATATTCTGTTCCTTCTCTTTCTATATATTATGCAATGTAGCAACTTCTTGATCATCGAATAATTACATTAATTATTATTAATCTTCTTTCTTCCAGTTACTCAATGTTAATTTATAATCGAAATGTCTTTATGTAATTATTACGTAACGTATCCACTCGATGAGTATTATTTCATTATTGTAAATCACATATATATTAGTGTAGAGCCATGATGAATAGCTAATTGAAAAGAAATTTCTTGGGATGGTGGAAAAGATTTGTAGCTCTGGTGGTGATACAACCCGAACAAAGAAGTAAGCAATGACAGGTTTAAGGTCAACAAGATCCAATCAACATCGAGGTCTACAGGACAAGTTATGAGCCATATGTAGAGAAATTTGAACGCTTCACTTCTATCTGAAGTTTTTGCTGATGATGTCATTCAGAAGAACGATGAAAGCTCCACGACCAAACGATCCATCCCAGAGAACAAAACTCCATCAGAAATTTCTTGGCTTGATTCGTTCCTTCTTCAATTCTTGTTGATTCACAGATAAATACTGTGTTCATAAATTTTAATCAGAACATGAGCAAAAGAGCCAAATGTAACCTTTTCTTCTTTATACGAACTTAATAATGCTCATATTTCAATTCACATAAATCACTAGTTCACTTGCTTACTTACTTTCGCCTGTTACTCCCAATGGAGCATAGGCCGTTGACCAGCATTCTCCAAACCACTCTGTCCTGGGCCTTCTTTTCTAGTTCCATCCAATTCTTGTTCATTCTTCTCATGTCTATCTCCATTTCTCGGCGTAATGTGTTCTTTGGTCTTCCTCTTTTCCTTTCGCCTTGAGGATTCCATGTGAGGGCTTGTCTTGTGACTCAGTTGGGTGCTTTCCTCAATGTGTGTCCTATCCACTTCCAGCGCTTCTTCCTGATTTCTTCCTCCGCTGGGATCTGGTTTGTTCTCTCCCACAGTACGTTGTTGCTAATAGTGTCCGGCCAATGGATCTGAAGTATTTTGCGTAGACAAGTGTTAATAAACACCTGTATTTTCTGGATGGTGGCTTTCGTAGTTCTCCAGGTTTCTGCCCCATACAGTAGAACTGTCTTGACATTTGTATTGAAAATCCTGACCTTGGTGTAGGTTGATAGACAGTTGTTTTGAGTTACAGATGTTCTTCAGTTGTAACTATGCTGGTCTTGTTATGCCGATCCACACCTTCACATTTGCATCAGATCCACCGTGTTCATTTATGATGCTGTCCAGATATGTAAACGTTTTTACATCTTCCAAATCTTCTCCGTCAATTGTGATTGGATTGGTGCATTCTGTGTTGTATCGGAGGATCCTGCTTTTCCCTTTGTGTATATTGAGACCTACTGCTGCTGAGGCTGCTGCCACACTGTTTGTCTTCTCCTGCATCTGTTGTTGCGTTTGTGATAGAAGGGCTAGATCGTCTTTGAAGTCTAGATCGTCCAGCTGCATCCTAGTTGTCCATTGTATCCCGCGCTTCCCTTCAGACGTTGACGTCTTCATGATGCCGTCGATCACCAGGAGACAGCGAAAGGGTGAGAGTAAGCAACCTTGCCTGACACCGCTCTTCACTTCAAACGACTTTGTCAACTGTCCTCCATGCACAATTTTGCAGTGTAATCCATCATATGAGTTCTGTATGATATTGACTATCTTCTGAGGCACGCCGTAGTGTCGAAGAAGTTTCCATAGTGTTGTTCTGTCAAATTTTAATCAGAACATGAGCAAAAGAGCCAAATGTAACTTTTTCTTCTTTATACGAACTTAATAATGCTCATATTTCAATTCACATAAATTACTAGTTCACAACGAATTCTAACTAAGAATTCACAACTAGGAAGATTAAAGTGCAACCTTAATTAACAGGCTTACAATACGCTTACTACAATTTGGTCACGACAAAATATATAATGATTATTAACAGGTTCAATGAAAACTTACAATTAAGGGAATTTGAAAATCGTACAAATTAAGTGCTTATTAACCTAACATTAAAATCATAAGTATTAATTTCCCCCAAAATAACTTCCATACATACTGGTTCTCATTTATTCATCTCATCTTAACAAAATGTCTCATTATTAATCATCGTAAACACATCTAATTATTTAAATATCTTATGGAATGGTCAGTAAAATATTTAAGTTTATCTGCTTATTTCAACCACCAGTCTTTAAGTCCTGGTATTGTATTTGTGAAATTATTACCAACGGAGAGAATGAATTACAATTCATGAGGACAAATACTACAATTATAGAGTACAAATTGTGACTGGGATCACTTTCATTACAATAACTGTATTTGTACTTTCTTGAATTATTGAACAAAGTATATTTATTTAGTTGAAGGAATTTTGTAGAGATTGAGGTAATTTGCAGTTTGTATTTTTTTTCAGATTAATATCAGTTGAGTTATGATTGAAAACTCGAAACAACTAGACAGCTCCTTTGTTTTCGATTGGGGTTCCTCAACAGTATACATCCAAGACTTAACCAGAGACTAAATCCAGAACATCCCAAAGCCATTAGTAAGGTATTGACTCGCATTTGATATAACTGAGCTCCATTGGTCACAGCTTCGCATAGGAATCCAGGAGATACGTCTGAAATGAACCAGTAGCGTGCACATGACTGTTAATATAGAAGTTGTATTCTAAAACTCATTTTTTGTTATATTGGTGGTTGGCAACTGATTAAGTCAAGTTATCGTTTGACTAGTAATTCGCTTGAACATAATATGAGTCATTTTGACTAGTGGTCGTTTAAATTCAATTATAATTGATTGCTAATAAAGAGCAGTAGAGATTGTTGCGTTTCACTGAAATCACAAACCGTTTAATGTTAAATCAACATTAAAACCTAGGAAGAACTGAACTGCCGTTGCACCCCAGTATGGAAATCCCCATCACTGTGCATCGAAGACCCTGAAATCGGGAATCCAACTCAGAACCTTAGGTCTTGCGCGCGAACCCTTAACCTCCAAAGCACTAAACTAACACGCAACTGTGTTAATGTTTAGCTTCAATTTATTACAAAATATAAATGGTTGTTTTAATTGTTAGTTATTTTATTTTTCAATATTTACTAGTGTAGATCATCGTGGACCAACTTTAACTGCTAATCGTCAAAGGCAATCGGAATCACCGCCAGTTCATAAAAATTGGAAAGGTAAATTTTAAAATACGCATGGTAGAATTCTCATTGAGATGAAATGTTTGTCTTAAAAAGTAGTAAATTATTTGAACAACTGATAACAGCAAATATAAGTGAGTAGTATGATTTCAATAAAATTACTATTAGGTTTTATTTTAATATATATATCCCAGTATTAACGTGCATCTCTGAAAAATATCAGATTAGTTAAAGCTTACATAAGAGTAACTAATAATGCAAACTAAACCGTACAACTAATAATAGTAGGTAAAGAGTGATAAATACATATTTTAATCATTAAAATTAGCTTTAAATGTCAATCTCATCGATACTTACAACAAAACAGAATCAAATAATGCTTCTTTTCAAATATCTTACTCATGAAAGATAACCCGAAAATAAAGAGGGAAGAAACCAATAATGGTTTGGATAAACAGTATATCTGAATGTGAGGTGAATCAGAGGAATATGAGTCCTACAGTCTGGTCATTTATAGGGGAGGGAGAATTTCATATCTGATATACCTGGGTATGACCACGGTGGTTGATTGAGCATCTTCAGCTAGCAGTGTTCGTTATGTCTAACAATGTCAGTAACAATGTTACGTTTTAGGCAGTTATTCATCACAATGGATGTTGGAAGATCGAGTTGACGATCACCTGACTGCATTATAATTTTACGGACAAAATATTTGCTACTAACAATAATAATGAGTAATATATAATGATAAAAGCCAACTAACATATGCTTCCAACTATTTAGTCTAGAAATAAAAAAAAGTAGAATTGTTTCAAATAAGTTTTGACATCTGACAGCAGGTGTCATATTGCTTCAGTGTTAGTTTTTAGATTTTGCACCCGATACATGTATACAATAGTGTCAGCAGGAATCATAATGAGTTTGAAATACTGTAATATATGTAAGCACTAATATATCCAACGTTAGAAACTCAAGTATCCAAAGGTTTGTTTGCGATATAGTTGAATGGGAACGAAAATCTATTTACTGAATATGAATTTCAAGATGGAGATACTTGGTTTGTAACTTTTTCTTATGTATTACAGTCAGTTACTTCAAGGCCAAAAGATAAGTGAGAGATGCCAAAGAGTGGATGTTGTTGGTCAAGATTTGGCCTAATAATTCAAGGGATGCAGATATTCTCTACTGATTGAAAATCTGCCTTAATTTTTTAAGGGCATATATCTTTATCAAGAAACGGAATTGTGTACATACTTCGATTCTAGTTAGCTAACAAAAACTTTCATATCACTCATGGTTTTCTCACTCAAGCAGGTGGTTAGGCTAGATTATGTATCAGTATAATGCTTCTTCTTGTATACATACTAAAATAAAAGGGAGTCACTTACTTTGTAGAAAGATAGTCAATTTCAGTCGATATTATTAATATCCTATTAATCCAGTGTTATTTAAGATGTGTCGGTAGAATGTTCATTGTTTTGATTATTGTACATATTTGATACATATAATAGTTCCCATAACTGAGAAAATTCATCATCTGTGGCAAGAAGGCGATAAGTGAAGAAAAAAATTAGTTTGCCAAATCCTGTTATGTTTATGGCTTTAAAATTGAATTATTCAGACCATAGATTGTAGTAAAGCTACCCATTGATTTTGCTGTTTATTAAAACTACATTCACTACTTATATTTAATATTAGTAGTATATGTTACATAAAACTTATTTTGCATTTTACTGAAAACGATGTTATTTAGATGTTGATGCATATGATGAAGATGATTTACGTGATACAACACAAACTGTAGAGGTACCAGGACAACCAACTGCCAAGAAACCCCAACCTGTTGGGCCTGGAGTTAAGAAGAGACCATTCTCTAAAAAGGTAACATTATGCTAGCTAGGTGTTATGGTTTTAATTATAATTTCTGTATCAAACACTTGTTTTCCATCAGTGACTTTTCCTTTCATAAAGATTGAATCAAGATTTAAAATTTTGTTATTAGTTTTGTTATTTTTGTTATTAGTTTATGGAGTTATTCAGGCACAGTGGAACCCGGAGCGTATGTAAGTTGTTTCAAGTTGTCACACCAGATCAGGGCAGTGACGTGAATTATCAAGTGAAATTCCGGAGCAGCAAAAGGGATAACGGTGTCAATGGTAGTAAAAAAATGTTAGGCATAAACAATATGATCAGAGAAAGAAGAATGAACCACCGTAGTAGGAATGTAAAATAATTTTGAAACTTGAGATTTAAGAGAAAACAAATGGTTATTACTTTTGTCTGAATTCGACGATTTTGAGTCGTGTCACCTTGCATCTCAAACCCCTGATCACAGTTATACTGTGGAGCTGAATCAGATATTGTGCAACAGACAGATTGTCACTGAATACATGGGATGGTGCCCCGTTCTAATTTAGTTGTCCCTAGCTTTATTCTAACTTACTCATACACAAGCTAATATCATTCATCAAGGTATACATAAAACATCTCTCAAACAACTTAGTCGATGAAGACTCACTATGTCATGAAGTGATATGTTATCTTTACGTAATACATTCCGTCTTCTTTCAATGTTGCCAAATTGATGATTCTAGTGTATACGAGAGACACTACGAATGTGTTTGTGAATTAAATATGAACACCCAAAACGTTTTCAGATGTCATAACATTTGTTATCTTCAAAGGACAAGCTATTCTAAGGATCGATTTGGTTACAAACTAGAATCGATATGACAAACCGCTAATACCCAAAAAGAGTTTTTCGATATGTTTCTTACTGATAAAGAATGTCATAGCCAGTCAACATTAAAACCTAAGGTTTGTCATCCGAAAAGCCACTCTTTAGTTGTTAATTACATATATAACTTGAGTTAGCTAACCTTAAAACATAGATATTATCTCGTAGATTCCGTATTATGTTTCAGAAGAAAACAAGAGTGCTATCTAATGGTACTAAGTTTTCAACTAAAATGCTTTCACAATGAAATCTGTTTTTTTTAGTGGAATAATCCTTTAAAAAAGCTAGAATTTCACTGTTGAAGTTTTTAGATCATCATATCATGAAATCTTTCATTTGAATTATAGATCTCCGTCATTCATCAATGTCTTATTTACTGCCTAAGAGATTTATCATTCATTTAAAAACCTTTCGATCTATGTAAATGAGTGTCAAACATTAATATGATAATTTACATTCACAATAAGGTGATTTAAGTAAATACTACTATTGTGGTGTGTGCTACTTATATTGACATAAGTAGTAGACGATGTTAGTCGTGAACAGAAGGTTTGGCGGCAGAGAGACAAGAGGATCGAACATTAAAGAATGGAAACAGGATGCAATTTGTATGAAAATGCAAGAACAATGAAGTCTGAGTCATTTTGAGACAATTGGTGGACATTCTGCAAATTAAGCATTTACTTTATGATTGTTAGAGTTTATCAATTAGTCCTGTAATTTTGTGTCAAATACATTCGATTGTCCACATTGGTGTTCTTGTTTACTACACTATTAATAAACAACTGTTTTGTATAATTTCCAGTGTGTAGCATATATCTGCTTTGGTATCACAGAACCTCTTATGTTTACAATTGTTTGGTTATGTTGGTCATTATTTTTTTGCATATATTTACAGAATGAATTTGTGCCTCCATATGAAATTGTACCATGTATGCGCCCTGTTGTATTTGTTGGTCCAGCTCTGAAAGGTTATGAAGTGACAGATATGATGCAGAAAGCAATATTTGATGCAATGAAAAAGCATTTTGATGGAAGGTTTGTATATTACTAAAATGTCTGTAATTAATACGAATAGATATTCTGCTGAGTAGTATGTTTTTACTACAAAAAAATTTAATGAGTATATCATTATCGTTTCCTATACCTAAATGTAACGAAGCAATGTGTGTCTGCAGCAATTTGGAAGACTCTTCTGGTTTCCCACATTATACGAGCATTCCATGTACCTAAATAAATAGTTGCTCTGATTTTCAGAATGGGCATCAGCCTCGTGACTTCCGAAGAAACTGGACTTTCACAATGAGGTGTCATAACTCTTCTAAATGAAGATCTTCTAACTTCTAGGGCAGAGTTTAAATGGTTTGAATTATTTTTTCTGGTTAGCGTTTTTTTTAGCGAGTTAGTTTTCTACGGGATGGATTCGCTAACTTCATGCCCAACCCTCCTTATTTATCCGGGTTTGTGACCGGCAGTAGCCCCAGAGGGGCTCCAGGCGGAGCAATATGTGTACTGGCATCTTAAAGCTATTCGTTTAATTTTTAATATGAAATTAGTACTAATCATAAACTGTTATCGGTTGATGAACCACTAAAAATCAGGAGGTACTTGATTCTTAATTCATCTTATGTTGGAACTCCTCAGTAGTGAACATGTAATACTGTAGATCTTGTGGTGATTACTATATTTCTACACTTCTGAGTTGGAATCCAGATGTCAATATTCTCAACTTTAGTCAAATCGTGGGAATTCACAATTATTATCCAATATCATCAATGAAGTTCAACTGATTATCGACAAAGTTATTATTTATGATTCATAGCTTTTCAGAAGAACTTCGTGAATATATATTGCAGCTAGTCATAACTACATACGCAACTATAATTAACATGGAGCTCTATAAATGTTGTTTCTTTTGTAATATTAAACACAACTGAAACATATTCTTATTTACTCATTTGATTGTTTAAATAATTCTTAACAATTTATTTTGGAAGATTGTATTTCTAAGATTACATACTAGTCCTGAAGAATTTTGTTAACAGTTAGTTAACTGGAGCATATATAAATGTATTTCTGAATTAATATTCCATAAAGAAGGAATAGTTTAAAATTTATGGAATCAAACTACTCTTTAATGTACATGTTGCCTTGAGAAATCATTCATTTGGAGACTTTCTGTGATGACGTATAGTTTTTTTTCCAACTTTTTGTTAGTACTATGAATGTACTGAAACGATGGCAAAGATTTGTGACTCAAGTGGAGTTTCATTCATTAAACTATGGGGTTTAACCATAAAACTTTGAATGTGAATCTGAACAACATTATCAGTACAAATTTTAGATGCATGGGGACTAACAGTTTATCCTGTTGATAGAAGGATAATCAAAGGTTCATGAATAAACCGCCCTGATCAGAGACCAAATTTCCATCTAAAACTATGAATAAATAGTTAATCTATGTATAATAGTTTCTCAAATTTTTCATTGTAAGGTGAAAATCCACCTATAATGGAGAGAAATAACAGGTAGAACGTTGAAGGATATTGATTGGAGCTCTATTTCAACAAATCAATAGTGATTATGTTTACAAAATATAATGAGTTTCCTGTACTTTGCTGGTTTACTTCAATTACATATGAGATAATAGGCTTAGTTAGTTTGAAGTATTTCTATATTTGTAAAATAAGTTACAAACTGTTATTTACAGCATAATAAATTGTTGAATAGGTTATTTTTATGTAATTCAAATGGATGAAGATGATCGTGAATACTGATATAACAGATGATAGTTGTCACTTCTTCTAAAGGGACCTGAAAAAGAAAATGGGTTAATGGTGATGTATTGACCTAGGAATGTGTAAATAGAACCGGATGAACAACTGCTCGAAGATGGTCAGATATGGTCTTCTTGCGAAGAGTTCTTGGTGTATTGGCTCTGTACTTTTCATACATCAGAGCTAGCGGAGGAAATCCATGAATCAAGTTGAGGTGTTGTATTTTTAGGCGCTATATTTTTTGACCTTGTTCTTTTGTTTCAGGAAGGAGGCATCTTTGGAGATTCTGATTATCTGTAAAAAATTTTGTATTGCTGCCACATTTATGTTCATGTGGTATTAAAAATTCTCTATTAAATCTTACGTTTTTTTGCGTTTAGTCTTACCAATTTTCAACCAACCTGTTTGGAATAATAAAGCGCAAAAATACAAGCTTTCCAACCAATATACCTCGTTAAGATAATCGTGATATGTAAATCCAGTTACCACATCCCTGTAGCAGCAACGTTCGGAAATCAGAATGCTTTTTCTAGTGTTTCGAAAACAACTAACTAATGTTCATTATGCATTAAAGTATTTGCCTCTAAACGAAATTGTAAATTATTTGATCAAATATTAAATTATATAAATTCTTCCAATTAACTATTTCATTTATTATAGAATTATTGTTAGTCGTGTCAGTACAAATATATCATTAGCTAAACGTGTTGGAGAATTATTACATTTGGATAAAAAGAATATTATGGAAAAAGGACGTAGTCGACAGCTTGTCTCTCTAAGTAATTGTTTTTTGAAAAATTTATTTTATGTATAATGAATATTGAGAAATTATACATCACTGTTGATCTTTAGCGTTTCTAACGTGTACAGGACAACACTATGGAGGCTTCTTCGACACTACGGCGTGCCTCAGAAGATAGTCAATATCATACAGAATTCCTATGATGGATTAAACTGCAAAATTGAGCATGGAGAACAGTTGACAAACTAATTCGAAGTAAAGACCGGTGTTAGGCAAGGTTGCTTACTTGCGCTCTTTCTCTTTCTCCTGGTGATCGACAGCATCATGAAGACGTCAACGTCAGAAGGGAAGCGCGGGATACAGTGGACATCTAGGATGCAGTTGGACGATTTCGAATTCTCAGATGATATGGCCCTCCTAACGCACACGCAAAAACAAATACAGAAGAAAACGACCAGTGTAGCAACAGCCTCAGCAACAGTACGTCTCAACATACAAAAAGGGAAAAGCAGGATTCTCCGATACAACACAACATTCAACAATCCAATCACAATTGACGGAGACGATTTGGAAGATGTGAAAACCTTTACATATCTGGACAGCATCATTGATGAAGATGGTGGATCTGATGCAGATGTGGAGGCGCGGATCGGCAAAGCAAGAGCAGCATATTTACAACTGAGGAACATCTGGAACTCAAAACAACTGTCTATCAACCTACACCAACGTTAGGATTTTCACTACCAATGTCAATACAGTTCTACTGTATGGGGCAGAAACCTGGAGAACTACAAAATCCACCATCCAGAAGATTCAAGTTTTTATTAACAGTTGTCCACACAAAATGCTTCGGATCCATTGGCCGGACACTATTAGCAACAACCTACTGTGGAAGAGAACAAACCAGATCTCAGTGGAGGAAGAAATCAGGACGAAGTGCTGGAAGTGGATAGGACACACATTGAGGAAAGCAACCAACTGCGTCACAATGCAAGTCCTCACATGGGATCCTCAAGGCAAAAAATGAGGAGGAGGAGAGGGAGACCAAAGAACACATTACGTCGGAAATTGGAGACAGACATGAGAAGAATGAACAAGAATTAGATAGAAGTAGAAAGGAAGGCCGAGGACATTGTGGGATGTAGAATGCTGGTCGGTGGCCTATCCTCCATTGGGAGTAACAGGTGTAAGTAAGTAAGTAAGTAAGTAAGTCGATCTTTAGATATTTGAGTGAATTAATTAATGAACCTACAGATTGTGTAAATTAAGATTTTATTGCCTAATATGGATGGATGGAAATGATGATTTCACTTATCTAATGAACTCTTATATGTTTATAATCGCTATTTTTAGATTTAAAAATACTCTACATTCAAAATTAAATCCATTTATATTGGTGATACCTTCTAAAGTTAAAACCAGTCCGATACATGTATTTTGGTATAGAGTTGTGCAGATTATTAAGTTGTTGATTGAGATCATGAACCGATTGATGTTAGAGCACCATTGAAAGCCTGGAAGCATTAAACGGCCGTCTCGTCCTAATGTGTGGTCGCGCAATTTTGTGGATTGGTTGGGGTTAGACAATAACACCGTTGAACTCCGGCTCACTGGTCTAGTAGGTTGAGTGTTCTCGCGCGAGACTCAAGGCCCTGCGTTCGAATCCCGCAGGCAGGTTCTTGGATGCGCACTGCCGAGGAGTTTTACAATAGGACGAAACGGCTGTCCAGTGCTCACAAATTTCCAATGGTGGTCTAGCATCATTCGGTTCATGATCTCAATCAATAACTTATATTTTGATAATCTTTTCAAAATGTTTATGCTAACTTACCGAAATATCGATGAAGCGCCGTTTCAAAATAACAAGTAGGGAAATTTTTGTATTAAGCATTCGTGCCAGACAGGAAGTTTTGTGATTGAGTGTATTAGTAATGTAGAGTTTACTTAGGGTAAAAAAAATGAACTTTTTATTATTGATTACTTTTCAAACTCAAAGAATATTCAAGAGAAGAAGAAGTTTATGTGATTTTACCATCAGATTTGGTCATTTTCCCCTTTACGATGCTGCAATAAGTTTATTGTAAGCAATTTACTCATGTATTTCTTACTGGCTATTTCATGAATTGAATGTCATTCACCATTACATTTTGAATTTCTCTCAAAAAACTTAAAATGTCACTCTTTCGATTTCGAATCTGTCAGAAGTATAGCATCGTTTCAACAAAACATCTAGTCAAAAGAAAGACTGATTCGTAAATGAAAATTACAAGTTACTTAGCTTCCGAAAAAAATTCTACAAACTATTCTATTTGATGCTTTTAAGTTTAGATCATGATGTTTATCCAGTCACTTAAGCTTATTTAGCACTTCAGTCCAAATAGATTCCTTTATTATTTGAGGACAAAGATCAAACTAAAAAGAAACCCTTGACTTAATTCAGAAGTAGATCTAATGGCTCTTAATTTATTGCCCTGGGACATTACTGTATCAGTCATAAAACCTAATCGGAAGTTTCCCTTAAATAATTTTGCCTAATATAATCCATGTTAGAAGTTTACAACCAGGTAGACTATACTTTACATTAATTATCCACTTAGGGTTTATTCTCATAATTCGAATAAGAGTTCATTCGCGTTATGAAAAGCTGGAGTTCATTTAAAAACGCTACATATTTATGCAGCGCAAATATCGAACAATCTAATCATGCGCTTACTTTTCAACGGATTTCAAACAATAATTGAGAAAGATCACATCTCGATATAGTACGTGCGATGTTGAGTCACTTAGACAAGTAGCCACATTGTGATAGGACTTGATCAGCACTAAAGGAACAGACAAACAATGGATTAATTACTAGCTCAGTATTAGCGTCCCAAACTGTGAAGCTGAGTGACTCTGGTTTGAGTTCTACGGAGAGTATCAATCCCATAAAGACACGTCTTGGTGATGAGTGCTAACTAGTGTGAAACTCGAGTTCAGTTAATCCCTCTGACTAGTTTCAACCATGTAGCATAAAAAATAATATGCGAGATTTCAAGTCATTTAGGTTAATGGCAACATTGCAACTTAGTCTTTTCTGATGTTATTCCACTTTGGAAATGATTTTTATCAGGGAATAGATCGAAATTACAAACATAAACCATTGATTCCCTACTCAATATCCTCTTAAGATAACGTGACCTATGCTCAGTTGTAACTTTTTCGCTACAAACAAAACAGTTCTTTAGCACCTCATAACTTCCAATGGTTTTAAAACCCGTGCTAGTCCATGGTAAGAATTATTTCTCAAGTATTTTAATTTTATAATAGATGGATTATTACTAGAAGTGAAATAAAGTACAACGGCTCTTCATCCTATTCAAGACTCATCAGTTGGACATACTTACATTCAAATATCGTTGGTCACGTTCAGACTCAAACACAGTGTCATTCTTTCCGTAGGTCAACACATTCTCTACTGAGCTAATAAGTCTCAAAAGCCACTAACATGTTCAACAGAACAATTTAGACCCTTATTAATAATAATGATACTTTCAATTTAATGTTATCCGATAATTTGATCATTTAATCTGCATGTATATGTATCTATGGTTTATTCTTTTCATTCCTTTACCAAGTTGAAGTTCAACAAGATTTAGAAAGAATATTTCATTTGGGTAGTAAAATGCAATTACTTTTACTAGATTGTGATACAATTAATCATCCAAATCAAATTACTAAAACATGTTTAGCACCTATTGTAATTTATATAAAAATTGCCAGTATACGTGTATTAAATCGTCTAATTAAAAATCGTGGCAAATTACAAAAAAAGAATGCTGGTGTACAAACAGCCGCCGCTGAAAAACTATTACAATGTTCACCAGTAAGTTACATATTTGATACTGATAAGTTATTTCATTGAATTTAAACAGTATTTTTAGGTTGTATTTGTCATAGATTGATTTCAGTTCGATAGGGGACATTTGAAAATCAGAGAGCATAAGATAGTGCTTTCTTCTCAGTATGGGATCCCTCACTAGTGAGCATTGACAACCCCACCAGGTGTCGAATCTAGATCCTCAGATTGCGCTACAAACACCTGTCCATTAGACGAATTCAACGCTACGATGAAACACTCGTCTAATGCTGCTTGATTTTTAATGTTACTTCAACTGAGATCAATTTGTAGGGAATGAAACCTACAAATGAGATCTATTTCTATATAACCCATTCAATTAAGGCACTCATGAAAAAAAATAATTTTTTTGCATAGAATTCACTTCATTTTAAGGGTTACTTACTTACGCCTGTTACTCCCAATGGAGCATAGGCCACCGACCAGCATTCTCCATCCCACAATGTCCTCGGCCTTCCTTTCTACTTCTATCTAATTCTTGTTCATTCTTCTCATGTCTATTCTCACTTCTCCGAGTAATGTGTTATTTGGTCATCCTCTCCTTCTCCTTTTCCTCCTCCTCCTCCTTTGGTTTTGAGGATTCCATGTGAGGGATTGTCTTGTGACGCAGTTGGTTGATTTCCTCAATGTGTGTCCTATCCACTTCCAGCACTTCGTCCTGATTTCTTCCTCCACTGAGATCTGGTTTGTTCTCTCCCACAGTAGGTTGTTGCTAATAGTGTCCGGCCAATGGATCCGAAGCATTTTGTGTGGACAACTGTTAATAAAAACTTGAATCTTCTGGATGGTGGATTTTGTAGTTCTCCAGGTTTCTGCCCCATACAGTAGAACTGTATTGACATTGGTAGTGAAAATCCTAACGTTGGTGTAGGTTGATAGACAGTTGTTTTGAGTTCCAGATGTTCCTCAGTTGTAAATATGCTGCTCTTGCTTTGCCGATCCGCGCCTCCACATCTGCATCAGATCCACCATCTTCATCAATGATGCTGTCCAGATATGTAAAGGTTTTCACATCTTCCAAATCGTCTCCGTCAATTGTGATTGGATTGTTGCATGTTGTGTTGTATCGGAGAATCTTGCTTTCCCTTTTTGTATGTTGAGACGTACTGTTGCTGAGGCTGTTGCTACACTGGTCGTTTTTTCCTGTATTTGTTGTTGCGATTGCGATAGAAGAGCCAGGTCATCTACCAAGTCTAGATCGTCCAGATGCATCCTAGCTGTCCATACTTTAAGGGTTACGTTGTATTATTGTTTCTTACATAAATAGTATCTATCAAGTCTAAGTACATAGACCTATACTTGATCATTGACTTATACCCATTCATTCATCTGTTTACGTAAACATTTACAGCCAAAACGTCAGTTATACTTTGATTTCATTCATTTATAACACATAAGCCACATTGCTCAAAAACGAATATCTATGTTTTTAATTCCACCAATGTCATCTATGTATGATGAAAATTATCTTCAAATTAAATTGAATTATAAATCACTGATCATAAGTGACTGTTTTAATATGAAATGTTCAATGCTTTTTAAATTCGAAATTATACTGTATGAGGTTAGTTAATTCAATAAACATGTGAGATATTGACTGACAGTATTAGTGAATAGTTACATTTGTATTGGAATGCTATATCTGACAGATTAGAGGGTAGCGAATTGTCGATCGGACCAAAGACGCGCAAACACGTAGGAACGAGTTAGGGTTCTGACTGGTCCCACTCCTCTGTCTAGCCCAGCCAGTTGAATCCAGAACCCAAGTCTCAGCCTTGGATATATGAATCGTTATATTTCAAACATACTTTGTTTATATATCAGTTAAGCAGACCACATCGTACCATAAAATAGAAAATAACATTGTACAGTAGGAAAATGACACGTTAAATGAATATTGACCAATAGGATGATACCATTTCATGTCCAAGGATAGCATTAGGATTAACAGAATAATCTTTGGGATATTTTCCTGAATATTCCAACATGGAATAATACAACAAAGCATCTCTAATCAGTAATTAAATGATAACATTTAAGCTGTCATAAGCAAAGTTCATGAATTTGATCACTCATAATTTAGAGATTAGCAACCGATGGTTACAGACCTTGAATGACATGACTCAAAATCGTTTGCAATGGAGCAGATGCATCCACTCTTTGTGTTCTCTCAAATTCTAATCTTCTGAATTCTTCGTATCCCTTTTTTTCTCTTTCCAAATTTCTTTCACAGGATTATACTCCTTGAATAACATCTTAAAACCCTAACGTTTCCGATTACTGCTTATACTCTACCACTATAGGATATGAATCGACAATCGCATCTCTGTGTTAATGTGGTATGGCAACTCGAACTGATGTGCATACGTACGAAGTTCTACATTGTTACTGACTGACTGAGAGATCACTTTACTAAGTGAGATCAATGGATTAAAAAACAGATGTCCAGTTCCCTAAGATAAAATAATATTTCTTCTCAATAATATCAGTTCATGATGAAAAACAATGAAGTCAAAAACGTCTTTCATAGTTCAACATCTTTGAGGAAATCATGAAATATTATGAAATAATGAATACTTATTAGTTAGAACACGTATTACATGTGGTTAGACTTCATCTACCTCGATATGCAATAATAACTAGTTTATAAATTGAAAAAAGGTTAAAAATAGTCAAACGAAGTTATGAAATCAGTCTATGAAATCGATAACCACTGGGCTGAACAATTTTAACGAAAGCAAACTAAATGGTTGTGTCAACGGTGTAACTGTGACTAGTGGTTAAAGATTTCAGGTGACATGAATAAGAATCATTTATAGTGAACCTGAAACATTTACTTTTTACCTTGTTCTAGATCTTGAGCTCCAGTATCCCTTCATGTATATCTTTTCATTGTATCGCTTTGAACTGTATTCATGATGTTTATTATTTCACATTATCATTGGCACTACATTATTTAGACTTCTTTCGTATTTTTTTTTGAATTTCATCTTATTATGCTAATGTGTGACATAACAACTTTTGCTAAAGCCTCATTTGTACCAGGCTCTGCATTGATTGTGACTAACATATTGTCAACCTTTTCAAAGGTGTCGAGTTTACAAGGATAACTTCTCCTGGGAAACACTTCACAATCAATCCATAAACACTGATCAATACGATTAGGTTGTTGTTAAGTTTCTTTTTTGTATAAATTGAAAAAATTCAGACATAACCAGTCCATACACCATCGCTCTTTAATGAAGTTTTCTCAATTACGCTTTAAATGTCTGTAGTTACAGGTGTAAACAGAATAAGTTATTTAAAGACAAAATGAATTACTACTCACTGTATTGTTATCGAATTTTAACAACTTTCTAAGTGATTCTAACGCAACAATTGCTGTATGGGAAAGATACTTAATAATTGAAAAAACATTTAAGGGAAACCAACAGGTTTTGATGTCAGCCCTAAACTCTGTTTTGATATCTAATTACTAAGTGGAATTACTTATATATCATTACTACTAAACATGTGGTCAGTCAATATATGTGCTTTGTCTTTTGCTTTTTTAGGAATCATTCGATTACGTAATAGATCAAAATACTTTATCCGCTGCAACAGAAGCATTAAGTCATTTCTTAGAAGGTTATTGGGCAGCAACACATCCTCCTTTAATAGTTAGTAAAGCTGAACGTCTTCTTGGCTCATTTTCTGCTCCAGTGCCTGAAACGAAAGAAGTTGATTCAGATCGCCCACTTGTGCCTATGACACCTGGTCATCCAGGGCTGAGTGTAGTTACCAAAGTAAGAAATATAGATTTAATTTTGAAGAAACCATATTTTTTTACTAATAAGAATACTTCCAATTACTGAACTTTTACATTTGTAAGTTTTATATTTTTAGTGTTAAAACTTAGGTTTCCTAGGCAATTTCAGTTGAATTTAAACTTGTACACCATCGGATGCTATCCCAGTGGTCTAGAGGTTAAGCATTTGAGACCGAAAATCCTGAGTTCAATTCCTGTATACTAAGAAGTTTCATACAAGGACAAAACGGCCGTTTAATGTCTCCAGATTCTCAAAGGTTATTTAACACAGATTGATTCGTGATTTCAGTGCAATTCCGGTAGATTATATTTATTGATAGCATTTCAAAAATATAGCTTTAAGGATCAATCACTGAGTTGTGGTCAAACTCATGTTTGTCTGGTTCTTAGTACATGATGTTGGTCTGTGGTTTATGACATGTTAAGTTAGTAACGGAACATGGAATTTATTTGTTGTAAACTTTTAAAATTTTCAACCTAGAAACACTCTAGGAAGTATAACCATAATTTTTTTTTATATCTCAGTTGGAATTGTTCAGTGATAAGATTTCAACATGCAGTACGTAACAACTTGGATTCGAATTTCTGAGAGATTATAAGTTTCGAAATAAGTTCTAATTTAAAGACTTATGGTCAATAGTTCATTGTTTAATGCAAAATCACAGTGACTCGGTAATATATGGAAATCATACAACAAATACATTATTTACACAGCTTCTTTGTGTTGTTCTTCATAGACTCAACTATTCCTTTGATTCTGTTGTTATTTTAATTTCTTTCCGATTTCCTTCCTGTTCTGTTCATTTCAATCTTCTACTGTCATGCACATTCACTTCAGATTGATGCTACTTACTACTCATCTCTGTTAGCATAAGTAGCAGATACCGCGATAATACAGTTCACGTCGATATACAATCATTTGATCTAATGTTTATGTTTTATAAACTAATCTAAATTTGTGAATGGAAACAATCAGCATGAAAGATTAATTGATTAGATTCAATCTACACCAGGAACTGAAAGAAGTTAAACTAATTACTTTAACCTAATGACTAGTTAATGTATTTGGTATACAATTAACTATTATTATACGTTAACAACGAATTAATTAAAATTAAAATATTTCCCCTATTTTTTTCACTTTAGTCTGCATTAAGTGCAGGATTTACTAGTCAAGAAATTAGTGAATTAACCGGAGCAAGAGCAACTGGTTGGTTAACAGAAAATGGTGGACAAATAGAAAATGAACTTGGACTTACTGGTGTACATCATGCTGGTAGCGTTGGTAGTGAATTTCATAATACACATTTTGGTGGAAGAAAACTTAAGATTGATCATAATAATAGTCCTGATGGCCTTAACACAGGACATTTTTCAGATGATGAAAATGAAGGTTCACGTTCAAATTATCCTCGTAATGTTCGATTACATGTGGGTGCTGCAAGTGCAGCAGCAATTGCTGCTGTCGCCGCTGGACTTACACCTAAAGTTCACTCGTTACATCCATCATTATTTCAAGGTGAAAATAAACGAAATGGTTCCGTAATTCGTGATATAAATGGCAATACTACACATGAAGCACCTGGTCTAACTATGGGTTTAGGATTGGGCATAGCGAATGGGGTTGCAGCCACTATCAGTGCTGCTCTATTCCCGAGTCATAATAATACTAGTCATCATCAGCATCATTCAGCAGAGACTCATCATCAACCAACATCAAGAATACCACCTCCAACAATTGCTGCTGCAGCTGTAGCTTCTGTAGTTTCGCCACCATTAAAAGACTTAGGTATTCATCAAGTGGAAGGAAGTGATGGAACACAAGGTAAGCAAAATTATTATTAATTTTTTCTGGGTATTTTCAAATCGATATATTTGTCCTTATATATATAGATATATTCGTAGATAGTACTTTCATTCATTATTATATGTATTTATTCTTTATTCAGTCTATCAAAGTAGATCAGCCCGTCAAGCAAAACAACGTGAAGAACAATTAGCACGAGTAAAACAAGAAGTTGAAGCTAAAGCTTTAGCATTACAAGCTACTGCAGGTGGTCGACGAAAACGTCGAGATAAAGAAAGAAGACAAAGAAATCTTGATGGTTATTGGGATTCACATGACGAACGTTATCATACTCATGGAACAAATGATTTATCACAACATTCTCATCAATGGAATGGACCACCCGTCCGATCTATGGCAAGAGCATGTCCACCTGACGATTGATTAATTGATTATTTATATACTTATTTAATAAACTAACAACTTCAATGACTGATTCCTGTCTCTTTCTTTTTTTCTGGTAACTTTTTTATTTTACACATTGCTCATGAATGCTTTCACATTCATTCTCATTTTTTGTTTGTTTCTCATTTACAAGAAATGTATCGGTATACAATTTAAATCAAAAGACAGTCAGTAACAACGCAGAACTTCGTACGTATGTACATCAATCCGAGTTGCCATACTACATTATCACAAAGATGCAATTGTAGATTCAAATTCCATAGTGCTAGATGTAGTAAAATTATAAGCTGTGATCAAAAAAATTAGGGTTTGGAGATGTTATTGAAGGAGTGTAATCCAGTAAAAGAAATTTGAAAGGAGAAAAAGGAAAGGGATATGAAGAATTCAGAAGATTAGGATTTGGGGGAACACAAAGAGTGTATGCACCTGCGCCATCGCAAACGATTTTGAGCCATGTCATTCAGGGTCTCTAACTATCGGTTGCTATCATCTCGCGGTCCCCAACCAGGTAGTCTACACCTACCAACATGACTCAGTCCACTTGTCAGTGACTTCATGGACTTGTGCCATGTTTTGGTTTGGCCGCCCCTAGCTTTCTTCCAACCTACTCCTATACCACTGAACATCGCACGTCGAGGCAGTCGGTCGTTGGGCATACGTAACACGTGTTCCAGCCATCTCAACTGATGAAGTTTCACTACGTCATCAATTGATTTGCCACCCTTACCTAGTACCCGTTTCTTAACAACTGCATTACTTACTCGATGGTCCCATGATATACGAGCAATATTTCGAAGACACCTATGATCAAATACTAGTAACCTACGAATATCCTCTACTCTTACCGGCCATGTTTCACTGCCATAAAGTAGGACGAAACGAACTACTACTCAGTAAACCTATCTTTTGGTTGGTAGACGAATATCTCGCCTACGCCATAAATGACACAAGTTGGCAAAAGCTAGTCGAGCCTTCTGTATCCATACTGAGATTTCGTCACACACCAGATCACAAGGGCTGATGAGATTTAAATCAAAAGTGACTTAGTGTTTTTGCAACTATATTTAAAATATGTATTCACAATAATCATACAAAATAAGCAGATGAATAAGAACAGTGATAAATAAAAATTATTGAAAATAAAATTATCAAAAAGAAAAGGAATGACTTTGAAAAGACTATTGCATCTTTTTTGTCACATACAACCAACTTCCCTTATAGATTTGAACAAAGGCAAAGCGGAAAAAACATGCGAAATAGGATAAAATTAATTTTATTTTACGGTTTATTTTTGACTGAATACAACCATACTTGTATGATGTAATAGATATTGATGATTGAAATAATAGAACGACAATGATTGCCAATATTATGTATATATAAGCAGAGATGACTGGTGGACAACAGGGAAATCTTAGAGATGTGCATTTCATCTTGTCTTAAACTCATCATTAGTTGGATGTGCATGCACCCTAGAGTTAATATTTACTCAAGGACTCGAACCTAGTACCATTCGCTTCGAATGTCATTGAATTATTCATTTAACTACAGATGTATATCCATCTGATAAGACACAAATAGGACGAAATGAGCGTCTTTAGGATTTCGTTGTTAACCACTATCCATCTCTGTACATATATATATATATATACGAATAAGCAAATGTGAGTTCATTTGAAGATAAATATCGAAAACATTTAAATGATTAATGATTGTATGATTCAAATAGGGTTGTAAAGAGCTGAATAAAAAGTATAAAAGAAAAGAGAATTTATATTATCCTGTTCCAATTACTGTAGTTGTTCTGGTTTTATTCTTGCATTTGTAATGCATTTAAACTTCCATCTTATCTCTCTTTTTTTAAAAGAAAATATATAATGAAATATAAATATCCAAGTAATCTGTATGATGAACTCATCTAGCAATTGAATAGGTAGGTAGTATAATGATAATGATGATGATGACTTACACAAATTATTCATTCTATTTATAAGGTAAAGTACAATACAGTAATCATTATCGATATTAGAACATTTCAACTAAAATTTACGTATCTGTTCAGGTTTTCTGATGTATTTACTTTTTTCCTGGAAAAGAAATTCATAGAATTAGAACGATGGAATTAATATGACAATTATGATCCCTGTTGTTAGATTAATTAGTGATAAACAAGCTGAAGAAAAATTTTTTTATGGAGTTTTGTCCTCGGAGCTGAATGGTTTGATCGTGGAGTTTTCATTGTTCTTCTGAATGATATCATCAGCACAAACTTCAGGTAGATGTCTACCTGTCCACGATCAAACCATCTAGTTCATCTACCTGAGCTATAAATCTTCTCCATCATCTAAAAAACTGAAAGAATATATTATTCACTAATAGTTAGTGTTGAACAATCTAATCTCTAAGCAAATTAGTAATTTCCTAATATAATTGTCATTTTTACTGATTCATTTTATTTGATTGTCAGTTGCAGAAAAACTAATCGCAATGATTTTTCCCATCAAACAAGTAAGTAAACGCTGAACAGCAATCTGATAATCAACATCTCAAACAAACATTTTAACTGAAATTTATTCTAATTCGTAACAATTCGAATTCTCTCGTCCATATTCAGGGCTGATTTTTTTATTTATATGTATGGCATATGGGCCCCCAATTGCCCTGTTACATCCGAAGGTGGGGAGAGTCCACATGGCCACACGTATACAACCACTGCCGAGGAAGTCCTATTCTCTGCCTTCTCACGGCATTACTGTTGTTTACGAAATTGAGAGGACGAAAAGCGAATGTCCGGCGCTTTAACCGAATTGGTGGGCACGGAGGGTTCACCTAATGGAGTTAGAAAACCTTGATTCCAAACCAATTGTGTATATCGGCTCCAGAATCCTGAGATAAGAAATGGCGTATGAACCAATTACTGGTCACCAGCTACCATGAGACTGCATCTCCTTACGTTGCTCCACTGCCTTGCGGATCAGACTCTAATGGCCTGCGATCTGACACTAGTGAGATAGTATGAATGATTGTTATTGAGATACACATATCGTCAATCCTCGTATATAATCATCGACTTAAATCGCGTTAGTCAATAACGGAGATAAATAAGTCAAATACGTGAATCAATTTCGAATACGTATATTTCATACAATCTTTGATCCAGACAAAATATCGGAGAAGCGAAGCGAAACGATGCGCAGTGAAGAAGGCATGTGAGCCAACTCCATTTAGTCAAGCGTTTATCAATATTTATAGTCACACAAATATAGGCTACAGACATTTGATGCATAGGATAAGAGGTTTACACACATACGGTCACATAAAAACAGTCAATGTTGATAAGCAAATAATCAACAAGGTCAAAATGTGACTCAAGAAGGATGAATAGACTGGCCTGTCCGAAATCTAGAATAAGATATGTGGGCTTGACATAATAACCGACACTACAAGACTATTAGGTTGAAGGTTCGGAGTGTGGCGGCCTAAGAGAAACACCTGCTTCGGTCTGGGCACTCAGACAGTATCACAGTCCACACTCAAATCAAGTGATTTGTGTGGCACATATTTATTATGTGTTCGACTAAAGTAATAAGTAAATAATAGCATATGGGCACTTTGAGAGAATGAATTGAATTTACCTGTAATTAAAAGTTTATGATACTTTTTACACAGTAGGATTTAGGACACATGTTTCGGTTTGTTTAGTACCGGTTAGCTGAATGTACTTTAATTCCAGACTGACATTCCAATCCGCTGTTGATATTCAGAACCGAACTTGACCATTTTTATTTGTATAAATGGGTCATAAAACAGCTTTGATCTGTTAAGCAACTACTTAGCAAAATTGTAGTCTACCGAGTGTATCAACCACTTCACTTACCTTGGAAGTCTCATCAGTGTTGGAACGTTGGTGTCTGACAAAATCTTAGCACGGATTCAGAAAGCTCTCTCGGCCTTGGCCTACTTATGTCACTTGTGCTGAAAGAGAGTTGTCCGTTCATTAATCAAAGGGGGAGTATTCGACACGACAGTCCACCATCTATAACTCTGGTTGTGTAAATAACCTATGAAGGTAGGGGACTTGCGTATATTGCAGGATAATGATCATAAATATCTTCGATGCGTTTCCCACGTACTGTGCAACGAACGAATGGGGATCGTCGAGGCTAAGCTTGAGATATTAGGTGAAAATAGCAAATCCTCTGGTGAGGTAGTAAACCTTCATCGATTGGGGTGGTTAGAATATACATCACATTTCTCCAACTGCAGTTTGCCTTGACGCGTGGTGTATAGTCTTTCTTTTATCATTGCTTCTACATCATTTCGGTCTTATTTTTTAGCCATTATCTCATCGTGAGAATCAGGAATGGAAGCATAATAAGCCCATTACATTTTTAGTACCCACCCGCTGTAATTTTGACAATTAACCCACTATGTAAACGTATGTGTGAGTCTGAGTGAACGAATGTCTGCACTGCAATCTCTATCTATTTTTCTATTGGTTGTAAACACAATCAATAAATTAACCGCAATTGATTAACTTCATAAAATGCATGTAGATATTTCGACTTGTAGCTTACACACTCACTTCCCAGTGTGCTTTTCCTCTTGCGTGCCCGCGGATTCTTTTATTTATTAGCAATACACTCTTCCAATAACTGGTGTTATAGCTTTTGAATAAACTCATAGCACTACTTGAAAAATTGGCCTGCCTAAATACTCAGTTAACGATATTTCATCTGTTGGAGTCAAGTGGGGAGGAATTAACCTATACGGGAGCTTCTATAAACGTATATTTATGCTAAGGCTTTAGATTGATTGGACTATAGAATCGCACTACAGAATAAACTGATGATTTGCACGGGTATTTACTTTGCAATTCGGATTGAAAGTTCATTTAATCATCTATGATTCATAATGATTTGTTAACAATTACAGTGATAGTTAAAGAAGTTGTGAAATACTTATACAACAGACATATATAATCACTATTAAGCCTAGTACAAATGTGCAAGCACAAGTTGTCACACCTGATTAGCAAAACGAAACGAGAGTAACAAAAGATATCGGGATGATGTAGTAGCAATGATAAAAAGAAACACTATGATTTAGGAAGACAGAGTGAAAAGTTATGTATGAAGAGATACCGTCGTTCAAGATCGAGAGGGCGATAGAGAGTGAATGTATTTAGGCTACTGACCGATTTTTACTCATCACCCGAAATCTCCAACCATTGATCGTGTTTATCATCTGAACCCTAACCAAGAAGTCTGTACCTGTCAAAATTGACTCAGGCTGACAGTCAGCGACTTCATGAACTCATGCGACGCTTTGGTTTGCCCTTCTCTAATTTTCCTTAGTCTCATTTTGCGCTAACTAAGCGTCGCTCCTTGAGATAGGCAGTGGTTAGGTATTCGTAAAATATGTCAATAAAGATTTACAACCTCATTGACCGATCTGATACCTATGTCAAGTAGCCTACAGCTAGCTTCAACATGTTATTCGGTCGTTCTGAGAAAAATATTTGGAAGTCAACTGGAAAAGATTATCGATCGGGATGATTATTTTCTCGGCATGCGATATTATTATAGGCAAAAATGTGTATTTAAACTCGTATTTCTACATAACTAGCTGATAGACTTACTCTTTCTTGATAACGACGTTCATAATAATCTAATTCTGACTCTCCTGGACGACGCATCTGTGATTCAACTTCATGACGTTCACGTTCAGCGCCTATAATTTAATAGTGCAAAATGACTATTTTACTAGTAGTTAAAATGGTAAAACCTTTAAAACAATCATCATCAACCTTTTATTGCGAGTATCATTGCAAAACACCATTTAATGAGAGTTTTCCCAACTAAGCGATAACACAATATAGTTAGTGACCAACATACATGTTCGATGTTTACTGTACTCTAATATGTGATAGTTATAAGATACTGAGAATAAATCTTGGAGTCAAAAATATTTTGTTGGTTGGAACTCACCAACAAGGAATACAGATTGAATAGCTAACTATCAGCATACCTATGCTTGTGACAATGATTGGTAGTAGTTCGAATTTCATGGGAAGTCATCAGTCCCATCAAGATTATAAACACATCTTGTTAATGTATACCAATCACAGGTTGAAATCATGAGTCAATTGAAGCTAAACCACCATGGAAAACCTGGAAGCACTGTAAAATTTCTAAAAATCTCCACAAAACCCATTCTGATAATAATCATCTGCTCACTAGTGACTGACTTCAGGAGATACTCCTGGAGTTCTAGTGAGAGGCCGTTACCAGTGGAGTTCAACCAGGTCTGTTGTGAGATATCAGCTCACTGAAGACAATGGTGTACGGTGGCGCAACTTCGTGAATTGGTTGAAGTTAGACATCAACACCGTTGGATGCCGGCCGGCTCAGTGGTCTAGTTTGTTAAGCTCCTGGCGCGAGACTGATAGGCCCTGGGTTCGAATCTCGCAGGGGGGCGGGATCGTAGGTGCACACTGCTGAGGAGCCCCATACTAGAACAAAACGGCCGTCTAGTGCTTCCAGGTTTTCCATGGTGGTCTAGCTTCAATTGAATCATGATTTCAACCTGTGAAATTTCTAAAAATCTCCACAAAATCCATTCTGGTATACCACTCAGGACAAAAGCTATGTCTATAATATCCTATCGATTGCCTACACCTACCTAAGCCCTAAGAAAAGTGCATTACAGTGTTACACCACTTAGGCTAGATAACACATTACAACTTCATCGATGAAATTTTTATTGAGATTGAAGATTAAATAATATACTGTTGATTATTATTCAATGGTTAGTCAGTGCATACTCCGAAACACTAATATCGTTTTTCATTATTCATTGCCTAGGTTTCAACGTTTATTTCTATTGTACTTTTCTGTAATACATATTTTACTCACAAACACAAAACTTAAAAAGATGATTGTGTTCTAAGATCAGAATTCTTGATAATCATTAAGGTTCTTAAAATCATCAGTTCAAAATGGAGATTTTACAGGCCGGTATTCCTATAGAACATTGTAGTTGGTTCTCACTCAATAATTTAAAATCAATGATAGTCACACGTCATTATGCTTGTTTGTTCGAAAATAATTGGCTTTAACTCTAAAATAACTAAACATATATCCTCTTGTTTGTTTACTGCATGTCATTGTTTAGAGTACAGCCGTCCTCTGAATATAACTCATTCGATATATTGATTTTTAAAAAGTGACTTGGTTAGGGGTTATAACAAGAACCTGAACATCGGTGATCAAAACGGTATTGGATTTCATAGTCAATTTGGTCGAATAATCCAATTGGTTTGATGTGAGTGAATAAAATATACTTTATCTTGAAAAAAAAAACACAACTAAATTACCGTTCGTATCATTAACTGCTAACTTATAATTAAAAACTCCTTGTGCATGACTACGGAGAAATGGATTATCTACAGATGTAATTGACTTATTCATTTCTTCCTCTGATAATAATTTGCCTGCACCGCTTGTATCCATACGTGTTATACCAGGTGCAAGTGAACTAAATCCAGTTAGTCCACCCATAGCTTGATATGGTGAAGTCTGACCTATTGGTTTACCTCTACTATGACGTTCTTCGGCAGTTTCCATCTGGTTGTAAAAAGTAAGATATAAGGAAATATTTTACACGGTTAATTAAACTATTGGGAATGATTTGAAATATTAGATCTAAATGTACATTTGCTTATCAGTTCAATAAATATGCGAACTGAGGTCATACAAACCTCATTTTACGGAATTTAGGATATATATATATGCATGTACTTACCTATCCAGTGCTTAAAGAAGTTTTCTGAATGTCGTCCGCTATTTTTGTGCATGTTAGAATTCACGTGCAAAACATACTTAAAACTTCAATGATACTTATATCTTACAGATCTGGATGTGTCTCTTGGGACTGTACTAGAAACAGATTGAGTTCTTAAGATCGTTGAGCATTTTTGGTTGTTCTTTATCTTGCATTAGACTGATATTAAAGCAAAGTGTTTGAATGGAAAGTGATCAGTGAAAGTATAAGAGTATTCAAGAGTCTTGTATAATATCGATTACTATCTCAACATACAACAAGGAGATGCTCTTTATGTAATGACAGCGCTCAACAGAATGATATCACTTGTATCGAAGTTAGTTTTAAGTTAATGATTGTTACATTTCAGCGTACAGTATTTTTGTGTATGGATGACTGAAGTTAGAGATGTAGAACTTGTGAACTGCAAATGGTAATGATAACTGCACAGGTATAACAAAATACCATACTCATCATCGTTTTCTTGAGAGCCGTTTGGAATTACTGGATTCTGCAATAGTTAGGCCTATTAAATGTTCAGTATTTGATTTACTAGAGCACCAAATTTGAGAGCATTTAACATTCACCATTATATCCATAATCCTGATGAAGCTTTGATGATCTATATCTATTTCATAAACGAATCAAAAGCGATAAGGATCAAAATTTTCCAACTAATTTGATGTGTCAGTAAATTATTTGTTCACTTCCCCATAACGCTTAACTCTAACTGAATCGGTATAAATTCAACACACCTACATTGTTATTATCGGTCACAAATGAAGTTGAAATTCTTGTCTTATTTATAGGTATCAAAATAGAAACGCTGAATAATACTAAACTGGATTAAAATTCAAACTCACAATCATTTCATGTTTATGTAACTCGATACCACAGTCACATCGCATACTTGTTCTGAAACCATTACAATTGCAATTGGATTTTGAACAAAAATAAGGTGTTACCTAAAATTAAATAGAAAACAACTCTACACAATATTCTGAAAGAGTAGCTTAACTGAACCATAAAATGATCTTAAAACAATTAATACTTATTTTAAGATTCATATTCAGCTCACTTTATGCTAAAATTAGATCTTTAGACCCAGTAAGAAGCTATCAGTGAAAATACAAGGGGAAATCCTAAAACTTCCGAAAATGTGACCTTGAGGATATCGAAGCTGAAATTGTCGTGTATGAAAGGAAATTCAAATAGATGATAACTAAGTGCATGCATTAGTTTTTACAAACAATCAAGATCTAGCTTCAGCTGGCTCATGATTTCAACCGGTGAAATCAAGATCTATAATCCTAACTTTCTATCTTACGTTTGAGTCTCATTTCAATCCACTCTAAGTGGCCATATAGTATTTTCGATACACATAGAAGACAATTTTGGCTAGATAATTACGAATTTACATACGTTTTAAAAGTATAATTTAAAATTTCATTGTTTATGATATTCTATAGTGTGCTACATATAGATCCTCCATAGATTAATATATTTGAAGATAGCTTTTTAGATTACTCTAGCAATTTTTGACGTTTGATTCTGTTTTATTATTATTATACAGGGATCAACTACAAACTGACAAAATTAAAATCAACTATCATAAAAGTGTAACAAAATGGTGAAGTTGATGGGGTTTTGTTCTCTGAGCTGGATGATTTGGTCGTGGGGCTTTCATCGTTTTTCTGAACGACATCATCAGCACAAAGTTCGGGTAGAAGTGTACAGAACAAGCTGTGAAACGCATATGGAGAAATTCGAACACTTCTTTCTATCTGAAGTTTGTGCTGATGATGTCGTTCAGAAAAATGATGAAAGCTCCACGATCAAATCATCTAGCTCAAAGAACAAAACTCCATCAAATTCATCCACCTGAGCTACAAATCTTCACCATCTCAAAATAGTGAAGTAGAAATTATCTCATTAAGTCTACTTACGTATGAAAGTGTAATGACGATTACAAAACTATTATGATTCTTTGAAATAATAAGTGTTTACAATATCTGTTATGGGTCTATGCTCCTTACACTTTTCTTTTATGATATTACTAATGATATGGTAAATTCAACACCAAGGATAATATATTTTGTAGTCTTTATACTTGGTCAGTTTCAAAAGGATACATAATTTGTATGCCTAAATAAAGACCACTTCATTATATTGTTTTTAATTGCTGAGTAATATATGAAAAAATTATAACAGGTTATTATTTCGCCAGAAGCAATTTTTGGAAGGATAAATAACCTCATAAGACTAGGTAATATGTTGCTGAATACGTAAAGTAGATCATCACAGAAAATTTTGAACAGAATAATAGAAATTCTTGAAATAAGAGTTAAGTTAGTGTTGTTAGGTCAGTGGACTCGTAAATCAAATAGATGTTGATTTTAGTTACATCACTGATGTCTTCGATATGGTAATAAAATATTTCTTAACAGAAACATAGCTATCATAGTTTAAATCACGAACTGATCTTAATTAGACCACCTCTGTAAACCATAAAGCACTGGACAACTGTTTCATTTTAGTATGGGACTCCTCAGCAGTGCGCGCCCACAATCCTGCCTCAGAGAATTGAACTGACAATCTTCAGTATCACACGCGAACACCTAATTTCTAGACAATTAAGCCATTTTTCAACGGCAAAAGGTGGACGCAATAATCAGTCATTTTTTCAATATCGACTTTCCACTGTAAAACACCATTGTTTTTAGTTGATTTACCCTTATGGTTACCGTAATTATCAATAAATAGATCGGTAGAATCATATTTTGCATAACTCGGTGATAATAATCTGACATAATAATATTCGTTAAAGCTTCAATAAACGATAATTGATCACTTTTTGATCAAGGCCTATCACTATGTGATAAATGTAGTCAAATTAGGGATTGATATAATTCTGGTTAACATTAGTCAAACACTAAACATCATTTCAAATAACTTCATCAGTCTTTAAAATAACCCTGTATAACGAGAAAGAATGCATTTGTAGAGTCTCAGCGAATGAACTTTACAAACACATTCTTTCTCTTTAATGTCTCACATTAACTCGGCGCCCAAATACTGTGGTATTATTTGATCAAATTTAGACGAACGTTCTTATTTATTAACCCTGCATAACTTTTAATTAAAACGTTTGTACTACTTGTTTACACACAAATACCACACACAGGATGCTTATATTATTTAAAAAATATGTATTCCGCAAATCATTAAGCTCTTAAAAGAGTTACTCAGTATTTACAATATTTTATCCTGCTTATATAGAAACAACGCATCAATTAATCATTTTTGCTTAGGAGATGAGATCGTCCCTTTTGTAAACATAATGTCAGACACAAAAACATTTGTACCCTTAAGCCACTTTTTCTATGTTTTGTGCTCTCAAATAACGAGGAATGCTCTAATGGTCTACAGATTCTCTGGAAAGATGTTTAGAATTATTTATTGCTAGCTTACTATTTATAACTAATAAAAGTATGTAAAACTGACCACACTGTGATCGGTCGCATAATGTTTACAATGACATCGTGCAATTTGGCTCCCGAATTTCGGCATCACATGAAAACTCAAACATCTGCAATGTTTACATGGTAACTGTATAGGACGTTCTGTAGGTATTGTCTCGAAATCTGTCTTATGTTGTATAAGCCTAGCAAAAAAGGGAGAAGAAGAATGGATACAAATTTCACGACATAAACTGGGTCAAACTGTATGCATTTATGATACGACCCGTAGTTCACAAAACAAATGTAGAGAAAAACAATTAACCCAGTGGTGTGCGTTCTAAAAAGAGCAGTGGTCTCGTACTTTTTGCAAACTAACTTTGCTTTTGTGTATTTATTGCATTCAAAGCATACTTGGTTGACTTTAACTTGAATGATCGCGGTTGGGGTTTGAAAATGTTTTCAAATCCGTTTTGTGTTAGATGATTCTCACGCTAGTGATTAACTTACGTGTTTCTGTCAATTTTCCCCCGTAGATCTGTTTACAATCGTTGACTATACTTATAAATAAGGAAAGCTGAATTGTTTCGTCCTTGCAAATGAAGAAATGCAATATGGTGAATGTAGTAAGTGGTTCCACATGTGAAACCCCCGAAGCCTAACTACCATTCATTCTGCATGTTTTGCTGTTCGAGTAAGACATCACTGATCCAGGAGGCGATGGGCCTTCTGGCGCAGGACACCAAGAAAGCTTCTGGTGGCTGCACTGATATTATTAGTACTGATAGCAAAGAAATTTTCAGTGTATTCTGGGCTCTTACTGGACAAACCAAAAGCCCGGATGAAGAACATGAAAAAGCCAAGTCTCTTTAGAAACAAACAAAGGATGAAATACCACTGGATATTGTTGGTCACCATTCCACAGTAGTACCTAAGAATTCAGATAAAACCGTCACCGTCCCAAGTAGTTTTGATGTGGCTGTCTTGAGTGATGCGGAGCGGAAGATAGTGCAGAAGCTTAGAAGAGAAAGAAAATAGTTACAAACAAAGCCCGTTTGAATGACAAATCTTTGGTAGACTCACTCTGGGTCATAGAAGACACTGCAGAAGTCCCAAAGTAAGACTGAACTTAATCCTAGCGTGGCTGGAGAAAGCCTAGTCTCATCAAATATTATTGTAGGTAATTTTTGAGAAGCAAACGACCCTGATTTAAAAACTAGACACGCGTATGGTTTGGAAAAGGTCTGAGCATTTATTCATAGCATCTTACCGGATAACACCGCAGATGATATAAAAGAACTGATAATCGGCAAGAGGACCGACAAAATGTTGAAACCTGATCATATAGACTCCTTAAGGTAATCCTGGGGTTGGGAAAACAACGAAATATTTTGTTAACTAGTACTCAAAGTCACGATAACACCTAAGCTCAAGTAAGATTCGACATGTCTCTAGGAGATAGAGTAAAAATAAAGGTGGCACTGTCTGAACTAGAAACGCGTAGACAAAATGGCGAAAAGATCTCCGCCTAATGTGTTTTTGAGTATTCAGGTCTTGTAAGTGAATTCTTTTAGATTTTGTGTGAATAAATCGTTAGTTTTAGGAGCTTCATATGAAGATTCTCATGGTCTAAGAAGTCGATTCCATGAACTAGGAGTATTAGTGGACAAATTAAAGACACTCATTGTAGCTGTAACCGAAACTTGGTTAGTCCATAACTTTGACGTCACTTCAGGATTGTCGGGAAACAACTACCTAAGAAGTGACAGAAATAGATACAGGAAAATTGTGGGATTCTTATATACAGAGCTAATCATATAAACATTTGTTCGTTCGTCTGTGAATTACATGATAGTGGGACTTGTGAAGTTACTAGCTTTGAACTCACTCTTGAAGGTTGTACATTTATATTTTTGGTGTAGTATACCGTAGCTCAATCTGCTTAGTTGACGACTTTATCTCAAAGCACATTCAGTTATAGAGTAGAATAACGGATGCCTGATATTACATTTTAGTGCACCCGATATTAGTTGGACAGAGATTGCCACTGTAGGATTTGAAAACTCTTTTGGTAGTAAGCTCCTGATAACGGTAATGGAGCATGCTTTAGTATAGCACGTATCGAAATCCACACAGTTTGGTCCAAACCAAGAATCTCCTTTTTTAGACTTAGTAATCACTTATGCGACTGAGGATCCTACCTACCTTAATATTCCATTACCATCAGCTAATAAGAATCATGCTGTTTTATCATTTATATTTGGGGCTTGTAACAGGAGATGAATGAATTAGACCCCATCCAAATCTGTGGGGATCAAACAATAATAGCTGTACAAGAATGTGCTACAACGACAAACTGGTCAATAAATACTAGCTCATCAATTGAAGAAGCATGGTCTTTATTCAAAGGTACACTTAGCTTAGTTCCGTTTCCATTTATACTGTGCTTAGTATCACGTAGACCACATAACTTTCCATCATGGATAAATAAAAAGATCAAGAAACTTCTTAGACGTAGGGCAAAGCATTGGAATATAATAATCTCTACATGCTCTGAACATTACAGATCCACATATTGTAAGACTGGGAAAGTGTGCAAAGAGTTGATAATTAAAACTAGATTTTCAGATGAAAAACAATGGGTTAGGGATTGCGAAAGTGGTCTGAAAAGGTTGTTTTCGTATATAAAGAGGTTAGCTCAGAGGACTGATAAGTTCCTACCACTTCCAATACTACAAAGTCCGTTGATTTTGGTGAGAAATAATGTTGCAAATACTGAATATTTATCAGAATGTTTTAGTAAAGTGTTTTCTACAGACTACGACGAAAGATCAACAGTTAATTATAATAATGGAGGCATGTCAACGAATCCTCTGCTTATTAAGAAAGGAACTGTCTTAAGACTACTTCATATCTCAAACCAGATAAGTCCTGATGATATTCATCCGAGGATTGTGAAAGCTCTGGAGACTGTAATTGCTGAACCTCTTGCAATACTGTTTGATATGTCTTTGAGGCATTGTAAACTGCCAAGGGACTAGAAAGATACAACAATCAGTTCAGTGTATAAGGCTTGGAGCAAGGACCTAGTCGGTAACTACCGATCCATTAGTCTAACCAGTCTATTTGTAAAACTGGTGGAAAGAATTGTTTGGATGGCCATTTTAAACTATGTGGAGGGACATGATATTCTATCCAGGGAACAACACGGTTTTAGGAGAGGCCTGTCATAGTTGACAAATCTGCTCGTTAAAAGAGAGGATTGAGTTGCACCAAAAGGTAGTGATATTCCAGTAGATGTAATTCCCATGGATCCAAGTAAAGCTTTTAACAAGGTCTGTAATCCGGGTCTTAAATTGAAACTACGGTTTAGGATTTCTTACGAAATCATAAACTGAATAAATAACTTTCTTAGTGATAGGAAACGGCGAGTAAGGGCAAGTGGAGCTCTCTCAACATGTGAATCTGTGGGAAATGGAGCTGTCCAAGGTAAAATTTTCGGTCCTCTTATTTTTCTACTTTATGTAAATTTCTTACCAAATTCACCTGTTTTACTCTTTGACTATGACGAAAAGATTTGTAGACCTACAAACAGTTTGTTAGATAGAATATTACGAGATGATTTAAATTCATTGGCTGCATGAATGGACAGGCGGTCATTAGAAGTAAATTTTAACAAGTCTAGTGATGCGAATAAATAATTGTGACGATTTATCTCACTACACAATATGAGGATTAGTGTTCCCTAAAGTAGTGGACTATAAAGATTTAGGAGTCTTAAGAAGCCACGAACTTAGAACGGAAAGTAACTGAAAGACTATCGTTGTCAAAAGCCTCAAGATCTTAAGGGCTATTCATAGGTCATTTGATTACTTGGACGAAGAAATGTTCAGGGTATTATACCCTATTTTCGTGAGGGTGCTTGTGGAATATGAGATTGAAGAGTGAGGCGAATATGCTAAAATGTGTTCAACAACGAAGGACCGAAATGGTGAAAGATCTCGTTGACTTATCTTGTGAAGGAAAACTGGGACGCTTTGACTTTTTTCCGTTATCTTACCACAGACTACGGGTTGATCTAATATTGGCTTATCGTATACTGAACGAAGACCTTGGCACTACTGTCACATCTTCTCCTTCCATCTAAGATTAATCATTTGCGAAGACATTCTATGAATGTTCAAGAAAACCGATATAAAATACTTTACTTCTGGAGTCCATCTCTCGCACCAAGTAGTGGATTACTGGAATTATCTACCAGAATGCGTAATACACATTCAAAAGGAGACTGTAACTACACAGTGTTACAAACTTCAAGGACTGATATGGGCCAGTTGACCTCTATCCTTACTATTGAAAACTGAAGTGTTGGATTTCGAAGAGAAGGTTGGTGGAAGTTTGACGGAAGAACTTTCCATATAATCTTGAATAGTTTTATCCGTCCCCATTTAGAGTACGGAAACATAGTATTTCCCTCCTCACTCCAAAAGGATAAGGACACTCTGGAGCGTATTCAACGGTGAGCCACGAAATCAGTTCGAGGACTCAAATTTAAACCTTATGAAGAGCGCCTCCATTCACTCAACCTTTACCCATTAGAGGATAGACGTCTTAGAGGTGACCTTCTGATGGTTTACAGTATCCTTAACACTTCTGGACATCCTCTCAAACACCTACTTAAGCTTAGTTCCAACACTAACCTAAGGGGTAACACCCAGAAACTGGAAACACAACATAGCAAGACGGAATGTAGACACAACTTCTACTCCTTAAGAGTTGTCAAATGCTGGAATTCGCTGCCAGCCGAGCTAGTCGAAGCGACTTCCCAGGAGCCCTTCAAGAGGCAACTTGATCTATTCTCAAGGACCAAGGACAGCATCACACTATGATTTACCAATTTCTTTTCCTCTTTTATTGTAAACATACCTAGGTTCCTGCCTGGAGGACTTGATGATCCCTTGCTACTAGACACGGAAGCCTGTTAAAAGAAAGCTTCTTCTATTCCGTCCACAACCATTTGAATTTGGCTGATCTGGTATTCAGTCGTTCCACCTAATAAAACTTAGCAGTGGAGTTTATGAAGTGACAATAAGAACTGTGAGGCTTTATCTAACAGAAACAGTGAATGCAATTGTAATAAAATAAAAACAAGCAGGTTAAACCAAACCTGTTTAAAAGTTTTATGATACTTTACCGGTGTTGGCAGAAACATTCACTTTGTGGACCGGCAAGTATGCAATCCACTCCATTTGGATTTGTCCAAGACACAAAAATTCTGTTTTGACTTCTCTTAGCTTAATATAATTAATTAGTTTTGTATACCAATGGTAAGTATTTGTTCTTGTAAGCTTCATATTGCTTGGGTGTGAAAAGTTTTCCATTGTCATCATCGCCCACAATTCTGCTGTAGATTATAAATGACATCTTATGGTAAGCTACCGTCTATACTCTTCGTATGCATCAATAGATTTAAGATCTTCGCTACTAATTTTAATGGAACTTCCCCCAAAATTCATGTTTGTCTCATATTATCATCATAACAACTAATATTGGTTGGCCGATAAAAACAAATCTGTGAAACTATGTCCATGTGGTGCATTAACATAATTGTTTGATTCATTGATTTTATTATATTGGTATCACAAAACTGAAAGTGATCTCTAGAGGCGCTTGCTCAGATTAGTCCAATGGTTCTGAACAGAGTAGAGGAAGCTTTCACTGACGGGCGTCCTTATTTAGGAGCGGTAGGTCGACGATGCCACCAAGCAGGAACCTATATATATTTAACGATAAAATAAAGGAAACATTGGTGAAATATAGTGAGGTGCTGTCCTTAGTCCTTAAGAGTATGTAGCATGATCACTTTTCTCCAAGGGAGTCATGATTGAGAGGTTGTCAGTTAGAAATTTTATGTTTGTAAGTATGCAGTCTAAGTATTATGGCGTCTGGCTATTTCTACATCGAGCTGCTAACTTCACGGCAGTCGACCGCAGTCTTACGATCTTGACTCACTCTCACTCCAAGATCCTTGTGAGACCGGGCCACGGACTCAGGCACTTCCCCTATGCTGTACCCATTTGACTTTGTATCCTCAATGTGCAAGTAGATACACTTTGCCGTAATTGGGTTGGAATCCAATGCTGTATTCTTGTTGTGTAATCTTTGTCCGAGAACAGTCATTCCGGCTACTTGATTACAAATTGGGTCTTTGATATTCAGCACCCACTCTCAACTTGATTTGGACACTAATTGGGGTTTCTTATTGCACACAACTTTATGTGCCACAAAATTGTCTGTCCCGCCAACGGTGTCCAAACCTTACTAGCAAATCACAGTCATAAAGAATCGCTCTCTTCTACAGCTAAGACGCGAAAACCACTACTATGCATAGTGTAAACGAACTATTGACAGCATATATGGGTAATTGAGACCAGTAAGGAAGCAAGGCATAAAGACAATCAGAGAAGACAGGCTTTAGTATCAGACAAACCCGATCGGTAAACATCTCTCGTTCGAAGAGCATATCCCATCACGTAGCTTCTCTTTGACAAGCCAAAACCAGATTTTCTCAATTGCTATATCCTAGTGGCCCAACTAGTGACAACGGTGACGTTGCCGACATTCTGGCATAACAGTACTTTCGGATAATTCAACCATCCTGCACTAAGCAAATTGATGAGAACTTCACAAGAAAGCCAATAGCAGTCTTAGAATTGAAGCTAAGCGCTGAACCAGTGTAACAGAAAGTGCAGCATCCAAATACGTACACTTCTGATCCGGATATGATCCATCCTGCAATACTTAGAGAAGCTGCTTTAGTTTTGACAAAACTGCTTAGCTTGATGTTCACATATTCGCCGAGACACGGTATTAGAAAACTGTGAGCTGGTGCACATTACACCAATTTCTAAAAAAGGCCAACGTTGTGAACCTGTAGTGGCACTGTGCCTAACCACACAGTCCTCAAAGCTGAACACGAGACAACTGGGAAAATAGCTATTCAACATTTAACGCGAGAAAAACCTAACGATGGAGAAGGCGGAAACAATTAATTGAATTAGTTCGAGTTGATCAAATGGCGTAGCTCGGCTTTGCAGGCATGATCCTACTTATATAACAGCCTTTTGTCTATATGAAATATAATGATCTATTTCCAGCCTCAATGTGTATTGATGATTGTGACAATACGAATGAATCAGTGTAGGTAATGATGTGACATCCACGTAGGACTTTATAGATTAAGCAATTACATCATGACAAATCTACAATTTTAAAATTAAGTCTATTATTAGAGCAGTACTAATGTGGTGTGCGCTACTTATATTGATATAAGTAGTATATGTCGCGAGTTAAAACGTAATATCTGGCAGCAGAAGATGAGGTGAAGATCAAGAAAGGAAGAGCGAGAGCACAATGGAATTTGTAAGAAAACGCATGTACAATGGAATGGGAGACAATGGATTAGTATTTGCAACGGAAACAGTCCAGTTTGATATGATGTATTGATATTTTGCAAATTGACGATTGACTTCATGGTATTCAGATTTTATTGAGATAGTCTGTAATTTTTGTGCTAAATACATTCAATTGTCCCCACCTGTGTTCTTGTTCACTACACTGATATCATAGTAGACCGTAATTCTACAAGCCTTCCAGCAACCTGTCAGGAGCACTTCTTTCAATACCCCCAAATGTTAAAAACTTCCTGGTATGCAAAGATCAGCGTGACTGCTTATTACCCAGAAACCTTTTAGTATCCAAACAACACGGTTTCAATAATGGTCACTCTTGTATAACCAACATGCTGACCACGGTGGACAGATGGACAACCATTCTTGATAGCAAGAGGAAGGTTGATGTCGTGCACCTTGATTTCTCCAAAGCTTTTGATAAGGTCAACCATATATGTCTTTTCAATAAGCTTAAACGGTTAGATATCAAGTCACTGCTAATAAACTGGCTTACTTCATATCTAAGTGATCAACATTTTAGGGTCAAGGTAAACTTCGCTCTTCCTCAGGCAACAGAATGTCATTGTGTGTTCCATCACGGTCGGGTACTGGAACCCTTTCTCTTTTTAACTTGAGTGACCTTCCTCAGAAACTATCGCTCAATGTGAAACTGGAGAGGAGTATGTAACCATGATCATCATGAGGATCTGACTCGGTGGATGAGAGTGAACAAATTTTAAACACTTTAAAATAATCGGGTTGAAATCCAGTTCTTTGTTCTTTTTGTGTAATTTATGTACGAGAACAGTCATTCCGGCTAAGTGATATTCAGCACCTTTCCCCACTAGTACACAGTGATCACACTGTACTTTACTTTAAGTTTACGACACATGGCATACCATTTGTATCTGCTCCACCCCGTCCCGACATCTGGCGAGCTAATATTCCGGCAATCAGAAACTGTGCTTTCTTGACTGATTAGTCAGTCAACGCGGATGGATTGATCGAAGATGAATGGAATAAGTTTAAGGCTACATTCTAGTTCGTAACGTCGCCGTTTATCCCATGGTCAGCACGTAAGCTATCACATTGCCCTCCATGGATTAATAAAACTTGGAAGCTGGTAATGCTTAGGAAACACTTCTGGGACTTATTCTTGTTGACATGTCATGCACCATTTAAGCTTCAGTACCGAAAATTCCGTAATATCGGTAAGAAAACCATAGCCAAATCACGTACCACTTACGAACGACAGTTAGTATATGATAGCCGTACTTGTCCGAAACGATTGTTTTCGTATGTTAAACGGCGAATGAAACGTAGTGATGGTATTCTCCCGTTACTGTTACACGAAAATTCGGATTTACTAGCTGAATCAGATCGAGCAAAAGCTGAGACTTTTTCAAACTATTTTAGCAAAGTCTACTCTACGTTTCTTGTAACAAATACTTGTCCCACTCACACCGAGATACCAACCATTGGATCTGTACGGGTGACTGAGGAAACTGTCCTTCCGTTGATAACTAACCTCAAACCTGGTAAGATACCGGGCCCTGACGGGTTACATCCACGGTTGCTGTCATCTCTTGCGGACATTATTTCAAAACCGCTCGCGACACTCTTCAACATGTCCCTTTCACTCGCTCAACTCCCTACAGATTGAAAAGACGCTACAGTCAGTCCTATATTTAAGGATGGTCAGAGACAGATAGTATCTAACTACCGGCCTGCCAGTTTAACTAGCATTGTCGTTAAGTTACTCGAAAGGATAATTCGGGTTAGGTTGCTAAGCCACATAGATTTACACAATCTGTTAGCTCCTGAGCAACACGGATTTCGTAACAAGCGTCCTTGCTTGACTAACTTGCTTATTGCGAGGGAGGATTGGACAGCAGCCCTAGATCACGGTCTGTCTGTCGACGTGATATTCATAGATTTTAGCAAAGCGTTTGACAAGGTTTCACACTTAGGTCTTATGCAGAAGCTTACGAGCTTCAGAAACATAGGTACTGTACATGAGTGGACAGGCAACTTATATGAACGCAGACAGAGAGTAAGGGTCAATGGGACGCTGTCCGATTGGAAGCCAGTCAAAAGTGATGTACCCTAAGGCACCATCTTAGGCCCTCTGCTCTTCCTTCTCTACGTTAATGAGTCACCACTGTTGCTTAGGTTGTCGACATTATTGTTTGCAGATGACGTGAAAATCTAGAGAAAAATAAAAACTGAGGCTGATCATCTGGATAATCAAGCTGACTTAGACGATTTAGTTAGATGGGCTCGACGTTGGGGCTTAGAAATCAATCCTAGGAAGGGTGTGCTAATGCACATCGGTCATGGTAATAGTTACCATTATACTATTGAGGGTAAACCTCTTCCATGGGTTCGAGAGCATAAAGACTTAGGACGCGAGGTGACCTCATACTGGCATTTCGTATACATAATTATTTGTCTGCAACAGAGACGGGGGTTTTATAGGTCATATCTGATGGGATCGTTAATGCTGTGGAACAAAGCTAAGGTGATTGTGATCTGTAACAATTTGAAATCAAATCATGCTGATGATCCTACTTCTACGTCCCTCTAGTTTATATACGTAATATCAGCACCTTCTGTTGATCCATTAAAAACGAGATTGGACCTCCACAGTGTTACGAATTGCAAAAATTATTATCGGTCGGATAACCTCAATCCTTACTATTGTAGGCTGGCTGACCGGCAAGTACAACCACTGCGGTACAGGGCTTGCACGTTGCGATGTTGTTGTCATCACGAACGGGTGATGAGTATGATTTCGACTCTTCAGATGAAGAAGTAAGGTTAAAAGTGTCTATTAATATAAATTAGGACGTGAGAAATACTGTTGGAAACATACCATTGCAATGGTATGATTCCCTAGCGCACATTGGTTATGATACCTCTGGAAGACCTATAATGAAGCCAGATATTTATCATGGAAAACCTGATGCTATTGACGAATTTTTGCGTAACACTAACATCGAAGATGGAGGATCAAGCGTAGAGTGGCGTTGTATACGTGACCCACATACTGGACAGTTAGTGTTGTTAAGCGATGGTGATTTGGAGATTGTTCACAAATCTGTGAAGGGTGAGGGTATTACTGCTGATTCGAAAGAAGGACCGTTTGAGGTAAATTATATTGTAAATACATTACTTCCAGACGTGGGAAGAGTGGTTCACCAAGGATGTTATGCAAATGCCACTTACCGCCCACCCCCCTCAAAAAAGAAGTTTCATCCCATCCCTGTTAGATAAAAGACGAGTAAGTAGTCGTTTATACGAATCGGATTTCATATTAGGTATTGAACGTATAAATATGTGTCTTGAGTAGTTTTCCTTAATTCGCTATCATGCTAACCCTAAAAAAGCATGTCATTATTTTTACGAATTGTTTGTATCTCTACTTCTGTAGACCACTTGATAGTCTACTTATTTTCAATGTTGTTTTTCACTTAAGGCCATTGTTTCAACCTAAACAACCTAGATTGGTGTACAAAGTGACGGCACCATATAAATAATAGCACGTGTGTAAGCTCAATATTTGTATTGTATTACATGATACTACTTTCAACCTGTTGTCAACGTCATCTTGCTAAATTGCTTACTACTTTGCCAATGCAAGATAAACACTTCGCGACAACGCCTAATTTGCGTATTAGACGCATTTGCTGTAAAGAAAAGTGATCATATAAATCGTCAATACATGAGACAAAAATTCAAAGTAGGCCTAATAAATGAAAACAATCACTTAAAAATTGTCAAATAACTTCAACCGCATAGTATATTTCGGTGGTCACATACATATACTAATAATTGTAGGCAGTACACTGATAGATCATATATAGTTCACCACTTAATACCTTAACTGTCTCCTATTTGATGTTTAAGCCATAAACCTCTGGAGTCACAAAAAAACCCAGTGGAATTTGTAGAAATAGTATCTCTAGTCTACTGCATAACACTCTCTATTTCTTGAAATCAAAGTTTTTGACTGTTGAAACGAAATTCACTTGTTAGGGATGTTTGGATCTTATCATTATCGATACTAAGAACTGTAATTGACCAGTCTTTTTCGACATACGTTCGTTCTGTGTGGATTGTCTTGGTATTGCGATTACATCGCATGTATTCTAAACAGATTTAGCGGAGGTCATGTTTCAGTCTCACTAGAAATAATCGAAACTTAAGAGCTAATCGGCTATTTAACAGTTTACTGGTATCTATAGGTAGTTTTCCAGAGCAATACAATTTCAATACCGACATTAAAAAGAATATTGTTTATTAACCTTATTCCGTCCCAGTAATTGTACTAACCAGTAAATTACGTTGTAAACTCATTCGTACCAAAGATGTCCAATGTTCTATGCTCTGTCCAAAAGTATTGATCATAATATATCTCGATCGAATACTAGTTCATTCGCTATACACCACAACACTCTGGAGAAAATTACATGGCTAAACGTTACAACTAGACTGGAATCACATTAGTATTGAATTAACACCCGAATTAGACGTCTTTGTAAATGGATTCCATTTATATTGGGTGTCACCTAGAATAACCAGCATTTGTATTAGAATAGAAATAACACTGGCAATGGTATCGTAGTGAAATAAATCCAGGACTGAATTAGACTGATCTGGTCTGGATTATACCGAAATGAATATAAACTGTCCTCTGTCAGTCGGTGGACATGGAGAGTCCACCTAGGGAAGTTGGAAAACCCTGATTCCAAACCAATGGTGCACATGGGCTCCAGTATCCTGAACGAACAAGTGGCGTATGAACCAATCGTTGGTCACCGGCTACCATGGGAACGCATCTCCTTACGTTGCTCCACTGCCTTGTGGTTCAGACCTTCAGGTCAAAGGCTCGGGGAGTGGCCCCCTAAGATAACCACCTGCTTCGGTTTGGGCACCCGGGCAGTATTACAGCCCTCACACAAACCGAATGATTTATCTGGCGCATATGTATTTGGTCCCTCATTGTACCAATATCTGTGTTAAAATAAATATTATTATAATAATGTCCTCTGTCAGTTAGTCACCATGTCTCAAGGATTTACACATTATAATAATAGAATATGATCAACAGATAGGTAGATAGACAACCAAACGAAGGATTCATGCATAAAGTATTCAAATTAATCATATTACTAAGTACAAGTTAACCAATGGAATTGAACTGATGCATTTGACAGCCACATGCTTAGTTAGATATCGTATTCCAAAAGGAATATACGATTATGGTAATTTAACATGTATGTATTAAACACCATACTGGATAAATATAGAGTTCTACAAATCCTACTCTCTATGTAATTTTTACAAAGCATCTCATTTATCTGTGTATTTCAGGTAGGTAGAATGGTTCATGCCATTAAAAGTGGTTGGCTTGTTCCAAAGTTACCATCTTGGGCATTAAGCGATCCAAATAATCTAGATGAACTCCGGAGGTACGGTGCATATATGGCTTCTGGAAATCCAGATGTACTGGATGCAGATTACGATGAGGAACCGTTGAGTTTTAGTTCATTTGATGTATCAACATATGTATTTCCTGATGTCTGGAATAATCAAGATAATGAAAACGACCTTGTGAATACTACGACATCCTCATGGCAATCAAAATTGCCAATGCTTGCTTCTGATTACCGGCCACCACGACCACGTCCTTACCAAAAAGCTCCTGAAGAGCCTTTACCTGGACATATAGCCTCTTATAACCCTCCTCCAGAATTTTTACTTTCTAAGGACGAAGTAAGATTCGTATACTTTGTTGTCGATAATGTATTGATATAGTAATTTAACCGTTCATCATTTATTTGTAAACTGCATGGTGTGGTGCGAAATAAGTATTGTAACATAAAATAACTTTATAAAAGTTAAAGTGAACAACGAGATCTCATCAAAACATAGTCAAAGCAAGACTTCATTTATTTTGTTGCTTGCTTTTCGCATTTACCAATATAGAAGATTTACAAAGTTGTGGCGTGGTAACCAATGATTTCTGTTCCAAGCACTATCTGGTAGCATTTCTAACCAACAAAGCTTATGCTTAGTGGTTTATTTTCTGATGAGTTGAAATGAATTCAGAAAACTATCATATTCATATAGATGAGCAGGATTGTATTAACTGAGTTACTAGACAACCTAGTTTTTACATCCACAAAAACGTGGCAACAGCATCAAAGTATACATATTTCGGTACCTGTCGCACAACTAACCAGACAGTGAAACTTAACCAAGGATGATTGTGAAATCAAGTTCCAAATCTAGAAAGGTATTATGTGCGTGCCATGCTCGATACTACTAAATCGTTTAAAACTAAAGTAACCTGTCCACTATCGTACAGCAAAACTGTCCTTTTTATACTCAGGTTATGAATGGTAATTTGATTCGCGAATTTGTGTTTTCGTCACGTTCACGTGAACGATGCTTCCAAAATACCACTAATAGAAAAGGTGACGTGAAATAGCAAATTAAAATTATATATCAAGAACAATAATCTTAGCAAAATAGTATAATTTACTTGTTCCATGGATTCTCCTTAGTTTCTTAAGCTTAGAAAAAAAAATACTAATAATTATTTAAAAGTACTTTCATATATAATCACGTTGATTAAGTAGTCGACTACATGAAAATGACTTATAGCTCTTCTAAGTTTTAGCCGTGTTTTATTACTTTTCATTAAAGAACATTCGTCTTTTAGCTAGTTGGTATTATTACTTCTTATTTTTCAAACAGCTGGAAAAAAACCTTCAAGATAGGTGAATCCACATTATCGTGTTATGGCTGCTGTTCTTGCTCGATTCAAATGTATAGAAATGGAAAATCATATGAAATTTCTCACTTCACTAGACGTTTAGGATAGATTTTCGTATTCACTGTCAGAAAGCCGTTTTTGTACACGGATTTCAGAGGGTTAAAAAGTCTCAAGGATTCGGTTATTTTTAAGTAGTTTAATTTCTAGTGCAATTTTGTTTGGCAAATCTACTCTACCCAAGTGTAGTCAATAAAAGAGTAATATTATGGTGAAAGTTTAACATCAACTTGCTGAACTTTAACTGGATATCACTGGGTTTTACAGTTGCCGTAATGTACTTCCAGAAGTCTGAACTTCATATTGCTTGTTTCTAATGTTCTATTGGGTGTTTTTATCTTTAGACTTCTCCTATCATTTATTTTAGTATACTGCCAATTAATTTGTGTTGGGTTAGTGCTTAAATATTAACTGTAAACTTCGATGCCCACCATACTTCTGTAGATTTAAAAATTAAAATACTACCATCAGCGCTCATATTTAAAGTTTATATCGGGGCTATGTACAAAACCCAAAAGCCAGATATGTACGATCCTATCTTTTAGGCTACTTTAAGTCAATGACTCAGTGGTTAAAAACTTTTGACTGTCAACCACTAAATTACAAGCTTGAGCTTCATTTCACGTACATGGGTTTTGAGAAACAGGTTGGTAGTATCACTTGCCCTCACACTCAAAATATAACTCGAAGCCGAGTATCTGGCAGGTGGGTTGTTAACCGGAACTACTAACAGTAAGTAGAGCTCAAAAATCATGTATGCTAATCTTAATTTATAATCCTGGTGTTTTTGTACTTGCCTGAAATGATGGGTCTACAAATATTATTGTTTCAAATTAATGTAAGTTTGACTAATTATCTTAATCGCGTAACATTGGTGTTGTTTATTACTTTCCTTTTTCTCGTCAAATATAGGAAAAGAAAGTTATGAAGGCTTGGCGGGAACGCGTACGTGATGGACATGTTTCACGTGTTCCACCACAAATGCCTCGCAAATTTTCATGTTTAAGGCATGTCCCATTTTCCGAACGTTATTTGCATGAACGTGAAGAGCGTGTCAAAGATTTGATCATGGCTACGCGTTTCGAAAAACAACGTGTTGCAACTACTCCAGAAGCTATGTTGCCACCCATCCCAAGTCTTTCACAATTGAGACCTTATCCGAGTCATATTGGATTACAATACATGTGAGTTCTCAAAAGTCTAAATTTTACTACTCTCACAAACGTAATCAACCATATTTTCATGAAACACTTCATTTTATCACTGATATTAGCGTTATCCCCATCACAGCCACGTGGATACCTGTAGGTTTCCTGTGAGTCACATCTATACTACAAAAAACGGTGATAGCAACAGATTAGTTAATCTTCGCATTTTAGATGTATGTATAGCTTGTCATCGTTGTTAAATAATCGTATTTTTTCAAATGAATTGGATTTGTAACACGCTTTTTCAATTGTAGTCTAATGAATTACTGAATGTCATATTTATTACCTTCACTTGTCGAAACTTTGGGATCTAGTTGTGGCCCAGACACATTCACCCTTTTTCTTTCCCTGAATCTTGAATTTCAATATTACCTGATATTTTTATTCAGCGGATTTTTCCTTCTTTGTGTTTAATATTTCTAATATAGTCGATACTACTATTATTCCAACCCACTTGTCACTTAATGTGGATCAATTCAATTTTCCACAACACAGCTAGATAAACTTATCAAGACAAATTCCAGAGTAGAAGCCGTGACAGTATCAGTAGTAGTGGAAAGACTAAGTATATGAAGAAAAAAGATTTTAGGACTTAAGATCTAAGGAAAGACAAAAGTGAACACAGTGCACCATTGTGTAGTGTTTTTAAGCCATATCATCCAACATTTTCAACTGCTGGCTACGAAAATCAGACGGACTTGAACCAGATCGCCCCTAGCTTTCCTCCAACCTTCTACACCAGACGTCGCCTATCAAGGTTGGCGATGGTTAACCGTAACCGATGACTGATATCCGTAGTAACGAAAGTCAGTACATATACGTAAAAATGATCTTGTGAAGTGCCTACGAATAAAATGCTAGTAATGAAAAGTTAATTGCTAACTCTAGGATCTTACCGTCTTTTAAAAACATTACTATGTTTAAAGTAATTAGTCCCTTTGATAAGCTTGGATAGTATAATAAAATTATCAGATCCGTGTTATATTAGCGCAATACATTTTGAACAATTTGACCACATATACACTTGTTAAGAAAATTTATAGATAAAAATAAAGGGTCAACTAGACTAGAAATGAAGGGTTGGAGAAAACAAAGAGAATGAAGAAAAACAATGTGAAACTCAACACTCTAGATAATAAACTAATATTACCGAGGTAGGTTTAATGTGAGAACAAACCGTTTTTGAATATATAAGTGGGTTTTGAATTTTCGTATGGCCAAGGCTTCAATAAATCTTAGTATACCTTTTTTAGTACTTTTGTACAACGCCACAAAAGCCGTGTTAAGACCAATATTATGACCTGTGTTAACCATGTTTGCGAGAGAAGCCGATTTATGTGTATCATCTGCTCTAATTGAGTCATTTGATTTCATTTGTTTTTGTAACCACTCACGTACATGTTCAGACACTCTAATTTGTAGATCACGATGTAGATCACTGTGTATGTGGCCACACACACAAATGCAAACTGGTAAACACAGTGGAATGTGACACAGTCATTTAGGTTTTCACTGAAGCATGGACCTTGTTTTTCAATAAAAAAAGGACCTTCGTTACATAGTACGTTTACTTACAACTGATTTGAGCATTCGTTACAGCATAAGGTCATTTGACTAACCTCTGAACGGTAGGGTAATGTAGACAGGCTTTTTTAACGCCGAAGTGTTGTAGTTCTCACTAGTGTTCTTCGACTGAACTGATATCAGTTGACGATAAAAAGTGTCATTCTAATTTTAAAAAAGCATGAACGAGAGTATCCATACAGGAACTGCTGAACAGATAACTGCTTTGGCCTAGCTTAATACTCCACAGTACTTTGTGATGAGAATTCTATATTGTACCAAAATACAATATTGAATAAAGCAATTAATCATAATAATGGGCACACACCAACTTCGCCATAGATGACCAGTTAATAAAGTTTAATAACTACAGATCACCTATTTCGACGACACATCAATAAAATAAAACAGAAGGAACTAAGTATTTTATTCAACTTAACAAACATTATCCCGTTTCTGAGAAACAAATTAGGTTTATGATAAGTGATAACTTTTATCAACGCTAACTTTCACCTGAAAAACCGTAATAAATAAAAACGACTGTTTCGTCCTGATTTGATGTTATCGCTTCAATTTAAAGTATTTGTTCTCACCATTTACCTACCCTGATAATGTTAATTTATTGTCCAGAGTGATGAGTTTCACATTATTTTCTTTATTATCTTTGTCGTCTCTTGCCCTTCATTTGTCTAGTTGACCTTTTATTTTTATATATAAATGTTCGTAACAAGTATATGTGTGGTCAGATTGTTCGAAATGTATTGCACCAATATAACATAGTTCTGATAATCTTCGTCTTCTTATTACATTATCCAGATTACTCTATTGTTTTATTCATCGGAATATCTAATTTATAGGTGATAACTAAGTAATCAATTTAGACTAGTGTGATGATATTTCTTCGGAAAAGACACTAGTGGTGATTTATTACATATTAATCCATTGAATTCACTTTTCTATTTGCTTATCTGCTCTTTTACAACTAAGTGGCCATTCAGGACGTGTAACCTCGTTATCAGTTTCGCCATGTGGACAGTGGCTTGCTAGTATTTCCCCATCTGATGGTTATTTACGCATATGGGAAACTTCTACAAACTATTGTTTCCGCGTTTATCGTCTTTCTAATCCATGTGTAAAAGAAAAAGTCAAATTAAAACAAAATAACAAGATAGGAGGGTCAAATTATGAAGATTCACAATTAAATAACAATAATGATATTGATGAAGAGGAAACAAATCGTCAACCGAGTGACGATGAAGAAAACTGGTCTCCATCTTCTCCTTCCGCTAGTGTATCATGGAATCCTAATCCGGAATTACATCTTTTAGCTGCAGCTATGTAAGTAGTGTTTATCATTATTAATAAAAATTTGAACTTACCTGTTGTTGATATTAAGAACTGAATTCCGACTAATCTCTGTCCGTATATATGCATTCAGTATGAATTTCCTCGATTTAACCATTTTGTCATAAGTTTTATCGAATAGATGGATGGTGGCTACAGGTAGAACCCAGGATGCGGGTTTCATCCTACTAGCAAGTCTTAAATAGAATAAACTATTGTTGTCCTGGATTCTATGGCTACCCAAAGTCCATCTATCCTACCTATATTTGAATTGTCGTAATTTTCTTCCCTCGCTATTTTGGTACTTTAACTCTGCCTTGTAGGTCTATTATTTTTAACTCATTTCTAGAAATAAAGGTATTGAGTCACTTTCATGGTTATTCTTTCTCTAACTTTTTATTAATATAATAACTCGAACTAGATACTTGAGAACAAAACTATATATAACTATAAATGAAAACTAATATAGTGGTGTGGGTTACTTATATCCACATAAGTAGTACATAACGGTGGTCAGGCATAGAATGTATTTCAGTAAAAGATTGATAAGGAAAAAACGGGAATGGAACGCATTTGGTACGAAAATGCATAAACCATTAAATCTGAGACAATGGACTGATATTTGAAAAAGGAACATTCAAGTTTGATATGATGGATTGATATCTTGTACATTAACTATTTACTATATGGTTCTCAGATTTTATTGAGATGCTCTGTAATTTCGTGTCCAATATATTCGATTGCACCAATCGCGTTCTTGTTCACTACAATATGACAAGGACTAGGACTTTCTATCAGAATTGTAATATAATTGTCATTGAAACGTGATATGGATCGATATATGGGAGATAATGAACACTTCTGCGGATAAAAATTTATTCTCAGCCGAGATGGATGACGACTAGTAGTGGAATTCAAAACGTCCATTTCATCCTATTTGGGACTCGTCAGCTGGATTTACCTACATCTCAGAGTTGATATTCATTCCAGGATTCAAACCAAGCATTTTTCGCTTCAAATACTATCGCGTTATCCATTTAGCTACTGAGTCCAGGTAGCCATCGACTTTGGGATGCAGGCAAATCCAGCTGACGGGTCACAAGTAGGACGAAACGGGCGTCTTGGACACAATTTCTAACCACCATCTATTTCTACCCGCAATTCTTGTGACTTGATGGCGGTATCAAGGCAATCTGCAAAAGATGCACATATGCCAAAAAGAGACTGATCATTTTCAGTCCTAAGCATCGACGGGAAAACTTAAACAACCAATGTTAATTATTAAAAATCTACTTTTCTTATCCAAATCCCAAAGAATTTTTTGACTACACAGACTTACATGCATTAATTATTGGCCAGTTAAATAAGACACTGTACTGATATAAAACAGAATGCTACACAGAATTTGTTGCTTATAAAAAAGATTATACTGAATCTAATAGACGAGTTGAATGTTGGGGATGCCAGATCTTTATAAATCACTTGGTAAACTTTTTACTTTTTATGATTTAATTATGGAAACTTGAATTTCTCATCTTCGTGTGTAAAGAGCTCATTATTACCATCCCTTCGTGTTTTTCATCTGGAAGGACTTTAACGTTATTGGTACGTTTTTTCTCTTAGTGCTGTATTTTGTAACGCTTTTCAGGGACATTTTTTGTATTTGTATATATTGTGCATGAACTGAGTACATGTTATTCGTCCTTCCGGGCTGTTCATGGAATTAGATATTTTCCCGGCTGAACGTAGTCTTCTTCCTCTAGTTAGCCCGGCTTGGGCTCAGAGGAATAACTTAACTTTGCCTTTTTGTTGAGTTTCTGGTTTTCGTTCGTTCTCTGATCCAAGGTAATATCATAACATCGCGAACATAACAACGAAACAGTAAATTAATGTACAATGAAATCTCATACAAAAGATGGAAATGTGGTGCTATTCTGAACAAAAATGGTTCACTGAATTATTACCTGACGTCGCACTTATGTCCTTCCTAACAATTAGAATAGGTAAATTGAAGACCAATTGGTAGTTTCTGTCATCGTGGACACTGGCACCATTTGAAGAATTAGTGAAACATAGTTGAAAAGACACTGTGGGGTTGCTTTCGTTTGTTAGCTCACTAGTAACCTACCTCGGAATTTTCCCGAAGTTTTGGTGTTGAGTCCTAAGTGGTAAATCCCATGTATGTTAGAAGAAAAACAGTTGTCAGCAATAGCCTTAGATGGCTGTCCCACTATCTCAAATCAAAGTTTTAATTACACTATTAGAAATCGACCTAGTAGTACCTATAGTTCGGCGTTAGCCGTAATACCTGAAGGCCCTGAGTTCGATCTCAAGTGGGATCGTGAGTGAGCACATCATAGGAATTCCATACTGGTACCCCAAACGAGACAAATCTATGACGATGATAAACCACAGATTAATGAAACTCACAAAGGATGTGTTACGTATGTTTTAGTACTGCCTACCTCATTTTGCGTTTTGATAATGTAGAAGTAGGTTAGAAGAAAGCTATGACGAATTAAACAAAGGTATACTACTGGTCTATGAAGTCATTGACCATTAGATTGCCCCTTGTTAGTAAATGCAGATCATGAATTAGCATCAGTGCGTTGGCTGAAACCAAAGGTTGGAATCTATCAGTGACATGGTCCAAATCCCTTCACTTTGTTTTCCTTTAGATTTAGATTTTGGAAATTACCTTATAATGTTTATTCTGTGGATTTATTATTTCTTATGGAATCTTATTGTCTATCTTTAATCATTCCTACTATTGATACTATTATTACTTCGGTTACCTTGATATTTATCCTGATACTTTTATTTAGCTTTGGTGATGTGCGGAGTTTGATGATAAACATGTCCTAGGTCCTACATTGCTTTTGATTCATTGAGTTTGGGATATATTGAATTTGCACAAAATCAACTAAAATTGGAAATATAGTAACACTCATACTCTTTGATTCTCCAACTCATGTTAATCCCTTCAGTAATAACACGTCTATGAAAATCTCAATAATAGAAATTTGTTACCCCTCAATTCTCAATAATCTTTTGTCGTTATTGCGTCAATTGAAAATCTCGTTTGTTTCTTGACACTACTACTTTCATGTAACAGTTATATTAACTTATTTTTTCTAGCAATTTATACAATATTTATTATTTTATTCAGTTATTGTTCATTATAAACAAGTTCTCATTTAATCTAATCTAACTTACAGTTTTATCTGTGTTCTGAAACTTGATTGTTATGTAAAAATGCTTCAGTGGATCCATCAAACATTGGCCAGATAGTAAGCACACTCAGTTGATCAAGTCTTGACTTTCTTTTCTAAGGAATGAGATACTCAACTGATGATATATATATATATATATATATATATATATATATATATATATATGCATAAAGAGTATGTGTACAGTTCTGTTTTGATTTCGTTGATCAGTAAAATGCTTCCTTCTCATTCAGTAGCTTATTGAAGACGCATATAGGAGGCTAGTTTATCCGTATCAGAATTGGGCACCACATGTCACAACAAAAAGTTGTTATTTACTGCTAATACTATTATTACTATTCTTATCATTCGTGTAAATAATAACCAACTTTGTTGTTACTCTTTTCGCAGTGGCACTCAGCTATTCATCATTAATCCAGCTTTAGGAGATCGTGTTCGTGTGTCACACACTGAAGCAAGTCTTTTAAAGTGGTGGTCAGATATGAATGACAATGTAGCCAATATATCTGTCCAGATACCAGATAACAAGGCTGAAGTAAGTATCATTTTTTCCTGCTAACTTATCCATGAATAATGGATCATGGTACAAATACTTAATTCATTTTATTATTCCACACAGGTGCCTGACAATAGCTAAGATGAATAGTCAGTAATCTTGTGGACTAGTGCAATTGTCTTAATCTGATGACTACGTTTGTTTTTGTCACACAACTTGCTCTCAACCTAGCAGTCAGTGGCTTAAACTGTATGTGACTTATGTCGATCGTCGATTTACGAAAATATCTGTTGACTTTATCCAAAATTTCTCCTAAAATTATTCTATCATAAATAACTGGGAATATAGTTGGATGCCTGTAACAACTTTGTTAAAACAGCTTGATTATTTCATTTTAAATGTTATAAGATTTAGATCAATAATGTGTTGGACTTTGTATGCGATTTAATGGAGAGATGTTTACGACTTCTCATTATATCGTGCACAGTAGTCACGTGGATTTCTATCTTCATGAAATCTAACAAAGAATAATGTGAACAAGATGGTCAAATTCGAAACACACATTATCAGTGTTTACATAGCACATCAATAGATAGACAGATTCTTTTTCAAAATTAGCTTATAATTTGGTCCGTGAAACAATACTAACAACTTACAAAGTCCCGCTTCACATACCCTATCTTCAGCAATTTATCTGTAATGGGTGAGGCCGGGTTCATATTCGCAACCTTATGGTTGAAAGCCAAATACTAAAACAACCAAGTCATCCCCTTAATTAATATGACCCCTCTCCGTAGTGATTGTTAAGTCAGTGAAATCCCAAGTATCGGATTGTAAGCATCATTATCGCCTTACTTAATTCAATTTGGTCAGTTTAGTAGTATAACTGAATGTACATTTTTTTGTAGGATATTGTTGATACCGCTGAAACTATCCCAAGCAAACAATTACGATTAGATAATGAAATGAATATCGATGATGAACAATCAGAGATTGAAATGAAAACAATGGCTAAATGGACTATTAAAATACCACCACAGACTATGAATAAAGTGGCCAAATCCAAAACATATGAACGTCATCGGATTATCATCACTGTTACTGATGTAATTCCATTTTTAAATACCATTTTATAATTTGATTACTACTATTTATCTATTCATTCGAAAGTACAATTAAATTCTTAATCAAGAATATCAAACGACTCATCACTTATTTGAACACATAAATATTAGTGCAAAAGGGCACCCAATATATATTCATCACACAAGTCACTTGGTTTGTGTGTGGGCTACGATAGTGCCCGGGTGCTCAAACCAAAGCAAGTGGTTTTCTTGGGGGGCCACACCCCGATCCTTCGACCTAAAGGTCTGATCTACAAGGCCGTGCAGTAATGTCATGCAGTTCCACTGTAACCAGTGACTAATAATTGGTTCTTACGCCTTTTGTTCCCTCAGGATCCTGGAACCCATGTGCACGTTTGGTTTGGAATCAGGGTTTTCCAACTCCCGTAAATGGGTCCTCATTTATCCACCAACCCGGTTAAAGCTCCGAACATTCGCTTTTCGTCCTCTCAATTTTGTAAGCAACAATAACGCCGCAAGAAGGCAGTGAGTAGGACTTCCCTGGTAATGGCTTTATACGCGCAGCCATGTGAGAGTATTTCGGGAGGGAGAGATGACTCTCCACACCCTCGGTCGTACCAGGGCATTTGAGGACAAAATCAGAAATAACTCCATTTCGCTTGGTATCCTAATTAATTGAACAATAGTTTAGGGCACAATTGTGTTGTGAACCCTATTTATGTTTGATTATTTCACTGAAGGTGATCAAATCAAAATATCTATTGAAGCATTAAAGCTATTCTTGGTTTCAATCCCTGAAAATTTGACAAATATAATATCTTTTTAAGTATTTATCCACTGATTTCTATTTTGTACACATAAATTCCAAGAATTTAGTGATTGTATATTTATTAAAGTGAAGCTTAATTATTCGTTGACTAAATTTAAGCAGTGAAACTACACTCTAAAGCAAGTCACTGTCTCTTTTTTTTCAATATCTAGTGCTTCATATATAAATAGATATAGAAATTTCTATGTTACTGCCCATAGACATAAGTTTTGTCTGGGCGTTCACAATTCGCAACGCAGAATTCTCCTATGAGAAATGAAATACACTATATTTCATTTATAAGTGTTTATCTTCCTAAATATTGTCTGTGTTTTAATCTTCTATTTATTTATAGCCTATAATTAGTTTAGATTGGCATCCGAAAGGTGATTATCTACTTACATTATCTCGTCCAATTCTTTCTTCACATGTTCGTTCACGATCAGCCAAACGATTATTACTTCATCGTTTATCGAAAATGTCTAGTCAAGCTCCATTCTCTGATACTGGTAAACCAGTAGAATGGAAACAAGCTGGATTTCATCCAACTGGTAAACCGCATTTATTTGTTGCTAGTCCACGTGCAGTACGTATATATGATTTAGTGGAACAAAAAGAATTACGTTGTTTACGATTGGAAAGTTCATCGAATTTCATCAGTTGCATGGCACTTCATCCATCAGGTTATTTATCATTTGACAATGTTATTATCTTTTATTTTTATCATTCTTATGCTTTAATCATCAAAGCACCATTCTCTAGTGGTTAAGTTTTATTTTAAATCAACATTTATCCCATTGGTATAAAGAGACTTTTGACTAGTGTGTGAATACTTCAATAATCGTTAGAGAAAACAAAACAGCTGTATGTAGTAACGTATCAAAGTATGTTTAAATCTGCTCGCTATATAATCACGTTATTAAAACTGAAACGTTTTCGTTTAATTTGATCTTACGATTTGGATTTTTGAGCGGATTACAGTTAAAGTACTTTCACTTCACGCAATTATGTATAGTTACACTAAGAAAAATCGTTGTAATTCACTTTGAATGAAGAGGCTTATGTATTTAATATTGTTTTTCATCGTTTGTGTTTAAGGGCTAGTGATATTTTCGTTAATCATTTTCTTTATAATTATCAATCATCATATTCCTGAATGAGCTGGGATATTACCCAGACATCCATAAACAAGCAATTTTCTTGTAGATTTACTTTTTGAACCTTTGATCTAGGGGTCTAACTCACAAGACATTGGAGCAACGTCAAATATAGTCTTTTGGTAACTGGTGTCCAAAATAGGTGCATGCACCATTTGTTCACACATGACCCTGGAGTCTATGCACACCATTGATTTAAAATCAATGTTTCCCAACTCCTAAGTAAACCATCTGTGTCCATCAACCTGGTTCAAGTTCCGGGCATTCGCTTTTCGTCCTTAGACTGCAAGTATGCCTTACTTGACGAATATAAACGTACGCAACACCTAGATCTACGGTTTTCTCCTATCTGTCTTCAACTGTCTAACAACTAAAACATGATTTCCCTGTAGAAAAAAACAACAGTTGCTTGATTTCTACGCTATAACAATATATACTCCGTATTCAGTGTTATTGTAACCTCCATACATGCTGAATAACTTTTTTTGTACTTATAGGAGATCATTTAGTTGTTGGTAGTTATGATAGTCGTTTTAATTGGTTCGATATCGAATTGGGTAATGTCCCATTCAAAAAGTTACAGTGAGTTTATTTAATGATTTAGTCAAGTATTGATTTCAGTTTAAATTGATTCATTCACCAGGGTAAACTTAGATGTGAGTCATATCTCAAGTATGGGGGTCAATGATACTACCCACCTTTTCGAACTAAAGTGCGTAGAACTGAGTTCGAACGAGGGTCTAAAAGTCAAAAACCTTAACTACTAGATAACCGTTCCACGACTTAAATATATTATGTATGTCATTACGGATTTCTTAATCAGTCGTTGTGTGGTAATCTATTTTCTGGGTGTATGTTGAACGGTTTTTAAAATTTAAAAGATTCACTATAATAACAGAACTCAACTAACTGTACAATACGGATTTTCGTTTTCATCTTTAAACCAAATTTCTGGTCTAGGCTACTAATAATCCTAGTAGTGAGTGCTGAGTTCTTGAACTGAACGGTTTTAAATCGAATAAATTGAAAAATAAACCCTCACCTCTACTTTCGTTCCTAATGTCAACAAACAATGCTTTTGTGAAGCCATGCATGAAATGCATTCAAATATTTTAAGCCGTTGTTTAGGCTGTCACCACTAATTAAACGTCGGTCTACACTGCAATCAAACAGGACATCGGATTTTTTCTTGTAATTGTCCTTAGTGTATGTGGTTTTGTGCAGATTGTGGAATTCTCAGGATTTGAATCACGAAATTATCTTGGCTATTTAACCATTAGAAACTTTGAGATACTGGTCGGTCATTTCGTTCTTGTATTAGACTACTTAGCAATATGCGTCCACGACCATGCAACGGGGAATCGGACACGACTCTTGATCTCGTGCGCGAACGCTTGACTTCTAAACCACTACGTCAGCGGTGTATATGTCTAACTTCAATCAATTCATGACACTGCACAACCCTCATGTATTGCCTGTAGTACATAACTGTCATGTACTCAACATTGTTGAAGTCCACTGGCCTCAGCTTCTAACTAAGAACTTCAGTGATTGCATCTTAATGATCCATTTTTTGGTTTGGCATGAAATCAGAATATCGTGATATGCTCTAAATTATCAACACAACCCATATCATTATTTAGTAGGGTTTAAATTATCCCGTTGTTAATATTATTGTATAAATTTCGGCCACTCCTTGTGCCACATAATCATCCTAACTTTTTATTGTATGTGTGTTCAAGCAGGATTTCGCGTAATTTATTCACTAGCCTATTAGAAAACGTCGTTTTTTGTCCTTCTTAAACTAAATACTATTCATGTTAAGGTGACAAATTCTACGTCCATCACACATGTAGCGCATTACAGTTAAACATTCAAGTCTACAGCTATTCTATGATATATAGCCGGTTACTCATCCTGTAGAAATCTAAGTCTAAATTAAAACAAGAAATCTTATCGCTCACGTGTTCAATGACTAAACCTATCCTACTATAAATGTCATATTTATCGTATTTGATATCGCCACCTGGATGTGCTAACCCTTCACATTAGATGTTGAGCGATTCGCATTACTGCATATTCTTCAATGTAGAAATAGTTGTTTTTCACTTGTAATGCATAGATTTGTGGAATTAATAAATTATTATTTTTTTAGGCTTAATCATGGCGCTGTTAGACAGTTAGCAGTCCATTACCGTCGTCCATTAGTTTCTGTAGCATTGAGTGATGGTACGATTCTCATAATTCATGGAAAAGTAATCGAGTAAGTGAAATCATCTGTGTACCAAACACACAGAAATCATTTGTTTTGTTTTACCAATACTCTGTTTGTGTTTATTAATGCATGAATGTTGAAAACATTGAGTTAAACTCTATTCTAATGAATAGATAAGTGATTTTAATTGCAAGATTGAATTTCCTATATTAGATGCTCTTCAGAAACACCGATGATCGAACACAGAGTCGCCGAACACTCAACTCGGTATTACAAGCATAACAGCGGAAGCGCTCTCACAGACAAGCCGTTAACTCGACTAACACCACGACGGTGCCAAAGGTGACCTAGATTGGCATCAGCTGTTTTGGTTTTCACTCTACCAGCAACATTAACAAAGCGATCCAGAAACATAAATGTTTCAACCACTAATGGCTCACCCGAAAGAGTGCAGCCACAGGCTCCCTCCAGTCTTGTAAAAGTACTTTGCATCTAGAAGGTGCAAATTACATCTCATACTTCTGGGCACTGAGTGTTAACTGATTAGTTGCGAACTGCATAACTTGGGCATCGTCGCATATTAAAACGATCCCATCTCATTATCAAGATTGCAAAGTCGTTCTCCAAGCAACAGATCTACACCACCACCATTTCATTCAGAGCTGTCTCCAGAATGTCATCAATGACAAAGTTGAGGAGGATTAGTAAGGCAACGCAATCTTGCTTAACACCACTGCTGAATTAGAACAATACAGAGGTGGTTGGATCGCCTCACTGTCTCCAAGGTGTTTATGTACAGAGCCTTCAAGAGGTTGATAAACTCTTCAGGTGCATTCTCGTTGAACAGACAACCACAAAGCATATTCCTGTTTCAAAGGCAGTCGTAATGTCAAGAAATACAATAATAGTCTGGGGTGAATATGGTGATGCTTTAATATTTGATGGAGGGTAAATATCTGGTCTAAAACCATCATGTTTTTCAAAGGTTCTAAATAATTGGCGAATACCAAGTATATTTAAAATAGATGTATATGATGTATGATCAAACAAGTCTCATTTAATTACTTAGTTATGATTATATTGTTTTTCTTCTCATATATTGACAAACACTGATTGCTTTGATCCGCTATTTCTCCCCTCATCTCCTCTAAAAATAAATTGTAGTGATCTATTATCAAAACCAGTTGTTATACCAGTTCAATTAATTCGTACTGGACAACCAACAAGTCATTCGAATGTATTTTCCACTGTGTTTCATCCACGTCAACCACATGTATACAGTGGTGGAGAAGATGGCAGTGTTAAACAATTTGTTGCATGGAAATAACACTTTGATTGATTAAATCTATTATGATGAATTACTTTGTATTCTCATAGTTCGAATCTGTAATATTTTTCTTATCCTTGTATATATATATGTATAAATAGAGATATATAAAAAAGAAGTGTGGATAAACACTTTGTTTTAAAGGGAATGAAAATAAAACAGTGGTGATATAAGAATAAAATTTTTATAACCAATTACCAAACACGTATAATGTAATCTTTAAATGTAAATTTCTGACAAACGAAAAAGCATCATATTGTGGCTTTATACCCCTAGCTGCTTAATTTAGCACAATACATTAAAGAAATTGATGATGACTAGTTAGTAACTTAAGTTCTAGACGAAGATGTCCAACCACACATGGTTATCCAATAATCAGCGACCTTATAGACAAATTCTGTTTTAATTTGTTTAGCTAGCATATCAAGGCAAATGATGATGAGTATCCTTAGTGAGCATCTCAGGGCCGAGTAATCTGATTATTATTCTCGGATCAATCTTAATGAAAGTTATTTTTGTGAGACGATACACTATTAAGTTGTGATTTTTTCCTCGGGAAACATAACATTTTATTTGTACATCAACACAACAATATCATATTCCCAATCTGTAGAACACAAACTGTCAAAAAAGGGATATTGTAGTGGTATTGGTTTTCAACCGCATGATCCTTGATGACAAACGTACGATAACTGAGATTTACATTCAACACTTAACACCATAGATGTCAGAAATGGTGACCGTTTAAACACTTAGTACAGCATAGCTCACCCGCCTAGAGGTATGGTCACTATATAGCTTATTGCTTTTCATATTAAATACATTACCTTATCCCCAGCCCAACTATGTTCTTCAGAAGTGCTAAACATCATATTGCTGACCATCACGATAGGATGACTTAGTAAGGACAATAGTGTGATTCTACAGTTTGCACTGACCTAGACAATAATCCTACGATATTACCCACCTTTTCAATCAAAATGAAATTCTCACTGTATAAATAACAGTAATATCAAGTTATTATTTGAAATATGGAGAATATTTTACCTGTACGACAGATCATTTGAACAATATATTAAAGGTGTATATTAAAAAAAAGATTATTACAACTTGTTCATATCACAGCCACATATACGTCTGCATTTTATTGTTGAAAAAATGCGACAAAACAAAAAGCATCACAATATATAACGAAGTAATTAAAATAGGGAACGAAACAACGATTGATGAAATCAAGAAAATAGCAGTAGAAATCCACACTTTATCCTAAATAGGATAAAAGGCAAAATAAAGCATGTGGAGAACTCGAGACACAAATAGTAACACCTAGGAAATGTACAATGACTCAAGTAAACCAGAAAAATCATCTCTGAAGTATGCCGTTATGTATGAGGAGAGAGAGACAAGAAAAGGTGATGGTGGTAGTAGTAGTAGTGAGGAAATCGCTTGTCGCAATTTAGAGTTACTGATATTACTTCATCAGTTTCACTTCATTCCATAACTGTGCGAATAGTCCATGTCTAAAATTAAATAAACATTGCACAAGTATAATACATTTTACATAGAGTAAATATGTAATTGTGTTTTCCTTGACTAATTTGTTTTATACACATAGTTCCCTTTATTATTTTAAAGAGAGTAAGAACAAAGGTTGGTGCAGAATAATATGAATTCATTTTATTTCGTTAGGTTGCAATAGCAATCAAACGTTTAAAACCAGATCTTTGTATACAAAAAGAAACAGTAATAAATCTTTCTTTACCCTGGTAACATTCACCCCACCCCCTTTTATTTTATTTATTTTATTACGTCATTTCAACTCTTTCTGAATTTTATAATTACATCATTCATAACTGACCAATTTCAATTCATATCTCTTTTTATTAACATTAATCTATTTTCAGTTACTTCATTACATAATCGTCTATTGTGTTTTAATTCCATGATTTCTAATCACTATTTCAATTTTCTGGAACCTTCCCTCCCAAACTCTATATATTCGAAACAAAATTTTATGACCTCAATCACTCTAACGAAATCTTTACCACATTATGTTACATATATTCATCCTTCATCGCCCTCTGTTGTATAAGTATGTCAATATCTATAATAACGTTGAATTTCAAATATTTTAGGTTGTAAGCAGCTGATGAGAACCTAACGAAATAAAATGAATTCATATTATTCTGCACCAACCTTTGTTCTTACTCTCTAATTTGTTTTAAACGTCATACACAAAGAAAAAAGCGCTGACAACAACTTTTTTTGTTCAATGATAAATAATATGTATAAATACCAACTGCCCAATTTAAAATACACTCAAATATGTACATAAGAATAGTACCAATCCATAGGCTTTAAAGTAAATAAAAGAATTTGACAAGGAACTTATTGGTACTATGAAACAAGGAAAATAATATACCCGTGTAGGATTCTACTAACAGTTCAAAACAAATCACTAATAGTAGCAATAATGGTTATTGAAGTAAACATTTAAGTTATCAGTGTGTTTTATTATAATTAAGAAAAATACGATGAAGTTATATTATTCATAATTATTTGATTAGGACACACATTTTTCACAACTTACCCTATATTAATTTGTGCTATAGTTAAACGATATTGAAATCAATGTTTAAAACAAAGTTTCAATTGAGAAAGTTCATTTTCCATTGAAGTAACTATAATCAGTATTAATGTAACTTTTTGTTTTTGAATACCAAGAACAAAGATTAATGTTGTCGACTTTAAACAAGTGATTCAAACTAAAGTAGTAGATGAGGCTTGGTCATGATGTTTTCAAGGTTAATGGTCTTAATTCACTCATCATTTTGGATTGATATTCTGAAGGAAATGACTTGATTTCTTTTTCATATTACATTGATAGATAAAGGTAGTTTGGTTGATATTGGAATGATAAGTGCGATTGGTTTTTGGAGAGATGACTCATAATCGATCATAATGGATCCCTCTATTTTGAATTCTGGTATTTTTCCGCATATACCTTTATAGTTTACCTTTTCGAGTCAAGTTATCAATGTTTAATCTTCTTTTCTCGTCAGAAACATATTATTTCGACCTTTTATTATTCACCGTATTACTTTCATCTTGTCATGATAATGCGGCACGGCAATTTGAGCCAACTCATATCCGTACGAGCCTGTATGTTGATTATGTCTGTCTGTAATTATTGATAATTTATATCACTATATGTTTCCCTACCATTGATTGATACCATCTTTCTGATAACTTTACACACGAGAAGTTTACAGCTTCATGCATACAACACTAGATTGGTACCCAATGTCCTTTGGATCAATGTCACCAACTGATATATCAATCCTTAGTTTTCTTCACTTTTAACCCTATTTTGACTATTTATCGGGTAAATCTTCCGTATCTATGATTATATGTTTTAATATTATGTTAATTTCATTCAATGTTTGTATCACGCATAAAGCGAAGCGTTTTTTCCACATAGGTATATTTAGACTTTCAGTAAATTAAACTTGCACTAGTATTCTGTTCATTATTTAGATTTTAAAAAACACGCCACTGAATTCCGCTTCAGTAGTCTAGAGATTAAGCATTTGTGTAAGACAAAAGATTGGGACAGAATAATGGGAGGTCGTGGATAAGCATCGATGAGAAATCCCATACTACGACGACACGGCCTTCCAGTGCTTCTAGGTGTTCAATGGTTGTCTACCTCAGGTCAAATCGTGATCTCGATAAAATTCGACAACCTTCACAACCCGATATTGATGAAAATAGCACCAGTCAAAGAACATGTACCTTTGAAAGTCCCATATCTTAATCTTAATACAGATTCACAAACTTATCTTTTAATGAATCTGCCTGAACTGCAACAGAACACTTAACATCATTCAATTATTCATATCAGAAGCATTTATATGATACGAAATAGGTATACATGATGATGGTATACTACAATGCTTTTATGTATAGAATACATAGATTATTGATGATTACAGTCAAGTTATGGAGAAACACGATCCTATACAGTTAAATGTTAAACGATAACTCATATCTTTTCCTCACTATCTTTGTATGCCACCACTTGGTTTCATATTAGTAGTAATGTCGATATTGCTGTAGGAAATTTTCAGGTTCAGTTAGTGACTGATTCACTGCTACGTGATCTGAAGTTTCATCCGATCGGCATGCCCCTAAATGCCCTGGTATGGTCAAGAGTGGAGAGAGTCAGCTTTCCCTCTCGAAATGCTCCCACATGGCCATGTGTATATAGACTCCTCCAGGGAAGTCCTACCCACTGCCTCCTCGTGGCGAGGGTGTTGTTTACGAAATCGGAAGGCGAACATTCGGCACTTTAACCGGGTTGGTGGACACGGAGAGTCCACCTAGACGAGTTGGAAAACCCTGATTCCAAATTAATGGTGCACATGGGATCCAGTATCCTGAAGGAACAAACAGCGTATGAACCAATTGTTGGTCACCTGCTACCATAGAACTGCATCTCTTGACGTTGCTCCACTGCCTTGTGGATCAGACCTTCAGGTCGAAGGCTCTGGGTGTGGCCCCCTAAGGGAACCACCTGCTTCGGTTTGGGCAGTATCACAGCTCTCAAACAAATCAAATGAGGTTTGTGTGGCGCATATGTATCTGGTGCCTTCTTGTACCAATATCTACGTGTTCAAATAAATAAATAATAAAATTGGACCGGCATCAACTATTTAGTTATTTTTTCATTTTAATTTTCGACCGCCTAGAAATGTATGTATGAAGAATTGGACCCATACTCGAAGCTAGAAATCACTAGGGTTAGTTTAGTGACACAGTTTCAATGAGAATAGAAAATATAGGATGACAGGTTTCTAAAACACTAATAAATCACAATAAGATGTTTATTCATTTCGTATATAAGAATAGGATACAAGATAAAACTGAGACTGACCTTGCTTTTTTGATCTTCATAAGTTAGTACTTTACGCGTTTGATCTGCATTGAAACGCATTAACGAGCATAGAACTTTTGACAATGTCTACATTTGAAAATAAATTTGGAGAGAAAAAAACATCACTAAGACATAGTAATTATTTAGAATACCAAGACACAAACAAATATTTAGTCAATATGACACAACAAAATGCACACAAGAGAGAATTTTTATGACGAACAATGAAATCAAAAATACCATAGTACATTTTAAAAAACGAAGATAGAAACACAACCAAAATGGACTTCACTACTCTTAAAAGAATAATCTGTTTTTTTTTTCTAAAAAATACCCAGAAAATAAACTACAATCCATTGCGGACGATGGTGTGTGTGAACATCTTGAACCAGTGGAGTTGTATAAACTCAGAATCTAAGTAGGTTTTATCAATAACTAGATAATAATCCAGTGATCCAAATAAGTTTCAATTTAGTACATAAATTTGTTATATCCTAGTGAAGATTAAATTACGGGTAACTTCCAAGGACTGTTAATAGACTAATATTCTATAAATATTCTTATTGTATAATTATTCAATAATTAGATTATGTATATTTATATCCCTCTTATTATAAGCTTTATTTTGACCCATAATTTATTATTATACGATTTTACTGTCCCTAAATTATGCTCAGTATATTAACTACTGCCTCTCACGTTCACAGCCACTTTTTGGCTTTATTGTGTACAAATAATATTTCCTATTTTGTGGTGCGTTGCGGTCTGTTTGTTGGATCTATAAACCCAGTATGTCTGAAATAAATTATTCGATTCGCATATTGGAAGCTGGTATTTGATGTTCTGGACTCAAGTGGACGGGTTAGGCGAACATAGAACCAATAAGGACGCTAGGCTGTTTATACCGGTCGAATGTTGTTGGTTTGGCACAGTGTGAAGATTGTATAAGTCGTATTTTGATTGGTGGATAAATTAAGTGATAAAAAGTCGAACATAAAGTCAAACAAAATTCACACAAAAACTAACATTTCAGTGTTTTAATAATTAATGTTGAAAATTAAACATCTTCACAATGGTAACAAAATTGTTCACTTTCAACTAAACTGTAGGAAATACTGACAGATGTGTTTTTTTTACATCTGAACCTAACTATTTTTAGTATAGAGTTGTAGAGATTGTTGTATTTCGTAGAAATCATGAACCCATACTAGGAAGAAACAGTCAACCAATGCTCCCAGGTTTCCAATGGTGATCCAACATAGATCGGTTGATGATTTCAATGAAAATAAATACATTAGTAATTAAGTTTCATTGGGAAACATCAAGATAACGACTCTTTTAATAGGTCTATTGAAACTGTCGGATAAACACAGTACAGTACTGACTGACGCTAAACAAATAATTCATGTTAAACGGATTAGCAAAGCACTAAAAAGGATGTATTTCGCTTATTTTAGAAGAAAAGGATGGTCCATCGCCCCTCCTCCTCCAATGCAACAACTTGAAGAAATTGGACAGAGATATAAAAAAGATATTATATATATATATATATATATATATATATATAGCAATAAATAACTTCACAAACTTGAGTTTCACGTCCTTGCATATACTCGAAGAGAACATTTTTCAAATACTGGAAAGTAAACATGAAAAACACAACAATGAGCAATTGAATAAATAAACATTCGTCAAGACAAATTTTCTCGGATAGATTTAATGAAAGAGAAAAAAAACACAACTATTTACAGTAACTGAACTATGATGAAACTAAGTTTGAATAAATGATTAATAAAATTTAGCGGTTTAAACTATTAAATTTCAGTTACATAGTTCATTAGACTAATGATGAATTAACAAATTCAATTGTTTATTGGGAATTATCTGCTAAGGATATAATGCTTTAGTATCATGAACTCTCGAAACACTACATGAATTACTGGACATAGCCACTCATACTCATTAACCACTGAGTATTAACTAATGTTACGCTTATCTGGTTCTTATTACTGGTTGAATCCCATCGATCGAGTTAAAATATGATTGGATGTCAGATGAATGCATGCTGTCGATAGGAAAGCATGGACCTACAGTTTATACTAGTTAGCACTCGAACAATAGTCACAGTACCATAGATATTGTTGAATATACATCTTGCTGATGAGTGTTAGTTAGTACGAAACCCAGGTCGATGGTTTATTGCCGACTGATTCTAACCACTTAATATTTGATAACAAGAAGTAGTCATAATGTTTAACTATATCACTCTGATCAGTAGGCTGATATATAAGACAATAATAGAAAAATATAATGATAATAATGAGAAATAGAAACAGAAATGATTTATTGCTTGAGTCAGCCACTCAAAATTCATTTACACTCCCATCGACTTTCAAGCTCGAAACCCGTTCTACTTCAGTCAGTTGCCATCATTTGTCATCACATAAACAAGAGACGCACTCAAAGCTAACAAAACGAATCTGAGCTTACATTTCATTTTAAAATATCATTATTATGCGATAGGCATTTTAAGGTAGCTTGGACATGTGCTACAGCAAGCAACTTTGACCATAATCTATTGCTTTGATACAGTGATCAGGGATGACTATTTTAATAGTTGATTATAGCTATGATGATTAGAGGTTTTTTATGTCACACATTTTGGTTAGAGACTGGCACGATTAAAAGCGATGCACATAAATCCCAAAAGCAATGTCATATTGAGGTGTGGTGACAGTATAGAAGTTGCTCAGGATAATTAGAATCTCTAGAGATGCTATCTTCTTATAACGTCAAGAAATTAGGAAGAAAATCGACCTCAAGAATGACGCAGTTTAACTTGGTCTAGTGATTTTAATCATTAGTAGTAAGGTCTAAAATTTGCAAGGTCAATACATCAAAGATCGACTGTGACTGTTGATTTTAGACGTTAAGACCACTAGTAACCTAGATTTGTTTTCAGGTACCATGTGAAGAAATATCCTTCGAATTGGATAACTAACAAGAAAGTTTCAACCGTTTATATAACCATAACAACACTATAGCTCACTTGACCAGCCTAAATAATTAATTGGAAAAATGATAAAAACAAATGACAACTTCTAATGACAATTGAACGAGAAGAGATGGCGATTTCTGAAGTGATTTAAACAAAAAGTAACCTGTTAAAAGATTGGTAGTAAATTAATAAGTGAATCAATGAAACCTATACGAAGATTAAAAAAGGATGTTTTATTTTTGTCTCCTTCCAAAGAAAAATCAATACACTTACTTCATATTCAACTAACTCATGTAAACGATTATCACTTGGGCTAGTCAGCAAAACATGTTGATAATCAGGTGGAATTGAATTAAACGATAAACTAGAATTGTTTAATTTAACTGTACTATCCACTGCATGAACATGCAATGATTCAAATAAGGAATGTTTATTACTGGCACTACTGCATGCAGCTGTACATTTAGATTGTAATGCTTCAAAATCGGCAGAAAGTTGTTGTAATTGATTCTAGGTAGAAAATGAAGAGAGAAAAAAAAGTATTATCTTTGTGCAGGTAACTCTTTTTCGTTGCGAAACCAGTATTTACTGATGGTGTTTGAAAATCAACGAGCTATGGACACATCTGTTATTTATGCTGTTTCCTAAATTTGGAACATAGAAAGTACAACATCCATACGAAATCGATACTTTCAGGTCTCACGAAGAACACAGCTAATTTAGTTCGAAAACAAATCCACAACAAATAGTTCATAAATTCCAAGTTCAATCATTCTACAATACTAAGTGATCCCATCACCAACGTAATAATAATAATAATAAACAGACACGTTATTCATTGTCGCATGCTTGCTTGTAACAAGGAAATTCTACCACAACAAACGGAGAATCGTATTATATTCCACTTTAACATTTTTTAATTGTAAATATATTAAACCATTGATTTTATTTATTTATTTGAACTCATAGATATTGGTACAAGGGGGCACCGAATATATATGCGCCACACAAATCTCATTTGATTTGTGTGAAGGCTATGATAATGCCCAGGTGCCCAAACCGAAGCAGGTGGTTCTCTTAGGGGGCCACACCCAGAGCCTCCGACCTAAAGGTCTGATCCAGAAGGCAGTGGAGCAACATCAGGAGATGCAGTCCCATGGTAGCCGGTGACTGACGATTGGTTCATACGCTGTTTGTTCCTTCAGGATACTGGAGCCCATGTACACCATTGGTTTTGAATCAGGGTTTTCCAACTCCTCTAGGTGGACTCTCCGTGTCTACCAACCCGGTTAAAGTGCCGAATGTTCGCCTTCCGATCTCGTAAACAACACCCTCGCCACGAGGAGGCAGTGAGTAGGACTTCCCTGACAGAATCTATATACGCGTGACCATGTGGGAGCATTTCGAGAGGGAAAGCTGACTCTCCCAACTCTCGGCCGTATCAGGTCATTTGTGGGCTTTCATTTATTTTTATTTACAAACTATTTTCAGCAAGTATCTTCCCTTATCCATTTTTATCGCATAAATGATAAGTCTTGTTACTGATTACTTAGGCATTGGGATTTCTAACGATTTATTCCTAGTGCAAAGAAATTTACTTTGAACTCTGAACAGAGAATAAACAACGATATATATGGAAGGAACTTTACTTCAGAATTTATATGTTCATGAACATAAAACGAGGGTAATTATAGTGTTTCACGTGATTCCAGAAGTTTCTAGAAAATAGGTTAAACTCGATAACAGAATCTGCAAATATCTAGTCAGATAATAATAAAATACTCTGTTGTCTCTTAGAGTTATCTTGGCGACTTCCAAAAAGCGCTGATTATTCAAAGTATTTTTAGCATTTTCTAGATTTTTTAAGACTTCTTCTAGGAATTATCAAGGGTTCCTAATAAGAAATATATCTGATGTACGAATTTCAATGTCATCTTCATTTGTTTTACTGAAGGACAAACGTCAAAGTAAATATACCAACAACTATGGTGTTTTCGGATCAATTTCAAAATATTCAACTTCGCAAGAGCAATGTTGTAACGTTTTGTTCTATTCGAGACAAATATTCGATTGCATAATCAGTAGAAAAAAGCCAAAGAGGCAACATTGTGAAACAAATTATCAAATCAAAATCATACGAAATTCAATCGTTCTGGATCATGCAGATACCTTGTACAAATGCATATATACGTTATGCCCATTATTTATTACCCCAATTGTACTGACTAAATAAAGCTATCATTTGTATTTATACAATAAGTTGGAGATATACATATTTCCTCAGCTATAATCCAATACTATATCAGAATAAAAAAACTTACTTGAAGATCTGTATTGTGTAATTGAAGCGCTTCATAATCACGTATAGGAACCGAAGTAGGATATCGAGATTGGCGCAATGCTGGGTGTCTATAAGGAAAAAAGAGGTGAGTAAAACGAAACGAATGCCATAATATTTTTTGATGCTAACTTTCCAGTTTTACTTTATGTGTAGTAAAGGTCTTTTCATGGACTTCAACCAGTTAGACAAATATTTAACACTAAGAAGCAGTAGATGATAATTGAGTTGACATGTTTAAGGAACACATTAACAAAGTATACGCACTACATATCAAAGAATGGGGACTCAGAGTCTTCAGGTAACTCATGCTGCCTACCATTTAAACCACTGAGCTAGTCATTCAATCACAAGCAACGCAGAACCAGGCGAATATGAGAATCACCACAAAATGTTACACTACATAAGCGACAGTATCAGAGATAGTAGGAAACATTCAGCGTAAACAATATAATTCTGCGAGAAAAATTAATTTATGGAATAAAACGTTTATGATAACTTAAAAATCACAAGTCGATTTAAGCTAGACCGCCACTAAGAACCTGAGAGTACTGCATGGGCGTTTCGTCCTGGTATTGAACTCCTTAGTACTGCGTGTCCACGAACCTACAAGCGAAAATCGAACCTAGGACCTTCGGTTTCGCGTGTGAACCCTTAACCTCTAAACCAACCTACGTATTAAATACAACAAAGATAGTAACATTGAAATTCAATTTTTCAAACTTACAAAGAATCAATAGAATCTGACTGAAGTATTTCTTGACGTACTTTTTCAATCCAATCATCACACTCATCATTTGACTGTAGATGAGTATTATTATTTACTTCAGAACATAATTCAGTTGATGACACGGTTCCATTCTCATGATTACAAATCTAAAGAACAAATATAAAAAGAAATTAGTTGGAGTACCATTGGACGCCAAAACCACTCAGGAGTTTCGCTTTATCCCGGTCTCGAGCTCCTTAACGGTATCCATCTACAACCTCATCAGTAATCCAACTCAGGACAGAACGCTAAGATAATAGAACTAAAGTGATCGTCTGCATCTAATGGTATATTTTAAACTTCAACCAATTAACAACATAGAATGATGATTATCCAACGCCACTAGTGACGACCATTCCACTCCCGACATGTCAAACACTAATCAAAACTCCTCACTTAGAACTTTAGAGACATTCTGAAGTATGCCTACTGGTGAGCTGAATACTATAAATTACTTGAAGGGATAGTACTACTAATCAGTAAAATCATTACTTATCCAAAAAAGATATAAAAAAGTAAAATTCTCAACAAAACCTACATTAGTATTTGTAGTAGTGTTAATAAGTGAATTGTTTTCATTGAGTTTTATATCACATTGTACATCAACATCATGACGAGAAACAATTGGTCGGGTTGATGTTGTAACAGGTGTATCGACCACTTTAATGGGTTCATATCTAGCTTCAACGGTATTATTATTTTCTGTTAAACGCTTGAAATATATGTAGAAGATAACATGTGACAATTTAGTCTTTTTCAAAAACAGAAATAATGTAATTCATAAAAAGAACACGAAAAGGACTCGTTTTATTTAAGTACAAGTTATATAGGAGCCGAAGATGACACTGGAAAAAAACACAGTCTGTTGAATATGGATATGTCTGAGAAATTTATTAAACATGTTGAAAGCTCTGTGCACAAACAAGTCAGAAAAACTAAAAGGATAACAATCATTTCTTGACATTTCAGCTAAGCAGTAGGCTTAGGCAGGGTTTCCCAATCTCATTACCATTCCTCTTTAATTTTCTCATCGATAACATACTGAAGACGGCTTTGAATGAAATTAAGTGATAATGGTGGTGTAGATTTGCTACCTGGAGAAAGGCTTTTCAATCTTGGGGATAGAGATGATATTGTCTTACTGTGTGATGATACGCAAGATATGCAAATCGTACTTAATCAGCTGGCAATTACCGACCGTAACTATCACGTGTAATTCTTTTTTTAATGACAAATACTTCCAAAAGTTTGCATTCACTTTTTTGGCATCATATTTCACTAGAATATAAACGTGTACTAAATAAATAGATTAAATTAAAGCGTAAACTGTTGAGTTGATTAAGTAAAATCCAATACCTTGAAGTCCATTACCAGAGTCATTCAATTGTCATAAGCAATGTAGAACCTGACACATGTATGGGCATCAACCCAAGTTACTAAGCCATGTTTTAACACAGCACGATAAAGTTATCGAGATAAATGTCCAAGTAGTAGAAGTAGTAATAATACCAGAGGTAACAGAAAATGAGGCAAGGAAAACATAATTCAAGAAAAAAATGAATTTACAGAATAGAAAGTATAAAGCAACTAAAAAACACAAGATCCATATTAAGACAAGAATGAGTGTGCTCCGCAATGGAAACAGATTTACATCAATATCACTCAAATTCTTCAAGCACTGATCATGAAATTCGTATGGACTCCAACCAGATAGTAGTATTGTTGAAAGCCAATACTGTCAAAGGCATTCGTTTTATGTGTTAACAGTGCGTGAACGTATGAAGGTCTTTACTGTATAAAGATATTTAAATTCAGTAACAAAATTAGACGATGAATTTATCTAATAGTACACACAATGTAATTAGCTGAACATATACTGTCGAATGCAATAAAAAAATGCCCTGGTACGGCCGAGGGTGAGAAGAGTCCGCTCTCCCTCCCAAAATGCTTGCATATGGCCACACTTATACAGCCACTCCTAGGGAAGTCCTACTGTCTCCTCATGGACGATGTATTGTTTAAGAAACTGAGAAGAAAAGTGAATGTTTGACGCTTAAATCGGGTTTGTGGGTACAGAGCATCCACTTACGAGAGTTGGAAAACCCTGATTCCAAACTAACGGTGCACGTGAGTTAAAGGATAGTAAGAGGACAAATGGCATATGAACATATTCCTGATCATTGGCCAACTTGGTACCGCACCTCCTAACATTGCCCCATTTTCTTCTCCTAGTGGATTAGATCTCGAAGTCAAAAGCTCAGAGAGTAAAACCCTCAGAAAACCACCTGTTTCTGCTTGGGCACCGAGCAGTATCCTAGCCTGGCTCACGCACAAATCAAGTGGTGACTACTGCTAAAAAATTTGGGTATCTTGTGTGAGCCATACTCAAAATGGAGACTGTAGGTGACTGCTACTGCATTATTTCGATCTCTTTTGTTATTTTCAGCTCGTTGTACTAATATGGTAAGGGAACTTGGTTCAACGTACATCTGTACTAGACTTTATGTTGATGACAGCTGTGTCTGCCTGACAATCTATTTTCAACTAGTAACTATTGTGAACGTAGTCATCATTAATGTATCCTCAAACTTGATTTTTTCTCCCACTTCTCAAGCTGTAATGAACATAACACTTTATTCAGCTATTGACGCTTTTTACTAAGGGCTTAATTGAGTTTCAACCCTTCCTTAACGCATGTCAAACTTATTCCATTGATATAGACGAATATTCACTAAACTGACGATGTCATACAAATAGTGAGTACAAACAGAGGGTGACGACGCTAGATTTTTACAAAGCTCTCACAACTCTTTGATGCTAATCAGTGCGATTCATTGTATAGTAAGTACAATGTACACATACGTCTTTACAATGTAAAATTTCACAGTGATTATGCAAAGGTACTGTAATGCCTGGTTGACAAAATGTGGAACTATAGTAAACGTAGTGACTATGTATCTGTTCTGTTTTTGTACGCAGATAAATGTAAAGTTTTTATTGAAACTAGTTAATACAAATGAATAGTGAATCATGTTATAGGTTATTCATATAATTCGAATTACCAATTACACCTAGGACCAAGAGCATTCGACATTCAGGGGAGTAACATTAAATTCTCATTTTAAAAAAATAAGTCATTTTTACTACAAACATTTCAGTTATTAAACTTGATAATAATAAAATTAAATACTACCAACTCACTTTTAACTCCGATTGTAATTCAATAATACGATTCTTAAGTCTTGTATTCTGACGATCATAGTCTGAGATAGTTTCCTCGAAATATGCTAATTTTTCGGAATGACTTTGTTCCATTTGTTTTAACTTTGTTAATGTTTGATCTATAAATATTAGAAAAAAAATTTACATGTAAGTAAAACGGATTGGAGGGTAATTTACTAAACAGATAGCTAATAAATGTGAAAATAATCATAAGTCTGGTCTATCCCCACCCACCCCCTTTTAGATTAACCATAAATTTTAGAGTAAATAAGAGATATTGGATTGAGAAACACGATATTCCCCCCCCCAAAAAAAATCTCAACTAGAATCAATAAGAAAATGAATTCCTAAAACTATCAAAGAGAACTTGTAATCGGCGCGCGCAAAGTTGAATTTAACTCTTTGAAACTTAGATTCTGGATGGTTTATTTACAAGGAGATCATTGAATTTCTAATTGTTATATGCTACTGTTATGGTGAATTGAACTGTAATGAAATAAATGGGACTATCAAATAATCTTAAATGTAACACATACAATATTAGTATGGTTACTAGTTATTATGTATCAGAGTTCCACTACAACATTTTAACCAAAAAATCGTGTTAATAATAAGTAGTCAATAAAAGATGACGTAGAATTCGATGCAAATTTATATCGACCCTATTAGTTTTTTTTTGGAATCAAATTTAGCACAAAAACAATGCCAAAAAAAGATTAAAAGTTAAAGTGATAAATATCAAGAGAAACGACGAACATAACGTTAAAGGAACAAAAGAAATCACTAGACTTGGATTGTGGCTATCATATTAGTGGTGGGCAACAAAAGTAAAAGCAATAGAAAACGATGTGGCGTTAGGTAACAGTAGATAACTTGTCAGATTTATCAAAGACACCGGTATTAAAAATTCAGGAGTTGATGGGGCCATTTCAGAAAAAGAACAATGATCAACTCTCAACTCATGAGGCTGAAACAATAGGCAGAACAATAAATATATTTCTGTTATATCCCAATGAGAAGAAAAAAGGTATTTCTGACGTTTCGTGACCTAATATAAGCCACGTTTTTCAGAGCGAGTGAATCTTTATCAACTGAAATGGTTAGTTTAAGTATTACGTATGTCCATCAACAAAAAACGTCGACGAGCGATGTTGTCTGGTAAAAGAGTAGGTTGAAGGCTAGAGGGAGCCAAGCCTAGATATGGCATCAGCCGATGAAGACAGTAACTGTAGGGACTGAGCTATGTAGGCAGGTCCAGACTACCGGATTGGAGGACGGGTCATTATCGCGCTTAATGGTTGGAGCTCAAAATCGTTCCCAATGGTTTGGACACATTCAATCGTTGACTCCATCTAGATCCCATGCTTATAAATTCCTTATAGTTTTATCAACTCTTAATTCTACTAAATAATGTTTTCTCGAACCACACGATCCAAGCCTAATCATTTCTATTACCAATAATACTGTTACTACCTGTACTATTTTCTGTGACTAACCCTTACAATTTCATCTCACTGTGCTAATGGGGTTTGGCAACTTGAAACGATGTACACATCCATCAGATTCTACTTTGTATATAACTGACTGACTCAATATTTTCAAAAGCATTCATTACGATGAATTGTTCCAACGTCAACCATAAAATTTACACCTGTTACCAACGCAACATAGTTCAAGAATTAATAACTTTATAGACCGATATAGTATTTCAGTGTATCTGCTAGTACGATTATTACAACTTATCCTATACATAATTGCATCGAGGTAGCTACTCAGTAAGTATGTAGAACATTTATTAAACATATATACTCAATGAAGGTTGACAACCACATCCATCGAATTACCATTACTACTTAGTGTCATACACTCAACTCCCCAAATTAATAATAATAATAATAGTAATAGTAATAGCAATAATAACAATAATAATAATAGTTAACGATAAACAAACCAATTTCAATATTTTGTCGTGTGATCACTTCACGTTCATTAGTTGATAACTTCTGTTCAAATTCTCTTGTTATTTCTTGAATATAATTTGCTTGTTCAGTTTTTAATAATTCTATTTCCATTTGATACTTTTCGTGAATTTCTGATACGGAATCACTGAAAAAGAAATTTTTCAAAAAGTAAAAAATAATTTTTTTTTCTCTCAACAACACTAAAACGACTTCAACTTACAATAGAGGATATTATTATAAAATATGTTATTAAGTACCATAATCAATAAAGTGTAGTTCGAAACAAATTAATAAACAAGAAGAAACAACACATTCAATATAATAGTTAAGACTGATTAATATGTTAAAGGTGAAATAATCAACAATGGAGAAGGAGATTAAGTTGTAAGTGATAATAAAGAGATAATGGGCGAGACTCTAATTTATGGACGAGCCAATCAGAGGCGTTTTAGAGATTTCAAGAGTACGGCGTCAACTTCAGTGCTTAATGCTAACTTACAATCAGTTCACAGGGAATTTTGTACAAAACGTGATAATTGAACGGCTATAACAAATTAAACGGCGAGACTATAGTTTGTGGACGAATCAATCAGGTATAAGATAACAGATGTCGGATTTTAACGCGAAAGCCTTTCAGCCACTTGGCTAAATAAATTTCTGGCATTATAGCTGATGTCAGTTCGTGATGAAAACCCTAAATATAATTCCTAACTAAGGTAAATTATGACAACTATCGCGAACTGGATAATAAAAGCACCAGTAACATTGGCTGTAGCCAGGTACTACAATATATACGGATGTTTGGAGAGCGTACAGACTCCTACATAAGCTTGTTTATGTGCATCGTGTCGTTATCCACAAGTAGCATTTTGCGCACTCAACAACCGGAGTGCACATAAACAATATTGAAACTATGTGGTCGAGGCTGAAAGAGTTTTTGAGACTTTATCATGGCTCCAGAGGCCGACTATTCTGTAGCCGTATGGATGATTTCCTCTACTGCATGCATTACGATTTTAGAACCTCTGAACCTCTTTCTAACCTTGACAAGTTTTTGAACCACGTATTAGAAGTGTATCTACTTTATTTCTTTGGTTTCGTATAATGTATTTTCACTCTATACTGACTGTTTGCTGATTGACTAATATTTCTCAAGGTCACTTCAGACTCGTTCAAAGGTCGTCCATAAATTATAAATGAAATAAACTGTTAATAAATGAGTGACAACCAAGGTACCTATTTAATATAAAATTAAACTTTACATCTGGAGTGAATTTCAGTGGAATGTTTCAGATTTTAAGTTATAAATCATAGTGAAGAGATAATGTAACTGATGAGCGTTAAAATAATATAACTATTTTATCATGAGAATGATTAGTGTACTACACTTTCTTTCTGTATGCAAAGGTAAGATAGAAAGCACTTGATGGCAATGATCTCTGCAAAATAGAGTAAAAAAGATGTAAGTTGCCTGTTAATTATTTTGAATGCTTTTGAAACATTCACGTTGTGTCCACTATCCATTAAATGTTTAGTAATCGCATTTTTGAAAATTTTACTTTTCTTTCAAGGACAAATTATGGGGAATATGTTCTGAAAACCTTGTAGATGCCCTTCTTTCAATTCTTCTTATATACTTGTTTCCACAAGTACATGTGAATTCGTAAATACAGTTGAAGGCGATCTCAGAAGGGTATTGATCCACTTTTTATTAATTTAAGGAACATCTGGTGTTATAGACCGAAAATAGTAGAGCTTCAATGGGGCCTATCTTTTATCGATCCTTCCTGAAATTTCTACACCTCTGAATGAAAGGCCGACAAAGACAAGTTGTCTGCTAACAGTTGTTTGTTTAGGACCTTGCATAATCGTCCTCCCGTACTTTTTTGGATGTATACTATTTCTTCCTGTATTTTGTCGGTTAAGCACAACCTTCTAGCCTTATTAAATCGTGTTTTGTCTAAACAACGTTTTTACATAACAGAATGGGAACTATTATAATTTAAGTATTGCCCTTTTCATATTTCTTTTCTGAATATGGTATTTTCGCTCATTCCATCGTCCAATCATTTTATTTGTAGGTTTAAATAGTTAAATTGATGATCATGTACATATTCCGTCGTAAATTTGATATCAACATGTGCCATTACCATCAAGTGCTTTCTATTTTACCTTTGCATTCTCGTGATAAGATAGTTATATTATTTTAACGCTCATCAGTTACATTATCTCTTCACTATGATTTATAACTTAAAATCTGAAACATTCCACTGAAATTCACTCAAGATGTAAAGTTTAATTTTATATTAAATAGGTACCTTGGTTGTCACTCATTTATTAACAGTTTATTTCTATTCATTATCTCCTTATTATCACTTACAACTTAGTCTCCTTCTCCATTGTTGATTATTTCATCTTTAACATACTAATCAATCTTAACTATTATATTGAATGTGTTGTTTCCTCTTGTTTATTAAGTTGTTTCGAATTACACTACATCAGCGATGGAAATCTACAGGCAACTTTTGGTTTGTCATTTTTAGTGACAACCTTTTATAATCTACTAATGTTGTGAGAACATAATATCTCTGCAGATGCTATTTATCTGAAGAAGCTACTTCATGGTAGTCACACACATATACAGTCAGTAGCACGGCCTAGAACAAGTTTACTGAGCGGCAGTTCACCCCGTTCTACTTTATGGGTGTGAAACACAACCATTAAGAACAGAGGATATTCGTAGATTATTGGTATTAGATCATAGATATTTACGAAGCATTGCTCGTGTATTTTGTGACCACGAAGTAAGCAATGTACCAGGTAAATATGGCAAATCGACTGATGAGGTAGTAAATCTTTATCGATTGAGGTGGTTGGGACATGTGTTACATATCCCCAACCACTGTCTACCATGACGGATGATGTTTGCTACTGTAAGAGTAGGCTGGAAGGGAGCTAGTGGTGGCCGAACCAAAACATGGCATCAGTCCATGAAGTCACGGACAATTGGACTGAGCCATGTTAATAGATGTGGACTACCTGGTTGAGGTCCACATAACTGTTGTAACCGACGGTTAGACTTTAAATGATATGGCTTGAAATCATTTGCAATGGTGAAAGCGCATTCATTCTTCGTCTTCCACCAAATCCTGAAATTGTAAATTTCCAATAACTTTCTTGCTTTTATCCCACTAATTTCCATTTTCTTCCTCGTATCTTTGGTGCCTAATCTTTCCTGTTACCGCTTATGTTACTACCTCTACTATTCTGAGTTTAGGCCTGACAATTTCATTTCTCTGTGCCAAAAGGGTATGGCAACTTGAAACGATGTACATACGTACCATGTTCTACGTTGTGACTGACTAACGATCTCGGACCATAATAAATAAATACCAACGGTATTAGTTTTACTCACCAATTGTGATCCCACAAATCTTGTTGATTCTTCTTAGAATTATCATTAATTTCCAAATTCCTTGATTCTAATTCCTCAATTTTTATTTGTAATTTTTCAAATGATTTACATTGATCTGCATGCTCCAGTTGTAACTGTTTCAATTTCTCTTCAGTTTCATGTAGTATATTTTGTAATTCAATTTCACGACGTGATGGAGTAGCGGATGATTTTTTACTAGTTTCTAACTCTTGTAAGACTTGTTTTAAACGATTTCTCAGTTCCTATGAATATTTCACCCCAGAAAAAAAACAGAAATGTTTAGCGTATTGGTGTACCCAGTAAAACGGTATATATATATATATATATATATATATATAATTGTCTGTCCAGATCGACGAGTGTACAAAATATACGTATTCAAAAATCCATTCTCATATTTGACTTATATAATTCCGTTACTCACTAATGCGATTCAAGTCGATGGTTATATACGAGGATTGGCGACATATATATTTCGACAGCAATCATTCATACGATATAACTGGAGGCCACTAAAGAAGGACCCGTTTTCTAGATATCAAGGCAGATTCAATCAATCTTCATACCTACTCTTCTCACTACTGTAGTCAAGTGAACCCAAAAGAAGCACAGTATCAAAAATGGAAGGTGTTGAAGATATGGAGACCGATTCACAATTGATTGATCACTGGGTGGTGATCAATGTCGTGTGTGTCAGATCCTTCTTAGTGAAAAATGAATGCTATCAACCTAGTTGCAATATGGCTATATGGAAACCTAGAAAAGAAACTACATTTATGAAGAAATCAATTGAAGAATTCACAAATTGATTTAAAGTGAACTTCGTTTATTGTATTGTAACATATATCGATCTATCCAGTATGAATTTTGTTATTTTATTTTCAAATGTATCTCCATTGTATTAACCCGATCGAAGCTGCTACCTTGACGCGGTGGTCGGGCTTGCCTATCGTGATGACCCAACCGAGCTATATTGGCTGGAACATATGTTCCTGCAGGTTCTACCATGCCAGGCAGGTCGATTGGCGAACGGTAAGACTAAAAGCAGCAACTCAAGGTCTGAGGGCGAAGTCGTACTGCTGACTGTAGAGAGGTGTGACAGCAGTAAGGTGTTTCCCTCGGACAACCAGCATGACAGCGATGCTGCCTTCCCACAAGGAGGGGTGGGGTTAGAAAAGGTCGACCCTAAAAATGTCACACCTCACCTTACCTCACGGATTTCCGTCTCCGGCGGTAAGGCCCCTTGAAGAACGGAGCTAACACGTCAAAAACCTTCCACAAAAAGGCCGTGCGCGACCGGCCTCAAGCAGTTGTCCCTTGGGCTCTGCGGTCACGCTCCCAGGTCGTTAATACCAACACTAATCCAATTTCCTTTTCAGGTTCCTCAAGAAATACCCTTCCACGGTGTGGGCAGCCGGGAAGTGACACCAGCCCTCATACCCGTAACAGCACAAGAGACCAAGGTGGTCACATTCAAATCCTTCCTACACCTCCTAATACCTCTCTTATCTCCCCGACTAACCCTCCTCACGTCTCTTTATCAACTCGCACCGCTAGGGCAAACGATTCGAGTACGTGGAACGCCATTCCTGGTCTCCTGAAACCACGCTCTAAACTACACGTAGGAGCTTTTAACGTACGAACACTTTGCCAAATAGGACAGCAGGCTTCCTTAGCTAAAACTTTAGAATCTCGCGCCATCGATGTGTGCTGCGTCTCCGAAACGCGTATACAGGATCCAAGTAGCGTCATTCATTTGACCTCACCATGCCAAAATAAAGAACTGACTCGATTTACGCTTCGTGTATCTGGAAGCCCTGATTCTGCTTCCCGTGGCCTCGCCGGCGTAGGTATAGCATTGAGTCCTAGGGCAGAACTAGCTCTCTTAGAGTGGATCCCAGTAAACAGTCGTTTGTGCGCTGTCCGACTGAACGGAACAGTAAGAATCCGGAAAGATAGGGACACTCGTCGTTGCCTCTTCGTCGTCTCTGCCTATTCTCCCACTGACTGCAGCTCAGATGATGTAAAAGATGAGTTTTACAGAAAGCTTTCGGACCTTCTCCGAAAAGCTAAGCGCTCGGATGTAGTAATAGTGGCCGGTGACTTTAATGCTCAAGTAGGTAAACTAAGCCATAGGGAAAGACACCTAGGTGGATCCTATGGTGTCGTGGCTCAAAGAACAGATAATGGTGACCGTCTGTTGCAGCTATGCTCAGATAACCGCCTTTTTCTTGTGAATACTAATTTTAGGCATAAGGAAAAACATCTTTTAACATGGCGACCCCCTAATTCGTCCCAACGTTGGACCCAAATAGATCACATCGCTATCAGTCACCGATGGAGGGGCTCGATAGAAGACTGTCGCTCATTCTGGAGCACATGCCTAGATTCAGATCATGCTCTAGTGAGAGCGCGTATTTGCTTGCGTCTTACTGGACGTAGGAAAGATCCTGCAAGGAAACCTCTTAGGGGCCTACTTAATGATAGTCAAGCTAAGAGTATATTTCAGGAACAACTAGGAAAACAGTTAGGCAGCCATGTATGTGATGCCCACCCCGATGCAGCATGGAATGATATCCGAAAAGCTGTGGAAACAGCAGTGATATCTGCTAGTAAGGTAAACCAGAAGGTTAGGGAGCAACACTGGATCTCAGCAGCATCTATCTCACTGATAAATGCTCGGAAACACATTCCACCTGGCTCTGAACATAATGAAGAGCGGAGTCAGCTTAAGCGCAAGCTGACAAGAAGTCTACGCAATAATCGCGAACAGTGGTGGGTAGCGAAAGCAAGAGAGATGGAAAAGGCAGCGGCAATAGGTAATAGCAGACAATTATTCAGACTCGTTAAGGAAACCGGAATTAGGAACCCGACCGTTAGCGAAACAATCTCAGAGAAAGATGGACATATTATTCATTCTCAATCCAGGAGATTGGATCGATGGGCAGAACACTTTAGGGATCAGTTCAACTGGCCTTCAGCCACACTTCGGTTTCCCACGATCTCCAGTCAACCTGAATGGCAAGTTAATGTAAGTCCTCCGTCCCTTTACGAAGTTGAAAAAGCCATAGGAAATCTGAAGCGAGGGAGAGCAGCAGGCCCTGACAGGTTTACTCCTGAGATTTTTAGGGATGGTGGTCCAGTATTAGCAATGAGATTAACCGAGGTCTTAGGTAGAATTTGGGAACTGGACGTAATCCCATCTGACTGGTCTCAATCACTGATTGTGCCAGTCTATAAGAAAGGACAAAAGTCTTCTTGTGACAATCACAGAGGAATCAGTTTGACTAATATAGTGTCTAAGATATTAGCCTCAATAATATTTCGACGCCTAACTAAAGCTCGTGAAGAGCAGACTAGAGAAAACCAGGCTGGTTTTCGACCTGGACGTGGTTGTATAGATCAGATATTCACACTACGTCAAGTTCTAGAACACAGACACACATTCAGACGCCCCACAATTGTAGTATTTCCCGACCTTAAGGCGTCATTCGACTCTGTTGATCGTGAGGTTCTATGGCAGTGTTTGTCACTGTAAGGAGTACCAAAGAAGTACATTAACCTTATAAAGGCTCTCTACTCGAACACAACTGGTAGAGTGAGAGCTTATGGCGAACTGTCATCAGAATTGATCACCTCAAGTGGTGTTCGTCAGGGCTGTCCACTCTCCCCATTCTTGTTCAACTTTGTGGTCGACGTACTTTTAGAGATAACACTCTCCTCATCTAAATTTACAGGGGTTGAACTTCTACCAGGAGGTTCACTTGTTGACTTAGGATATGCTGATGACATAGTTTTATTTGGTGAAGACGCTGACAAAATGCAGAGTCTTCTGACCACTCTAAGCAACAATGCAAGCATGTTCGGGATGCGATTCTCTCCCTCGAAATGCAAAATGTTGCTTCAGGATTGGGTTACATCGACACCCGAACTAGTGATAGGGAGTGAAGTAGTTGAGTATGTCGACCGCTTCACTTATCTTGGAAGTCTCATCAGCCCTTGTGGTTTAGTGTGTGACGAAATCTCAGCACGGATACAGAAGGCTCGACTAGCTTTTGCCAACTTGCGTCATTTATGGCGTAGACGAGATATCCGTCTATCAACCAAAGGACGTGTTTACTGCTCAGCAGTTTGTTCCGTCCTACTTTATGGCAGTGAAACATGGCCGGTAAGAGTAGAGGATATCCGTAGGTTACTATTATTTGATCATAGGTGTCTTCGAAACATTGCTCGTATATCATGGGACCATCGAGTAAGTAACACAGTTGTTAGGAAACGGGTACTAGGTAAGGATGGCAAATCAATTGATGAAGTAGTGAAACTTCATCAGTTGAGATGGCTGGGACACGTGTTACGTATGCCCAACGACCGACTGCCTCGACGTGCTATGTTCAGTGGTATAGGAGTAGGTTGGAAGAAAGCTAGGGGCGGCCAAACCAAAACATGGCACAAATCCATGAAGTCACTGACAAGTGAACTGAGTCATGTTGGTAGGTGTAGACTACCTGGTTGGGGACCGCGAGATGACAGCAACCGATGGTTAGAGACCCTGAATGACATGGCTCAAAATCGTTTGCAATGGCGCAGGTGCATCCACTCTCTGTGTTCTCCCAAATTCTAATCTTCTGAATTCTTCATGTCCCTTTTTTCATCTTTCCAAATTTATTTCACTGGATTATACTCTTTAAATAACATCTCCAAACCCTAATCTTCCCGATTACTGCTTATACTCTTGCTACCTCTACCACTATGGGATTTGAATCGACCACTGCATCTCTGTGCTAATGTGGTGTGGCAACTTGAACTGATGTACGTACGTACGAAGTTCTACGTTGTTACTGACTGACTGACCATTGTATTAACTAATGTAATGCTATATGTATTCACTAACAAATATCTCATTTATAAATTATAGCTGATTAACTTCAATTGTGTACTTTCAAATATATTATTATCATTCCTTTAAAGGTTATATTTTGATTTAAACACCAGTCGAGTAAATTGTTTAAGAATGCTAGATCGTAGAAAAGTCATTCAGTCAGCTACAACGTAAGACCAGGCACATATATGCATCGGTCCAAGTTGCCATACCTCATTAACACCGGATTCATAAAAGTAGTTAATTCAGGGGTGGTAATATATAAAAGAAAGATTGCAATAAGGATATAGTACAGGAAGAAATAATTAGTTCGTAGAAAGAAAGATATGAAGCGATTTTATTCTCTTAGTTTAGGGGAAGAGAGAGACTGTATACACCGACGCCAGTGTGATCGATTCTGAGCCATGTCACCAAGCGTCTCCAACCATTGGTTAAGATAGTCACGCGGACCCCAACCAAGTAGTCTGCATCCATCAACATGTTTCAGACTAGAAGTAAGTGACTTCAAGCACTGATGCCATGTTTTGGTTTGGCCGCCCCTAACTTTCTTCCAACCATCTCCAATACCCGTTAGCATTGCACGTCGTGGTAATCGGTGTTCAGGCATACGTAACACGTGGCCCAATCATCTCAGTAGATGAAGATTCACAACCTCATCAACTCATTTACCATCGTTACCTAATACCCTGCGTTTAACCTCACTATTAGAAAAAGACATCATAATACTGTTTATTTGAACTTTTAAAAAAAAGAAAACTTACTAAATTCTGTTGCTTCATTTGTTTTTCTTTAATGAAAATAGCATTATCAACAGCACTTTTTAAAGCAGTTTGATGTTCAATATTTAATTGTTCAATATATTGAGATTTTTCCATTTCATATTTCTTGTTTAAATCGTTCAATTCATCTGTATGTTTAATTTTATAGTTTTCTAATATATTTGCATGTTCTAATTGTATTCTCTGTAATTCATTTTGTAATTGATCGCACTTAGTATTTAGTGAAGACACAACTTTTTCAGATTCTTCGAATGTATTATTAAGCTGAATTTAGTAGATCAAATAAAATAATGAATAAACTAAGAATGTTAAGTATATTTTAAACTGAAAGTTAATGTTAAAATGGAAGAAATCCTATGAAAATCAAGTCATCAATTAATACACAGAAACTTTTCATTATGACATCCGTAATTCCTTGGCACTAGTGAAACAAACTTATTCTAAATCATCTCTTTATATGAATTACTTTACCTGTAAATTTTCTAGACTCCGGAATAACCTACCACAATCTATTCGTATGATAAAAACACTGTCATTATTTGTTCGCTGCATCGATGCATACTGCTCCTCTGGAAACGCATTAAATGTCCTAGCACCTGTAAGTGTATTTCATTCCACAAGTGATATTTAGCCATTTTTATTAGTGAATTACCTAAGCAAAACCACCTACTTGTTGGCACTTTATGTTAACACCGTCCCCAGCAAGTTTAACTAATTTGAATAATATCTAACATCGAGAGCATATCACTGTGTCACATGACACACACATTTTGGTAGACTTGATTGACATATTTTGGTAATTACTGCTTTGTTGTGCTGTGCTCTCTGTTTTCGTTTTAATTTCTCTAGTTGTAGATAATTATCATTATTTCGATCTGGCACACGAAATGACCTTAATTACACCGTTCATAAATCAACTGGCTATCCATTTACGAAATATTAAAAATTCCCGGCTGATGCATTGGATCGCTGTAATACATGTACTACTTAAACAACTACTGAACTAGTATACTTGAAACTTTCTTCTATCACATGTTTGTTCTGCATATCTAATGTTATTATTTATAGCAAATTGATCATGCTTGTAAACTGGCGTGAATTCTGTAATTATTATTTTCAGAATATAAATTATTAGAATTGCTATACAGACCGAATAACAAAATTGAGTGGTTAACCAGATTTAAACTTCACAGTAGGTTAGAAATCAAACCGAGATTCGTGTAGTTGGCATTAAGTTAAATGATGTGAATATGTATGAGCTAGACAATAATATCAATCATATGGTTCAGTGTCGATTGCAATGATGCATATGTATCCGCCTTTTGTCGCAAAATTTTTACATTTTGTTTATTCTGCAAATTTATTCATTGTTCTAAAATCAAATTGTGTCTTACATTTTCTACTACCACCGATATTTTTATCACCTCTAAAAATCTGGCAATTATCTTGTTAATTTTCTTTAGCTACCTTGGTATAATGTGGCAACTTCAGGCGGTACACGTACGTTGTTTGTAACTGACCGGTTGACTGAATGACTAAGTTAGACTACGTAGTTAGCTAAACTGAAGTAAGAAGGTGATATGATGACCAAGAATTAGACCTAACAGCCAAGTTATAAGTTATTGGAGAGTGGGTGATAAACAAAGCTGATTTTCCTTTACTCAAATATATGATTCAATAATGTTTATTTTACAGATGCTATTACCAAGGTTCAAATAAATTGATCGTTGGGTAAATTGAATAAATAACTTATATTGGATCATGGGACACCAGAAAATTTAATTTTCTACTCATTGGGATATTACAAATATATCACTATGTTGATTTTTGTGCTAATGATTTACACATGACCGTGTCATTTCACTAGATGAAAAAGCTGTTCTTCTGGTTAATGGTCTTGTCTTTTAATATCATTTCATTCAGAGGTCTGAACTAAAAATGCGATCGCATGAGTTCTCACCATTCAGACTTCTATCTGAAGTTTGTGCTGATGATGTCGTTCAGAAGAACGATGAAAGCTCCACGACCAAACCATCCAGCTCAGAGAACAAAACACCACCAAAAACATCGTACAGCTGTATTGATTCATTGTAATAATCGAAATCACATTCATAAAATCATAATTCACAACAGTGGGATCTAAGAGTTGAAAGTTAAGTCATTTAATTAATAAACAATTGTTCCATAGAACAGCCACAGCCTGTTTAAAACAACACCAAAGTATTCTTATTTTTAAGGTCATTTCGTAAATAAACTGTCTCGGTTCATGGTGTCGATTATTGATGAAACATTCATAGTGAGCTGTAGAGTACCAGGTACCAACAAACTAATAGCATTTTTTTTATTTTGAACTATAAATCTGATATAATACCACAAAAATTAGTCTTTGGATTCAGTAAGTCTATAATTAGTAAGATGGAGTGTGAACAACGGATATCAATCAGTCTGAATTGCTAAAATTTACATCGGCATAGCTTAAAAAGAAAACTTTTTACCAGTTGAATCCACGAGCCGATATAAGCTAGACTACCACTGAAAATCTGCAGGCAGTGGACGGCCGTTTCGTCCCAGTATGGGACTTCTCAGTGGTGTGCACCCATGGTCCCGCACTTAAGACTCGAACCTAGGACCCTAGGTCTCGAGCGTGAACGTTTGACCTCTAGACCACTGAGCCGCCATGCAGCGGTGTTAATGTCTAACTTCAATCGATCCGTGGAACATCCGTCCAATGCTTCCGGGTTTTCAATAGTGGTCTAACTTAGATTGACTCATGAATTCAACTATTAAAATTACTACAATCTCCACAAATCCCCATACTAATAAAAAGAAATCGATAAAGTGAAAAACAACAGGATTCAAATAATAATAACGATAATAATATCAACATTAATGGGATCAAATGAAATCGAGGGATGAAAATCATGAAACATTTTCTTTGAACCCAAAATTTAGGATGAGTAAATCCGCATTACAAAAAACACAAAACGATTAGTACGTGTATATTGATAAAGGAGTTTCTACCTTCATATACATAATTTAGACCAACAGTTAGCAATCCCATAGATCGATACTATGTTTTGTTTTAATAATTCCTAACCCCTTCCCAACCTACTCTCTTATGCTAGTCACTGTTGGATGTCGGGGTATGAAGCAATCCGTGAGCAGTATGTAACACACTCCATTTACCTTGATCACTAAAATTTCCATTTAGTTTCAAAAAAAATCATGCAGACAAAAATTCTAATATTAGTTGGACAGTCGTCGACAACTACGAAAGACTAGAGAGAGGTTTCTTTCTGTTAAGCGACTGACTCCTCAGCACTCCACATCCACGACCTCACCGAAGATCGAACTCAGAGCTATCAAACCGCTCGAAGAGTGTTTAGCTTCTCTAAACAACTGAACCAACAACCAATGGTTTATGAAACAGGTGTCCAATGCTTTCTAGTTTTTTAAAGGTTGTCCAATCAAGATCAGTTTATGATGTAAACCATGAAATTCAACAACCTCCACGAAACCACTTATAACTTAAAGAAAAAACTAACCACAGTTTCTTTTTCTGTTAACTCATTAGAAAGACGATTAGATTTTTCTGTAATCAACTCTAATTGTTTATTTAAATCACAGATTGTTTGTTGATTCTCTTCAAATAATTTCAATTGATTAGTATAATTCTCTTTTAAAATTAATTCATTTTGTTTAAATTCATTAATCATTTGATTTGCTTTCATTAAAGATACTTCCATTGAATTGTATTTTTCATCTGTTAACTTTTGATCATCTATTAATGTTTGATTATTTAATTGTAATTGAATTAATTGATTATTTAATTCATTACATTGATTCTTTAATGAATCCAATTGAATATGAAGTTCATCTATATTAGATTGATGATTATGTACAATGGAATTTTTAAAGTTATTTATGAATTCTTTGTGTAATATTTGTGAACGTGTATCCAATATGTCGAATTTATGAAAATTCTTGGAAAGATTATCTGTACACGTTGTATAAGATTCTGAATTTAACCAATGACAAATTAATTCTAAGTAGTTTACATTGCATTCCCTATTGAAATTGGCAAACATTAAATGTTCAATTGTATTAAACGATTCATTTAAAGTTTTGGCATCTAATTCAATTTGGTTATATTCATTGTACAGGTCTTGTTCATTATTATTATTATTATTTTCGATGTCGGTGTTGTTCAGGTTTTGTTTAGATTCATTCATTTCAGTTACTATCCAATTAATTTTAGACTGACATAGTTTGATTAAATTTTGACATAATTGATGATGATCATTACATATGAAATTATGAATTGTTTGATTGAATGAATTGTATTTATCCAATGTTAAATGTAAGTTATTTATCTGTTGTACGAAAAAAAAACGTAACAGTTGAAAAAAAATACATAAATGAAGTTTGTTTGTTAAAATGAAAGAACTGCTTTTGTAAACGAGGTGTAGATGGAGTCGTTCATAGAGAAACATTTCCCGATGAGTGATAAAACACTTCTCAGTATGACTTAATAGATTACAATGAAGAAATAAGAAATTGTATAGTATGTAGCATGTAGTAGGTTAACTTCACCACATGTAGTATCAGATTTGTAATCACACCATACTTACCGAAAAGTGTACGTATACATTCTACCTTTCTAATGCAAAAGTGTTGGTGAAAAGCAATATAAAGTCAGGTCTATGTTTACATGCACACCCTGAATAACTCAGTATAAGCTTCTCAAACTGTGAAAATAGTTAACAAGTTTCAATACCATAAAGAGAATCAATTCCCTCAGGATTACGAGTACAGCTTGCTGAAAAATGTCAATTAGCACAACATCAAAGTTAAGCAGTCTCCTACCGACTACTGTTATAATCTCCTTTCTTACGGTTATGACCCAGCTATTCCTATTGCTTAGTGTTCTCGGACACCGATTCACTCGACAAGTCCCCAAATCAGAACACGGTTGAACAGGAAAGAGATTATATTCCAAATAACAAGGTTAGATGGAAGTAAGAAGCAAGTAAGAACCACAATAGGGAAAACGTGAATAGATTTATAGTTTTTACATGAGAAGATTCTAGAGTGCTGATTGGATAAGAATTAGCCAATCAGCGTGCACCAAAGCAATCGTGCATTGAGCATGCTTTAGTCCAGTCTATGTCCCGTTAACAACTACCTTCAACCAGCTAACGTGCAGAAACAGTTTGTTGAGTTGCTTTTCGCGTTAAGATTACTGAAATCCTTTATATTTTTGTATTTTTTCTCAAATCCTGTTTTGTTTATTATCCTCGTTTTTCATCGTTCAGTTACGTATAATATGGTAATTTAGACTAACTTACTTTCTATCAGACTCCACGTTGGAAATGACTGACTGGTCATTATAGTTATGAGGATGTTTGAATTTTTAAACTACGTTTTTCTTATAATTGACAATTTTGTTATTTTCCTTCTTTCTAACTTTTGAATGTTTGTTTGTTAGCCGAAACGTCTCCACATTCAATGAGAGACATCTTTTATTTCTACAGTAACATAATTATACATAATAATTGCTAGTTTAAATCAATCTCTTTCTTCAGTCTTTAATAAATCTTCTGAGAAAGATTTATCTTTTGAGGGTAGGATTATTGCCAGAAAATTAACTTAGGAAATTACATAAACAATACACTACTAGAGATGAACACTTTTTGTAGAAAGAAACTAACCTCATTTTGTTTCTTTTCTAATTCCATGTTTAAGTTGTTTACAACATCATTGCGCGTAACTAAATCACCTTTTATAATTGTCATCTCATTTTGTAACTGTTCGATTGAAGTTGTGTAGGTTTGAAAACGTTTACGTGTTACCATAAGTATTGAGTCAACATTGGTATTGGTCAATGCGAGCCGCTGATCAGCAGTTTCAAGTATGTTCAAGATAGGATTTAATTTACTGCTGAGTTGTTCAGACTGCTTAAGAAGTAATTCACAAGCTTCATTCGACAATCTTATTAATTCGTATACATGTTGTTGATATTCAGATAAGGTATCAATATGTTCTTCTTCCATTGTTTTTGCAAGACGTGTATTCTGTTCAATTGATGAGTACAATTGACATTGCAAATTTTCAATACGTTTATGAGCTTCTGTAAGTTCCGTTTGGATATTTTGTAGTTCCGTATTATGATAAACTGATTCTGATGCACATTTATTAATGAATTGAGATTGCATACTTTCGAACTGACTTTTAGTGGTATTCAATGTTTGTTGAAGAGATTTATTCTAATTTTCACGAAAAAAACATATGGTACAGTTGGGTTAACACATAACCAGATTGATAATGAGATTAAGAAAAACTAATGATAGTTACACTTCAGAATACATCACTACTACGACATTTCGCATAGATACAGAGAAAGTAAATAACTAAAGAGGAAGCATTGCATCATCAAAAAGAACAAGTTCGTAAATTGTATTGAGATCTATGTGATCAGCCCGTTATTTTGGGAGCGATCATATTGTTTAGTCTGATTAGTGATTAGATTAGCTCTATGCCTGTTCCACCAATGAGCCATTTTACCAATTATCCAGAGACTAATGAACCACGACCGAAACACTAACCCCCTATAGGTCCTCGAGCTAATTTCAAAGCTGGTATTCAATCAAAAGACGAAGTTAGCAAGTAGATACCTACTCCATTATACAGTAGCTTAATGACTTAAACTCACAATAATCTAGAGTAATTTCTTAACAATACATCAATACATATAGGAAATTACGAAACGGGTGTAATTATGCAATAAATGAAAGAGAAACCAAGAAATGAGTCCATAATTAATTAGCAATAACCTAAGGAAGGTAAAACATACAACGATAGTTCATGCGCCCAACGAAAGCATACAACTGGCAGAATATAAGAATACAATAATCAAAGTACCTAATAATTATACAATAAAATATTTCTTCGGAAGACAGTCCCGAAAGTTACTGCTTCTACGGTATTTGCCTCATTATAAAAGAAATAAAATAATGAAAGTAATTGCATCAACTAATATTGAAGAATTAAACGAGAAAAGAAAAGTTATTGATTTGGAGGAAAAAACTATTCAGGATTTTTACGATAAGATAAAGAATTTGGTACACTTAAACAACTGGTATCACTTTTTAGTTATACATCACCTAGTCTTTTCAGTCCACTTGATGAAAGTTCAAACAACTATCCGTTTTTATTTACCACTGATTCAAGGTTATCTCAAGTACTGAAATAGATTTGAGGGCAGTTATCACTCTTCAGTTTCCTACACCACAGAAGGATACTTCTTCTTGAGCGGGCTCAAAATGAAACTAGATTAGTGATGAGCTTGAAGACCTGGTTTATGCTGACCAGAGATTATAACCAATGCCAATGACTATCTTGAAAACAAAAAATTCATTCAATAGACTTTAAAGTATAAACTTATATTGCTTAGAATGAAGTGAGTTTACCATCTGGGCTACCTGTTCCTGCCATCTAGATATTTCAACAAGTTATCTATTTTTGTTTGTTTTAATATATCATTATGTTTATTAATCACATAACCTATTCTGCTGCGTTTCTGAAAAATGTACAACCTTTCGTTGTCGAAGTTACAAAAAGTCCAATAAGAGATAATGTGGTCGCTGGCAATATACAACGAAAAGAGTATACATTACTCAGATGTTCATTTACTTGACTGCTAACATCTAACTGGCGATCACTCAATATTTATCGTCAGGATCGACCAAGAAGTAAGAAACGGAAACTTGTTGAAATGCATTGTGCTGAGAATTCTATATTGTACCAAAGGTATAATATTAAATAAAGTTGGAATTAGTTATATTTCAATCGCTGAGAATATTTCAAATATAATTTTCACATATAATGACTTCTCTATACTCGGCGCTCAATTACTGTCAAACTATTCGTTCTAATCTTGACGAATATTCGTATAAATAATAATAATAATGATAATAATAATAATAATAATCAACTCGTAGTAAAATTCATACAACCATATTTTTAATGGGCACAATTACTGGAACAACTGGGCACTGAACTAAATATGCGTCATATAAATAAAGAATTAAGACTATGAAGTAATAGGACCAGAAAAATGAGTATAATCAACCACAGTTCTATATCTAACGAATAAATTATAATTAGCATTATGTTTATTATATTTTGTGGATAGATAAGTCACATTCATAGTCAGGCAGTTCGTTCTGTTTTACTTTGCGGCTGTGAAACATGGCCATTAAGAGTAGAAGATACTCGTAAGCTACTAGTATTTGATCACAGATGTCTTAGAAATATTATTCACATCTGCTAGGATCACCGGGTAAGTAATAGTGAGGTTAGACGTAGGGTATTAGGGAATAATGGTAAATCAGTTGATGAGGTTGTGAATCTTCATCGACTGAGATGGTTGTGCCACGTGTTACCTATGCCTGAAAACCGATTACCACGACGTGCAATGCTGACTAGTGTTGAAGACGTTCGGGAGGAAGCTAGTGGTGGCCAAACCAAAACTTGTTATCAGTGCTTGAAGTCACTAACTTCTAATTTTAGCCATGTTGATAGATGCAGACTACTTGATTGGTGTCCGCGTGACTATCGTAACCAATGGTTGGAGACTGTGGATGACATGTCTCATAATCGATCACAATGGCGTAGGTATATACACTCTCCGTCTTCCCTTAAACTATGAGATCAAAATCGCTTCATATCTTTCTTCCTGTACTACGTCCCTATATGCAATCTTTCTTTTATATATTACCACCATTGAATTAATTACTTCTATGAATTTGATGTTCATCTTGTTGTGTTAATGAGGTATGGCAACTTGAGCCGATCCATATATGTGCCTCGTACCATGTTGTAACTGACTGACTGACTGACTGACTGAATCTCAATCTCAATATTAGAATGAAACAGTCATCTAGTACTTTCAAGTTTTTAATAATAGTCTAAAAACTTAGAATAATTCAAGAAAACAATTATTAAAATCTTATATTTATTAAATAAATTTTCTTACTTCATTCAATAAATTCATATTTTCTTTAAATAAAACATCCATTTCTAAATAATGCGGATTATTTAAAGATAATTGATTATGTTCCATTTCATATTTTAATAAATTTATTTCTGATTTATATTTTTTATTTAATTTAAATTGATAATTATTTAATTTATTATTAACAATTAATGATTTATCAATGAATTTATTTTCATTAATTTGTAATTGTTTTTCATTATTTATTAATTGTTTATTTAAATTATTATAATCACTTAATAATTGTAAATATTTTTCATTAGATACCTTTAAATCTTGTTTTAATTCAATTATCATTTGATTTAAATCAATATATTGATTTTCATTATTATTATTATTTTATTATTAGTTAATGATTCAATTAGTTGTTTATTTTTTTCATTGAATTGTTTATTATCAGATAATTGATTTTCTAATTCTTCTTCTTTTAATAAATTTGTTGATTTTAATTGATTTTGCATTGTATTCAATTGTAATTCAATTTCTTTATATTTTAATTGTAAATTTGAATAATTTTCTTGATTAATTTGATCATTTGTAGAATTATCTTGTAAATTATTGATTTTTTCATTAAGTTCATCGATTAATAATAATTGTTTTTGTTCATTTGATTGAGATATCATTAATTGTGATTGTAAACAATCGATAATCGATTGTTTATCATTACATTTAGATTGTAATTCATTGAATTGATTTAATAAATTATTGATTTCATTATGATGGATTAGTTTTAATTCATCAATAGTTTTAAATGTATGATGTAATAATAATTCTATGAATAATTTGAAATTTTCTAAATTATTAAAATTGATTGAATCATTTTCATCAATAGGATATAATTCAATTAATTTTTCATTATTTAAATTAAATATATTTAATTTTAATTGTTTAATTTGATTTAATAAACTATCATAATAAATTTTAAAATGATCATTTTCTTCTTTTATAGTTTTACATAAATTTAATTCAGATTTCATAAGATCAATTTGTTTTAATTGTTCTATTTGAATTGATTCAAGGTGTTCAATTTTAAGTTGATATTCATTTAATTGAATAGTTAATTCAGAATTTAATGATTTTAAATTGATTAATTCTGAATTTATTGATTGATTGTTTAATTGATTATCAGATATTATTGTTGTATTGATTTCTGATTTAGTTGAAGCTAATGTTGATTTTAATTCATTAACTTCTTTGTCTAAACGTGTTCTGATATCTTCAGAATCAGCTAATTTTTTATTTAATTCTTCTAGTTGACAAGATAATGATTTGATTTCATTAGATTGTTCATTATTATTGTTGATTATTTCATTGGAATGATGAATATAATTTGACTCTGTACTAACTGATAGTTTATTAGAAAATTCATTTTGTATACCAGTTTCTTCGGTATTTGAATTATTGTAAAATTGTGCTTTTAAACATTGAACTTGTTCTTGTAATGCTGCTTGAGATAGTTTACTATCAGCTAATTCAGATCGTAATTTATTGATATTCTGTTGATCACACTGCAAAGAAAGAAAAAAAACATTGAAAGAATACAGATTTCTAAGAAAAAAGTAGTGTATACGATGTCATATGAATTAAACATGTGTCCATATTGTAAGTAACTCCGCCTGGAGTCCCTCCGGCGGCTACTGCCGGTCCCAAGCCCGGATAAAGGAGGAGGGTTGGGCATGGGGTTAGCGACCCCATCCCGTAGAAAACTAACTCGCTAAAAAAACGCTAACCATATTGTAAGTTGAACGATAGGATTCAATCAGAGCTAATGACTAGACATTGACGTTTGTAAATACTATTATTACTATTCAATAACAAATATTGGGATACAATTTGCGATAAATAAAAATATCAAATACACTAACATACCTGCAATCGTAATGACTTTATGATTTCTTCTTTTTCAGATAAAAGCTGACGGAAATCTCGTTCCAATTGATCTTTGGTTTGTTTATCTAGTTCAAGCTTCTTGTACATCTCATCTACAGATTTGGATGTTTTTGTTTGATGTGATGCTAATAACTGTTGTAGATTATTTCTTTCTGATTCCATAACTTTATATGCCTCTACAAGCTGAATCGCGTATAAAAAATGTGAATCAAAACGATGAATAAATAAATAAATATATCTCAATATTCTAAACCAAAAAGCACACATATATTGTTTGGTTGTTGGGTGATTGAAGGAGGAAGTAGGCAGAAAACCCTGGATTTCGATTTCGTGCTAGCTAATACTACTCAGCAATAAACCTACCGCGTCCACGATATCCTGTTAATCAACTTCACCCCCTAATATCTCAACATAGTGAACGCCGTGTTGAGTTACTCAAACTAGTGGCCACATGTGACCTGGCTGACAGGATTTAATCAATATTAAAGGACTAGACAGACATAACATTGAGAACTATGCAGTGATCAATCAATAGTTCATTTATTAGACATTACAACATGCATTATGGAAACCGAACCATAAACTAATTTTATACGCTAAGCTCGTCAATGTAGGAGTAAGTTGAAAAAACGATTACAGAGAATAGTGAGACAGTATTAATAATTGGATTTACTAATTGCTGGTCTCAGTAACATTGATGGGTTTAGACTTTATTTGAGGTCTGTACGATAATTCTGGACTATATTTAAGGAAATTGGGTTGCTTTACTACATAAAAACACATTCTTATGGTTAGTGGGCTTAACTTTGAAGTCTGTTCGTTCTCCGAGTTTGAGTCAGTAATTTTGCTACGTAAGGAGCCATCACATCACATCATTACATCCACATATCGATTGGCACTATGTGCATTTATTTTGAGAATTGGAAACTTTATTCATTAAATCCTCACCCATAACAAAAGGTTATAAGTCCTGAAAACGTTACATAAAGAAAGCGTAATTTTGGGGACACCTAAGACAAAATTAAGTAAAAAAAATGAGGAGATTGGGTGGTTCTGACAAATACTATCGAAGGTTAACAACTCTTATGACTGTGCTCCATAAGCTCTGACTGAAACAATAATTTGAGTAAATAGCTTACACAAGGTCCATATTATTTCTTCATTACATCTTTTAATGACAAATATTTCAATAATAATATTCAGTAGACAGAGTCGAATATGGCCTTGGGGTCAGGAAGTACAACTATAGGTGATTATCGGTAAATATCCGTGATCGATGCATAAATACTCAAGTCTAAAACCAGCATGACTAGATTGATGTTGAGTTGTCATATTAAACAGTCTCCTCTTACATTTAAAGTTGGTGGGACGATCACTATTAACTGTTCGCTGAGTTAGGATGCCAAAAGACCTGAACAAGAGTCTTTTAGCCTAGTGAAATCCACTTACTTGGGCGTCCGAATCACGTGCTATGATTAGTACATCTGAACGTCTAAGGTTCTGAAGCAGGTGAGAAAGTCTTTCATAAAACTCATCCATAATTTCATCCGGAGTACGCAGGAAATGCTACGAAAATGAAACAGGGTGTCCTCAATTCTTGTTGGCCTCGCCGTAGAAGGAAACTTTTTGAGTGGTTTGGAGAGACGTGACTACAGCACTCGAAGGACGATCACTTGGGGCCAGTCATACAACTTTTTCGTGGGTAATTTGTGATACATTAAGATTTTACTTTAAAGTCCTTACCATCGGCGACGGAAAGCTGTAGGATGAAATGTGACATTTTAAATTAGGGCACTTTTTAATCCCCTCTTTTTTAGGAAGGAAGCATCGCAGTAGATGCCAGTTGTCTAAAGAAACCGCTTTACTCCCGTCATACTCCAGCATAATCGGCAGTACAACTTTGAACCCGGACCTTAAGTTGATGCTTTTAGTTTTCCCGCTCTGCAAACGACCTGCCTACCATGATAGGAATGCAAAGAACAAGTGTTTCACCCAATATAGCTTTATTAGTTCATCCCAATGAGTAACCCTTACCACCTATCTTGAGATAGCAGCTGGACCTAGGACCCAATTTAGCTGCAATCTGAACACATAACAGGGTTTGAAATTGCAGTTTAACGGCTAAAAAAATCGATTACTTAAGCCATTACTTCACAACAACATTAAAATAAAATAACTAAACCCCTTTTAAAACCAACTAACCTGTTGATATTTAATTTTGTAATTACGTGCCATTTGATAAACACGTTGACAACGTGATTGAATATCCGATGTTTCTGTAGATAACCGAAAAGTTGACGACATAACAGAACCACAATCAGAATCATCCAGTTCACCGAATGGATTAGCACACTTTAACAATTTAACACTATCTGTTTCTTTTGATGTTGGTGATTTGTTTCGAAAGACATTACTATCACTGTTACTATCAGTGATGTCATTAATGCGCCCATGATTACTTTTAACTGATGATGAAGTTGGTTGTAATTGTACGGATGATGTTCGTCTTTCAAAGGCAATATCAGCATCAGTTCTCTCTGACTCGCCCTATTGTTCATTAATTTAGAATAAGGAGAATAAAAGATGAAACAATTAATAGGAATGCGTTGTTGTTATCATTCTTTAAATTGCCAAGTTTTCTATGCAATTTGTTGTTATTGTGGTTAGAAAAGCGTTTATTTATATCCTTAACTCTTATTAGTTATTTAAATTTTAATTGTCCCTTTCGATTAATTACTTTATTATCTGTTATTCAATATCATGTAAATAGTAACTAATTAGTTACTAATTAATCTTTGTTATTGCCGTTTTTCGAGGCAGAATACACCTAAAAACGCTAACCCTTTTTCCAATTCTGTGTTTTGTGTTTAATAATATTTGTAGGTACATCTCAGTTTTCTACTAATCACATTAGATCTGTACCCATATTAACAACAATCATCAACCCGCAACATATCTCTAATACATACACTCTTGTTTAAAAGATTGAATAAACAATAATGTCAGTCAGTCAGTTAGTTACAACGTAGGACCAGGCACACACATGCATCGGTCCAAGTTGCCACACCTCATTAGCACAGCAAGACGAACACCGGATTCATAGAAGTAGTTAACTCAATGATGTAATACATAAAGGAAAGATTTTATGTAAGGATATAGTACAGAAAGAAAGAATTAGTTCGGAGAAATAAGGATATGAAATAATATTAATCTCATAGTTTAAGGGGCGATAAAGAGTGTATACACCTACGCCATTGTGACCAATTCTGAGCCATGTCACATTAATGAACGAAAAGAGAATAATAATGTACAAATTATGAGAATTGCTGGATGTTTACTTCAGAAAATTTTATTCATTACCAAAATGAAAAGTGATTACACAAATACCGATAAGGATTACAATTATCAATAAACGTTTCCAGGTTATTTTCGTGATATTTAGAAAAATTGACTAATGCATGTGATTATAAATACTGATTAAAATAATAACTGCTTAAAATTTGTTTGAAAATGGAATTTTGTAGAGATGATCAATGTTAACTAGGAATCATGCATATATATAAATATATATATCGATAGTTGCCTTGACACAATTATCTATGTAAACACTAATTTATTATGCACCCTAGATTAATGATATCTTGTTTAAAATCTAAAACGTTTCGCTAATAAAATTGAAATGATAGACACGACAAACAGTTGGTTCACTTATTTGAAACAGAATTTATTGACAGCTTTTCATAAAAATGAAGCCACTTTGAATTTGGGAGGCCACTGGTCCTATAGAAAATGAACTTAATAATCAACTGCTCTTCTTATTAGTAACCTGACCGTGTAAGTAACAAAACAAAGAAGCTTATTTTTTGAAGATATAAAAAACCTGTTATCTAAACCATGCTTGGTGGTTTCATCATACGCGAACAATGATTTGAAAACACTTATTGTCATGTTATGTATTGTTTAAACACCGATTACTGCTACTGGTACGGCTGTTATTGTGGCTGAGAAATAAGCCGCTATTTTATTCTTGTCTAATGGAACAAGGCTGAAATGCCTTGACGTAAAGAATACTAGATTATTAGATGACTTATGCACCAAACACTGATTCACAACTAATCAAAATATTCAACGTTACATATCATTTTTAATGTCCGATCGTTAAATACATTTCAATGTGTTAAACTGTCAGTATATGATATTAATTGGTCAATAATTAAATATGAGTACACAATGTACAAGATCAATAGACTAGGTGCTTTAACTAACACAAATATAGAAATTACTGGGTAGTAAATTTTGCTTTTTCATAATAAATTAAGTACTTGACGTTTTTAGGCATGTTCCACTTTTCTAAACCACCTGGCGATGTCGTAGATCGATACAGAGCAGATTATTATAAAGTAAACTCACCTCTTACTAAACAGATAGTCATTACACCTATGTTGGATATGGTACAAACTGGGGAAGGCTGGACAGACTCCTGTATTGATTACAATATCTCGTCAACAACCGGTCAACTAAGACGGATTTGACTTCCAAGGTAAGTGAAGCAGCCAGTACATTCAAGATGTTCCACTACCACTTGTTGCTAGTAAATAACTTAACTATAAACAGGTAATTCGGTTGACAAATATAGTGAATGAATTCATTTGGTAGTATATTATGCTGTTTTTTTATACTGTCTGTCAGCAGGATTACAAAAATAAGCGTGTCAACACTGCAATACTTAAAATTTCCCCAGCTGTACGGGATTTAAACGTCGACTATTGAATGTATAAATAAATTGTATTAATGTGAGTTGGGGTATGATATGCCTGAAGCTTTTCTTCGATCTCTTTGCCCCCTGAACCCAATAATACTAAATTATAAGGTTATCTTGAAGCGAAATGATGGTTATTTGTACAGAATTAATGTTTACCAATTTAATTCTGGGTGAACTTTATCCCTATTGTCAGTATCTGGCAAAAAATATAACTCTTCAAGTTTCAAACAAAACTCACTAGGAACCGTGAATAGGAAACTCGACTATCAGTGCTTCCACAATCTGACCGACAGCTCTGAAAATCAGAAAAAGATGAAATGAATCGAGCTGAAGGAGTGATGTAGATTATATAATTTACGTTGAAGTATGTGCTGTTAAACAGACAGGCACAACGAAATGGAACTCTGAAAATTGGTACACTAATCAGATTGACTATATTTTGAAACAGCACAAAAACTTATCACGAGATTTTAGGTAATTCCGCAAAATACTAATGGACAAAGAAGATGATTTTAAAAATAGCAAATTAAAGATTTGAAGTAGAGAAAAATCTTATTTATTTGTTTGGACACAAACATTGGAACAAAGGGGAACCAAATACACATGAGGCACAATAACAATGAGGATGTATAGTGCGTATAATAAAAAGAACAACAATGAACAGAAATTAATATATGAGAGTGAAATAATAATAAAAATAATAGTAATAATAATTATTATTATGCGACAAGCAGTTAAGTTAGGAGAAATACAATCATAAAGAGTTCTTTCAGGTATGGAAGTTATGTTCACGTTTATGAAAATGAAATGAAGTTACAGCAGGATCGCCACTTCCTGCTATTTCGGGCTACGTTCGATCACGTCTCAAGACATTGTGTTGTACCATCTCTAGAAATCCAACCAGAGAGTCATGAAGGACCAACAGAAGCGAGTCCTGTACGGCTTTCTTTCATACCGCGACACCATGTCGTGCACTGACCACCTCCCTGCTTTCTCCAACCGCTCCCAGCGTTGGCAAACAATGCACGATGTGGAGATCGCTGGGTGAAATTTGTAGGACATGTTCGAGCCACCGAAGTCAGTGTTACAAGACGGTGACACCAACTGAAGTATCGTTGCTGTGACCAAACATAAGTTGCCAGACCTCGGCATCACCAAAAAGGTGTTGCCACTTGATGTCAGTAATCCTTCTCAGACAACGATGATCAAACACAGAGAGTTATCCATTTTTCACAGCCAGAGAGCAAAACTGCTTTCAGCGACGCGTTGTAGATCCGACCTTATTCAGCCAGACTAACATCACAAAGGCGCCAAAGATGGTCCAGGTTGGCATAAGCTTTTTTGGCTCTCGTTATACGTGAATTGATCTCGTCACTCACAGCCCTCCCGATACAAGTACTCGACTACTTCTATCTACTCACTACCCAAAGTGAGCGCAGATTCCGAGTCCCGTAAGTCTTGTAAAAGCAATTTGCACTTTGAAGGTGCAAAGCACATTACATAATTACGGGCACTGATTACCAACTGAACAAGTGCGGATTCCATGGCTTGGGTATCATCCCACAGTAAAACGATATCATCCGCAAATTCACGTTCAAAAAGTCTTTATCCAGGCAAAAGATCTACGCTCCTAAATGCCCTGGTACGGCCGAGGATGGGGAGAGTCATCTCTCCATTTTGGAGTTGGAAAACGCTTATTCCAAACCAGTCACGCACATTGGTTCCAAGATCATGAGGAAACAAATGGCGTATGAACCAGTCGTCATTCACCGACTACTATGGGACTGCATCTCCTGACGTCGCTCCACCACCTTGTGGATCAAACCTTTTGGTCGAAGGCTCCGAGTGTTGCCCCCTAAGAAAACCGCCTGCGTCGGTCTGGGCACCCGGGAAGTATCAAAGCCCACACACAAATCAAGTGACTTGTGTGGTGTATGTATTCGGCGCCCCTTTGTACCAGTATTTATGTGTTTAAATAAATAAATAAAATCAACATCAATCAGAGCTGTTTCTAGAAAGTTGGAGAAGAATGGTGAGATTGGGCAACCCTGACTAATCTCATTGCTTGAATGGAACAACGGAGAGGGGTGGTTGTATGCCCTCACTTTGACTGAAGTGTTTGTATATAAAGCTTTCAAAATGCTAATAAACTTTCCAGGCGTATCTTCCCTCAATTGGCTTCCGTCATACTTCGTAGATTGTTCAAAACCCGAGAAAGATTGACTCGCGAGGAGCAGGCTGGGTTTCGTTCTGGTCGAGGATGTATTGATCATATCTCCACCCTCCGCTAAATGTTAGAACACCGTCATACTTATCAAAGGCCAACAATCGTAGTGTTTCTTGACATCAGGGCTGCCTTCGATTCGTTGGACAGAGCTGTTCTCTGGGATTGTCTATTGAAGAAGGGTGTGCCTGAGAAGTTTATTAACATCCTAAAAGCCCTATATACAAACACCTCAGGCAGAGTGAGGGCATACAACCACCTCTCTCCATTGTTCCATTCGAGCAGTGGGGTTAGGCAGGGTTGCCAAATCTCACCATTCCTCTTCAACTTTGCCATCGATGACATTCTGGGAACAGCTCTGACGAATGTAAGTAATGGTGGTGTGGATCTGTTGCCCGGAGAAAGACTTCTTGGCCTTGAGTATGCGGATGATACTGTCTTACTGTGCGATAATGCCCAAGCCATGCAATCCGCACTTAGTCAGTTGGCAATCAATGTCCGTAGGTATGGTATGTGCTTTGCACCTTCGAAGTGCAAAGTACTTCTACAAGACTGGCAGGATTCTAACCCTGTACTCACCCTGGATGGTGAGCAGATAGAAGTAGTCGAGAAGTTTGTGTATCTGGGTAGCTGCATAAGTGCTGGTGGGGGTGTGAGTGATGAGATCAATGCACGAATAGTGAAAGCCAGAGCGGCTTATGCCAATCTGGGCCATCTTTTGCGCCTTCGTGATGTTAGTCTGGCTGTAAAAGGTCGGATCTACAACGCGTCGGTAAGAGCAGTTTTGCTCTATGCTTGTGAAACCTGGCCTCTCCGAGTTGAGGACGGTAGACGACTCTTTGTGTTCGATCATCGTTGTCTCCGAAGGATTGCTGACATCCAGTGTGGCAACACCATGTCAGTAGTAATGCAGAGGTCCGGCATCGTGTGTTCGGACACAGAGGCGATAACGCAATTGTTGTCACCATCTTGAAACACCGACTTCGGTGGCTTGGACATGTTCTACGAATGTCGTCCCAGAGAATTCCACGTCGTGCATTATTTGTCGACGCTGGGACTGGTTGGAAAAAGTGGAGAGGTGGTAAGTGTATGACATGGTGTCGGGGTATGGAAGAAAGCTGCAGAGGGTTGGCTTGTGTTGGTCCTTCACGACTCCCTGGTTGGGGTCCGAGAGATGGTGCTACACAGTGGCTAGAGACGTTATCAGATATGGCTCAGAATAGAAGCCAGTTGCGATCCTGCTGTAACATTTTACTTTCTTCATGAAAAGTGGTTGCTTCTTCCTTAATTGAAAGATTTCTGATTGTACCTTTTCGCCTCCCCAATTATTACGATTATTATTATTACACTACCTTACACTAATCTGTTTGTTATTGTTTCTTTTTTTCTCTTCGAATTCTCATTTTGTGTGGCGCATATAAATTTGGTGCCCTCTTGTACCAATATTTGTGTTCGAATACAACAAATAAAGGAAGCAGGTTAATTTTTTCAGTCACCTTGGCATCGCTTAGTGGCTGTTCATAAATTATCCGTCAGTCAATTGTAACGTGAAACGTCGTACGTCTATACATCGATCCAAGTTGTCACACCATGAATTATAGTCACACCCAATAAACCTAGGTATCAGTAGAACAAAACTAACATGATCACTACAAATCTTCAGCACTCTTTCGTCAGAATAGAAATAGCACTCCAGATCATGAACCACGTATTCGATATCACTTACAATAACTCTAATTCAATAATCCTAAGCATCCAACTACAGAAAAGCGTATGACATGACATCAGGTATATATGGTACGGAGAGCTTTTAGAAAATATCTATATTTTATACAAAAATCCTCAAACCAACAGAAATGGGAGATTATATTGATATCGATATGTGTGGAAAAATTATAACGTGGCACTCAACAACTCTTGTTCATACTTTAGTAAATGGGTCAACGACATATGCGATAATTATAAACGATATACTATTTACCTTATTTGTTCCTTCCTTCTTGACAAGACCTTTGAGATTATTGAACATTACCAACTGAGTAACGCAATTTACAAAACTGACGGATTCAAAATCAAATGGTTCAAATAGTTGCGGACGGAATAGAAGAAGCTTTCGCCTAACGGGCTTCCGGGTCTACAAGCTGTGGATCACCAATATCACCAGGCAGAAACCTAGGTATATTAACGATAACAGAGGAAAAAATGGTAAATCATAGTAACATATCTTTGGTCCTTAAAAATATATCAACTTGCCTCTTAAAGGACTTCTGGGAAGTCTCTTGGACTAGTTCAGTCAGCACCGAACTCCAGTATTTGACAACTCTTAAAGTGTTGAAGTTGTGTCTACAGTCCGTTCTGCTATGTTGTGTCTCTAGTTTCTTGGTGTTACCCTTTAGGTTTGTGTTGGAGTTTGTAGCAGTAATAAATCTCCGAAATAAATAGGTCTGTAAGTTTTCGAAATTGGATGCTGACCACATGTTTTAATGGACTCACCTAGCTGGAGGCGCTCGGTCATGCATCCGCACCAGATCACGTGTGGAAATGCCGTGCTCAATAACCCTTGTAATCACTAGCCTGATTAGATCAGTCGATTCACGATATATTGATAGCCTCTCAGATATATCTTCGAACCTCCTCTCCTCTGTCTTTTGATTTCACTTGGTGGGTACGCTTCATAATAGAAGGTGTTACTGATTAAAGCGTTGTCAAACTCCGAATACCTGTGGCATCTTCAAGCTAAACTGGAGAACGTGTTTAAGGGGATGTCCAGAAGTGTCAAGTATACCATAAGCCATTAAACACTCATCTCTAAGACTCACATCCTCTAGTGGTTAAATGTTTAGTGGTTGGAGATGCTTTTCACAAGGTTTGAATTTGAGTCTCTGAACTGATTTCGTGGATCGCCGTTGGATACGTTCCACGGTGTCCTTATCCTTTTGCAGTAAGAAAGGAATTACTATGTTTCCGTGCTCTAAATGGGGACGGATGAAACTGTTGAAGGTTGTGTGGAAAGCTCTTCCATCAAATGGTCAGAAATGCCCTTCAATGTTACGAGTGCAAGGTTTGCTCGAAACCTATGATCCAACTTGCTGCGTCTGTTGTATGCATTTACCATGAGATCGTGCACGCTTCGTGGAATCAACCTTTGTAGTTGTCGCACTGTATGCAAGATGTGACAGCAAAATGGCATTCAGGTCGTTTGCATGAATTTTTCATGACTATAGTGACGTAAATTATTTTATAGATCCTAGAGAAAACCTAAGACCGTAAAAAAACGTACACTGAAAATGCGTAAAAATGGATAAAAACGGGTGGTACAAAAGGTTAGGATAAACTAAAGCTAGCCTTTACTTGAAAAACTGAAAAAAAACGAATAGTAAGCTAAGGCAAAACCACAGTTAAATATTAAGTTGGATAAAACTCAAAAAAGTAATCTACCCAACGTATAGCTCAGAACAGATTCTTTAGATCAGAAATGGCACTTCTGTTGCGTTAGAAAACAGTAAAAGTTTGAAACATGTAAATCACGTTGGGACTAATCTTCCCGTTCGCAAAGCGCACACGTTGTCCTACAGCCTATGGTGGTTCTTTTCTAGTAAACTTCTGAGAGTGTCTGTCCTTGTCTGTGGTGGGACAGAGTGAAGAGATCTAGATTCTCAAGCCACTTCCGTGTGGTAAACCCCGGGGTTCTGGAATTGGACGGGTAGCTGCCCTCCGTAATTTTTCCAAAATGTGACACATCCAATCGTTACTAATTCCAACGCAAGCTGTCAGTATTATGTATTAGCTCAGTTTTGCTGATAATATTGGAGGGTACGGCAGCATGATCACTTTTCTCCAAGGGAGTCACGATTGAGTGGTTGTCAATTAAGAATCTTATGTTTGTAAGCATGCACTCTGAGCGTTATGGCGTCTGGCTATTTCTTCGCCGGACTGCTATCTTCACTGCAGTAGACCGCGGTCTTACGATCATGACTCACTGTCAACCTAAGATACTTGTGAGACCGGTTCACGTATAATGGTACTTCCCCTATGCCGTATCCATTTACCTTTGTATCCCCAAAGAGCAAGTAGATACACTTCGTCGTGTTGGTATGTACCAGACACTCTTCAAATCACCTAGTCAGAATATTCGAGTCCGACGGAAGTGCTCATGCATCTGCGCCTCATGTTATTTCTCGCCAGCGCATAGTAACATTGAGGACTCAACAATACTTGAGAGTTCATTTACCTACAGTATTAAAAGTGAAGGACCTAAGATAAAGTCCTGTGGTATTCGACTATTCACTGGTTTCCAGATAGAGCACCTAGAATTTACTTTAACGTTCTGTCCACAACCTACTAGAAATCCTTGATCCGTTTTGGGGTAGATCCGTCAATGCCTAAATTTTCAAGCTCCAGTGGCAGTCTATTCGTTGCCACCTTATCAAATGATTTGCTGAAGTCTATGTATACTACATCCACTGACTTTCAATTGTTTATGTCCTCTATTCATTGCTGTTTTGCTACAATGAGATCTGCTGTGCATAATTATCCTTTACCGAAACCATGTTGTTCGCTGTTTGACAAGCTGTTGGTTTCCACGAATGTCATTATGGTTTTTTTTGACTATTCTTTTCAGTATTTGAACTACGGCACTGGTGAAGCTAAGAGATTCTTAGTCCGATGGAACTTGTCTTGATCCTGTTTTGTGTATTGGAGTGACGACTGCATCCTTCCAGTCTGTAGGTAGCTCACCTCAGTCAAGTGACATATGGAATATCGTAGTCAGTGGAGCAACAATATATGGTTCACTTTTTCTCAAGATTTTAGGGTGTAGTTAAACTGGTCCTTTTGATTTTTACGTGATCGATGTACTGGAAACCTCCAGTACACCAAGTTGGTCAAAGTCCACAGTGAGCATTTGATTTTGTAACGTTTTCCTTGGATATATTCCTTCTAGAAAGGATACCTTTGAGAAAATTATCCCGGAATGTTTTGCCACGGCATCTACTTTGTCCCAATCCTCCTCTGTAATTTGAGATCCGCTCCCTTCCTTAATTGGGTTGGAGTTCAATTCTGCGTTCCTGTTCTCTGATTTATGCACGAGAACAGTCTTTCTGGCCACTTGATTACAGATCGAAATCATGAGTCAGTTGAAGCTAGACCAACATTGAAAACCTGGAAGCACTGGACGACCGTTTCTTCCTAGTATAGGACTCCTCAGCAGTGCGCATCCACGATCCCGCACCACGCGAGGCTCGAACCCAGGACCTACTGGCTTCGCGCGCGAGCACTGCGCACTGCTGAGGAGTCGTATACTAGGACGAAACGGCCGTCCAGTGCTTCCAGGTTTTCAATGGTGGTCTAGCTTCAGCTGACTCATGATTTCAATCTGTGAAAATTTCCAAAAATCTCCACGAACCCCTTCTGATACTTGATTACAGGTTGGGTCAACTGAATACCATATTTTCGCTGAGCTGCCAGAGTTGTAATTATACACTTATTTCGTACCGACCTGTAGCGGCACATTGTATTTTTTATGCCAAGGCTGATGGTGATGTTCCAACATTTCTTCTCTTGTCTCAGTAAACTTCGAATATCCCGGTTGATCAAGGGGCAACCGTACTTCTTCTTCTTTGTGACCGTCCACTGTATAAATTGTTGAGTTACCTGATTGTATAGCTGCCTGCAACAAATCCATGCCTCCCACTAATGCGGCTGAGTCAGATTTGCCTTCCATATGTTAGGACGTGTCGGTGCATATATTTGACAGGCTATCTCAGCCATGAACTTGAATACGTTGACTGTATGATCGCTTCTAACCATAGTTGGAAGGAAAGCTTGTAGAATTATGGTCTACTGTGATATTAGTACTGCTCTAATAATAGACCTAATCCTATAATTGTGGATTTGTCATGATATAACTGCCTAATCTATAGGATCTTATGTGGAAGTCACATCATCGTCTACACCAACTCACTACATCGTAACAAATACCAATGCATGATAAAGAACAAACTTAGGCTAGAGATAGAACAATATATTTATCATGAATAAAAGATATATAGTAAAATTCAGCAGGGATCACGTCTGTATGGCCGAGCCACGCCATACGATCAACTCCAAATAATTTAGTCCATTCTTCCCGCCCTCTTCATCGTTGAGTTTTTCTCTGTGTTAAATGTTGAATGTCCATTTCCCACATTGTCTCGTATTAGGGCCCAATGCCAAAACAAGCTATTCACTAAAATCATCACCGTGTGTGAAAGAAATAGTTCAGAAGAGATGGAGAGTTTTGTAGATAATATATGGTTGTATGTCAAATCTGTTGGAATAAAGTCAAGACGATTGTGGCTTCTATCCATTTGTAGTTAAAAAATGTTTTTGATTACTCTAACTCTAAGTTACCGCAATTTATGGACGGTGAATTTAAGTACCTACTTTAAGTCTTTTAAGTCTGTTTGACCGGAAATTAAGTTTACCCAAAAGGACACAATCCACTACAAATTATGGATAGTAGTATACTACGCATAATTTACTGTCACCCAGCAGAGCAACAGCTTACAAGACCCTGAGTTGCGAGCAACTGTATAAACAGCTCATATGGTTAAGGTGGAATTGCTTCGTAGAATTATCGAGGTGATTGTTCGTTCGGAAGTTAGAGTGCGGCCTTGGTTAGAAACAGATATCATTCTTGATGTATTCCGTTTATAAAAAAGAGTACAAAAACCTATCGAATTAATGAATAAAGCAACAAAGTAAAATATATAGGAGCAAACTGAGCTACATGGCGGACAGTATTTGTCCTCACAAAGTAATTATATTATATATATATATATATATATATATACATATATGTTTGAGTTATTACTGAAGCGTATTAATGACTTGTTCGTGTGGATAGAACTCTGATATTCCTATGAATTCACATGCACCGCACTAACTGCATTATTTAGGACTTCAAGCCTGCTTTTACATTTACTAAACCAAGATGCAGTCAAAGACAATTGGGAGCTGGTAAAAGTCACACTAATTTCCAGATCAGTA